TCTACTGTTTCTCTCCACCTCCCACCCACAGGTTTTATTAGAATTTTAAACCTTAATTAAAGACTGTGCAAGGCTCCCGATTCAGTTTGGGGCTCTGATTTAGGTCAGGGTTACCCTGGATCATCCTGGATCAGAGGGCGGTGGATCAGGGCTTGAACTGGATTGGGGGAGCAGTAGGCAAAACGAAACAACAAAATTCAAACTTCCCTGAATTTTGAAATCCAGTTCTCTAACAAAGTACAGTGGTACCTCGGGTTAAGTACTTAATTCATTCCAGAGGTCCGTTCTTAACCTGAAACTGTTCTTAACCTGAAGACCACTTTAGTTAATGGGGCCTCCTGTTGCTGCCGTGCCGCCAGAGCACGATTTCTGTTCTCATCCCAAAGCAAAGTTCTTAACCCAAGGTACTATTTCTGGGTTAGCAGAGTCTGTAACCTGAAGCGTCTGTAACCTGAAGGGTATGTAACCCGAGGTACCACTGTAATGTGTACAAAATTGCATACACTGTAACTAGGGCAATGGTTCTCTCTCTCTTTTTTCTATCTCTCTGGGTCACACTTTCAGAACAAAAGTTTGCTTGCGCCACACCGATTTTTTTTATATTTTTTATAAGCAATATATTGGAAAACCAAACGAAACAACAACTAGCAGTGCTGGCTTTATAACACAGAACACAACTACCGTATTTTTCGCTCTATAACACGCACCCGACCATAACACGCGCGTAGTTTTTAGAGGAGGAAAATCCGTAGGCATGCCACCCGTAGGCATTCTCTCCATAACACGCACAGACATTTCCCCTTACTTTCTAGGAGGAAAAAAGTGAGTGTTATGGTGCAAAAAATACAGTACTTTATAATATACTCATGGGACTTCCGGAATGTATACAACAACAAAGAACATGAATCGTTCCCAAAATGTAATTATAAGCAAACACATGTACCTTAAGTATCTATAAAAACTCAGTGGGAGGCGTGAATTTGCTTTTCCCAGATAATCTCATTTATATTAGGTCTAACTGGAGACAGACACACTCTCATCTCCTCATTAACACAAGAAGCCTTTCTCTTTTCTGCTCTTTCATATTTGTCAGAGCTTAAAATCCCTTTTGACAACAATATGTCATGGAAAACTGCAGGAGAATAGCCAACGCTCTTGAAGAGAGGCATGGATACTGTTTCTGGTTGTGTGTGTGTGTATATTTTTTCGTGTATAACACGCCCCCGTGTATAAGACACCTCCTATTTAGGGGGATTCAGATTTAAGAAAATGGGGGGAGATTGCCCAGAGTTGTTGAGCTTTTTGGGGGGGGGTTGCCGAAAAATGCTCACATGCATGACCAATGCTGTCACTCGCACATGTCGCAAAACCAGCCTGTCATCTGTCCCCTCGCCGGCAGAAGCCACCAATCACCCGGCCACCTGACGCAGCGACAGCCAATCAACACCAGCCCTTGCCACCGCAAACAATAACACGGCCAATAGCCACTGACAATCTCCGGCTTGCAGCAGCAACCAATCCCACGTCCTCCCTATGTCCTATCCATGTATAAGACGACCCCCAATTTTTAACTTAATTTTCAAAATAAAAAATCCTCGTCTAATACACAGCAAAGTACGGTGTGTGTGTGTGTGTGTACTATAGTATACTGCACTGAAATGTTTATATGTTTCTTTCACTGTCCTTGAATCTTCCAGCTACACTTGCTCTCCTCTCCTGCCACACCAGTGTAGCGCATCACTCCTTTGAGAACAAAGTGTGCACATTGATGCAAATATTAGGGAAAACAGACATTTTAGCTATTGCTAAATGTATATTTTTGGTCCCATCTTATTTCTGTCATTGTAAGTTGCTTTAAACACACACATATAAACGCACATTGCTCTTCACCCTTACAGACCCTCCAGGTGTCCCTATTTTCCAGGGACGTCCCTGGTTTACAGAAGCCGTCCCGATTTCTGATTTGATCCCGGAATGTCCCACTTTTCCTTAGGATGTCCCTATTTTCATTGGAGAAATGTTGGAAGGTATGGAGTTATCCAACCCCCAAGCCGTCTGAAGGCAATCCTGTATAGGGACAGGTTTTTTTTAATGTTTAATGTATTCTTATGTTTTAATGTACAGTGGTACCTTGGGTTATGAACTTAATTCATTCTGGAGGTCTGTTCTTAACCCAAAACCGTTCTTAAGCTGAGGCGCGTTTTTGCTAATGGGGCCTCCCGCTGCTGCCACACGGCCGGCGCACAATTTCCGTTCTCATCCTGAGGCAAAGTTTGCAACCCAGAGCAACTACTTCCAGGTTAGTGGAGTTTGTAACCCGAAGCGCTTGTAACCCGAGGTACCACTGTATGTTGGAAGCTGCCCAGAGCGGCTGGGGCAACCCAGTCAGAGGGGTGGGGTATAAACAGTAAATTATCATTATGGAACGGGACGTCCCTATTTTCATTAGAGAAATGCTGAACTCAGCACTTGAGAGGGTCTGTAAGGGAAGGAAGGGGTCTTTCAGATATTAGGGACCTGAGTGGTTTGGGGCTTTAAACACTAACAATGTGAGCACCTTGAACTAGGGCTGCATCTAGACACATCAAAGAAGCGTGTTGCAAACTTTGTATGAGAAATCAGGTTGACAAAAACGGAACTCCACAGCGCCATCTGGTGTCACAGTGTTATAATGCATATACAATGCATATAAAGTGTTTTTTCTTTGCCAATGTAGCTGAGGCCTGGGGCTGGGAACAAACTGGCAGCTGTGTTTTAATCATTTTGTAATTATTGTTGTAATTACTGGGACCTTGGGGTGAAGAGTGAGTTGTTGCTGTTGCGGCTGTTATCCTTGTTGTCATTATTTTAGGGGGCCTTGCAAAAAAAAAGCGCATATTTGGCAACATTACACATACAAACACAACTATCAGGAGAAATTTGCACTAAAAGCTTGATGTATTTCCACGAGGCCTTTTTTAAAAAAATTAAAATAAAATAAATAAATTTGCAACCTAAGGTGCAAATGCGGAGAACTGAATCTAAGGCTGGGGAAATAAGAGGCAGAGAGAAATCGAAACGGACTGATTGACCCCTGGATGCGGCACGTTCTTTCTCCCTTGTTGCGCGCAAACACACACACACGCACTTTGTGTGCTTTTCCCTGCTAGCCTGTGTGAAAATGACATCTGCCTGGCCAAGCGTGGCGCAACGAGGAACAACACCCGCCCGCCACCCCACGGGCTCTGCACCGAATGCGACAGGACGCAGCTGCTGCGCGGAGATCAGTTTCACACCCCTACACAATGGAGGGCTTGCAAACAGGTGAGAGTGAGCAAGCTGTGATTCATCCAGGGGAGGCAAAGATCCAGAAGGCAAGGAGGGGCGGGGGAAGAGGAGCCGACCGAGCTTTCCTTGGAACAATGGGGAGCCCTGATGCTTCAACCCGAGAGGCTATTCAGGGTTTCCTAATAAGAGGCACCTTATAGGCTCAGCAAAGTTGTGCAGGTGTTAAACCACAGAGCCTAGGACTTGCCGATCAGAAGGTCGGTGGTTCAAATCCCCGCGACGGGGTGAGCTCCCATTGCTCGGTCCCTGCTCCTGCCAACCTAGCAGTTCAAAAGCACAGCAAAGTGCAAGTAGATAAATAGGTACCGCTCCGGCGGGAAGGTAAAAGGCGTTTCCGTGCGCTGCTCTGGTTCTCCAGAAGCGGCTTAGTCATGCTGGCCACATGACCCGGAAGCTGTACGCCAGCTCCCTCAGCAAATAAAGCGAGATGAGCGCCGCAACCCCAGAGTCGGTCACGACTGGACCTAATGGTCAGGGGTCCCTTTACCTTTACCTTTAGGGGTGAATTCCTCCCATGAAAGACAGCAAGGGAAAGAATTAATCAACACAGAAACAGAGGGAGATGGCTTTTCCTGAGTTGCTCCATCTGGCTCAGTGCTGTCTACACTGACTGGCAGAGTCAGTTTCAGGCAAGGAGTCTCAGTTCTACCTGGAGAAGCCGGGAATGGGAATTTCTGCATGCAAAGTAGAGAAGCTCCAACACTAAGCTTCCTTTGGAAGCTGCCTTATACTGAGCCAGGCCACTGATTCATCTAGCTCAGTATTGTCTACTCTGACTGGCAGGAGCTCTCCAGGTTTTTCAGACAGGAGATGCTGCGGATTGAATTTGGGAATTTCTGCATGCAAAGCGGATGCTCTGCCAATGTACTGCAGCCCGTCCCTTAAGGGAAGCCATTGAAATAGGAAGCTAGCATAGAATCACAGAACTGTAGAGTTGGAAGAGACCCTGCGCATCGTCTAGTCCAACCCTTGCAACACAGGACTATGTAGCTGCCCCATACGAGGATCAAACATGTAACCTTGGCATTTTCAAGCAGAAAGCTAGCACAGCTGCCTGGATGAAAATCCCCCTCTCTCTAATGTGTTGCAGCAGAGAAAGTAGTGCTAAGGGATGGCCTAAGATGTTTTGCTGCCTGAGGCACACAATACAGAAATTCACTGGACCGGAAGCTGACTCGGACTCCAGCACTGGCAATGGGAGATCATCATCCACCTCTATGCCTGAGGGCAGCAGGTTAGCTTAGGGGGTGCAAGGCACACACAATGGAAGAGAATGGGCAAGGGGTTGAGGAGGAACGGACGACTGCAGTCCCCTGCCCACCAGGATATGCTGCCTGAGGCTACTGCCTCACTTTGCCTAATAGTTGAGCCGGCCCTGATAAGGATAGTGGTAGTAGCAGTTTGGGTTATTGGGTTGTTATTTTTATTTTGATTATATATTTTGTGCTGTCATATTTTGATTTTGTTCTGTGAACTGTTCTGAGACCTCCAGGTATAGGGTGGTATATAAATTCTAACAACAGCAGCAGCAGCAACAACAACAACAATTTGCAGGGAGCTTTGGCGGGGGCGGGGGGCACAGACTAATCTCCCCACCCTGCCACACTCATGCAGTCTGAAGCGATCCAGAACCCCAGTGCTTCATTTTGCTGCATGTGGAGAGTGGACCTATACCCTGTTCAAACCATGCAAAAAGAAATTTTTACACCCCTGCCCCCCAAAAAAGGTCCCATGCAGGACAGATTAGAAGTAGCTGGCTTTTATTTGCAGCAATGGTTTCTACAACATCTGGTCACCTTCTTCATCCTCACCCTAACCCTGCGAGGCAAGTCACTGGAATCATATACTTATGAAATAATTGTCAAGATGGAAGGGAGCCCTGCGGTGAGCTGGTCCACACACACACCAGCCCAATGCAGGGTCTGTGATGCAAAAAGCCACAACAGCAACTCTAACAGATTGCTTCCCAGCCTCTTGAGCATGGGTAGGCAAACTAAGGCCCACGGGCCGGATCTGGCCCAATCACCTTCTAAATCCGGCCCGCAGACGGTCCAGGAATCAGCATGTTTTTACATGAGCAGAATGTGTCCTTTTATTTCAAATGCATCTCTGGGTTATTTGTGGAGCCTGCCTGGTGTTTTTACATGAGTAGAATGTGTGTTTTTATTTAAAATGCATGTCTGGGTTATTTGTGAGGCATAGGAATCTGTCCCCCCCCCAAATATAGTCTGGCCCCCAACAAGGTCTGAGGGACAGTGGACCGGCCCCCTGCTGAAAAAGTTTGCTGACCCCTGCTCTTGAGGCAGGCTGTTATCCTGCTGCACAGTTCCTACTGTTAAAGAAGCCCTCCCCCAACGTTTAGCCAATATCTGCCATTTTGAGTCATTCGTGGGCGTCCTTGGGAAGATTTATGGTGGGGTAAGTAGTGGGGGACTTACAACACTGAAAGAGGGGAGCTGACTGATTTCTCACCTACACAGAGAATTGAAAAGAATGGTGCTTGTACATTTTGCCTCTCAGGAGCCTGCACTAAAGGTAAAGGTAAAAGGTAAAGGACCCCAGGACAGTTAAGTCCACTCAAAGGCGACTATGGGGTTGCAGCCATAGCTGTCAACTTTCAGATCTGAAAATAAGGGATCAGCAGCCTTGAAAATAAGGGATCAGCAGCCCCACCTTTCCTGGGGACAGTCTACGGGATATCTAACAATCCGGGATAACAGCAGGAAGCAGCGAGAAACGGCGCTGGAATAAGGGAATTTCCCGCAAAAAAAAAAAGGGAAGGTTGACAGCTATGGTTGCGGCACTCATCTCGCTTCAGGCCAAGGCAGCCGGCTTTTGTCCACAGACAGTTTTCCAGGTCATGCGGCCAGCATGACTAAACTGCTACTGGCACACGGAGGACTGTGACGAGTGCCAGAGCGCACGGAAACGCCGTTTATCTTCCTGCCACAGAGTTACCTATTTATCTACTTGCACTTTGACGTGCTTTCGAACTGCTAGGTTGGCAGGAGCTGAGACAGAGCAATGGGAGCTCACCCCATCGCAGGGATTCAAACCACCGACCTTCCTATCAGCAAGCCCAAGAGGCTTGTCTGCACTATACATATAATGGCAGGACCATACTGCTTTAAACAGTCAGGGCTTCCCCACCCCTAAAGGATAATGGGAACTGTAGTTTGTTAAGGATGCCAAGAATTGTGCGAAGACTTCTATTGCTTTGTGTGGTTGTACAAACAAATCCTGCTTCACAGGGAACTCTAGGGAGCTCTGGGAGAGGGAAGACCACCACCCAATATACTTGGCATGGGTGGAAAATGCATTTGGTTGGACAGTGTTCTCAAAGCTACCAGCATGAGTTTGACCAAGCTGCAGGAGGCAGTGGAAGACAGGAGTGCCTGGCGTGCTCTGGTCCAGGGGGTCACGAAAAGTTGGACATGACTAAACAACTAAACAACAACAATGCCTTTTGCCTGCCTGCCTGGATGTAGGATAGAGGGTGTGTGTGTGTGTGTGTGTGTGTGTGTGTGTGTGTGTAGAAAATAGCTCCCTGTGCAAAGGGAAAGTTTGCATCCCTTGCTCTCCCCGATTTTGACTCTGCCACCACCACTGCCACGTACCCCCTGGGAGGCTACCCAGAAGGAAAGGTGGCCCTCAGGCTGGAAAAGCTTCCCTACCCCTGCTCTAAGCGCACTAAAAAAATATCCTGGCCAGCGATATGTTCATTTGCCAGCATGTCAAGACCTGCCCTCCTTCACTCCATCCCCAGCTTGTTCTTCAAGGCCCGGAGCTCCTTGGTGTGGATGGCACTCCCACCGCAGACAATAACGACAATGGAGTCCAGTTGCCGGCTCAGCCGCCCCTCTTCCTGCAGCTGCTGGAGGTAGCCTGAGTACAGGAACGCCAGGGTGGCAGCACAGGCAGGCTCCACCAACATGCGCTCGTCATCTGGAAAGGGGTGAGAAATAAGGGAGCAAGTGAAAATGATGTATCGTTGATATTTAACTCCCAGTAAATCAGCAAAAAATGTATAAAACAAGGTCAAATGTATGCTGGTAGAGTAAGGAAAAAGAAGGCACCTTTTAGCATACGTGTGGAAATGTAAGAATTTTTGGAAATGATATACAGTGGTACCTCGGGATGTGAACGGGATCCATTCCAGAGCCCCGTTCGCATCGCGAATGGAACACAAGACAGCGCGTCACATTTCGCCGCTTCCGCACATGCGCGTAACGTCATTTTGAGTGTCTGCACATGCGTGAGCGGCCAAACCTAAAAGTAACGCGCTCTGTTACTTCCGGGTTGCCGCGGAGCGCAACTTGAACGCACTCAACCCGAAGCACATTCAACTTGAGGTATGACTGTATAATGGGTTGGAAAAAATGTTTAAAATAACCTTTTCTATAAAAAAAAAAAACCTGAAGGAATACTAGGTGCCAAAATCCCACGGGAGTAGAAAAGACTATTTATGTATGTGACCACAGCTGCATGGATGTTATTGGCCCAGAGATGGAAAGAAGATAAACTCCCTTCCAGAGAAGAAAAGCAGATGAAGTTAATGGAGTATGCTGAAATGGCTAAAATGACCGGAAGAATCAGAAACCAGGAAGACCAAAATTTTAATAAGGAATGGGAAAAAATTTTCTTAAAAACCATCATAAACTGTTAAAATCGTTAGTAGGATTGAACTGACACTTGTAGTTTAATGGTGAATTTTGGACACAATGGAGAGGTAAAAGATTTGGATTATCATAAAAGATGCAGGAGGAAATGATTAACAATAGGACTCACAAAGGGGAGGAAGGAAGTCCAGGAGATTCCTTGGAATCTTGTTTCTGTGTTGTATGTTGAATATGTGACTGTAAAATTTTAATCTGAAAAGCCAAATAAATAGCAGAAGCAGCTCCTGACCAGCTGCCCTGATCCCAAATCCCAGAAGGATCTGTTAGTTGGTTTTATTTATTGCTCTATCCACTAATTCTATTCTGAATAATGCCTTTTTGTAGGGAAAAGTTGGGGGCACTGGGGATGAGTTTATGAAAGCAAAGGGACAGTGGCCCGAAAAGGTTTGGGAACCTATGAATTATCTCTATGATCTCTACTGACAGATTGTCTGATGCGGTATAAAACGAGAGCTCCTACAAGCCACTAGAGGGAGCTGTCTGCCTACCAGTTGCCTGCCTTCACCACAGCTCTATGCTTCCAGTGTTTCAGGGTTAGCATTGCATTAAATGTGGAGCGTGCAAGTGTGGTCAGTGATTTAAAAATAAAATAAAGTTAATATGAATTGTCTGGGGTGGCAACTTTCATCAGAACCACGGGGGGGGGGGGGGAATCACTGTCTGCAACACCCTTGAAAACTCACCCAGGAACTGCTCGATGGCTTTCACCGCTTCCACATCATCTAGCACATGAGAGATGATGCAACACTCGCAGGCACAATCCAGAGCCCTCTGTGCCACTGTCTTGGCCCCCAGGCACATGGCCACACTGCAGAATGGACAGTAAAGAGCAAGGTAAGTTTGCACCCATGCCCAGGGAAGGCGGGAGGGTAGGAGTCATGAGTTAGTCGGGGGGGGGGGAGAGAGACTCTATGAATGAAAGTGGAGATGCAATATGTACTTTCCCTTGTTTATTTGTTTGTACGTATTGTATCACAAAGAAACTTTAATAAAAACTACCCAGACCCTGAGATCATCTTCTGAAGCCCATCCTCATGTGCCGCCTCCATGAGAGGTCCAGAGTGTGGCAACACGAGAACGGGGCCTTTTCTGCAGTGGCTACCCCTTTGTGGAATGCTCTCCCCAGGGAAGTCTGCCTGGCACCTTCATTATACAACTTTAGGGGCCTTCCAGGCAAAAATGTTCCTCTTTGGTTGATTAGCATCCAATGTCCTTTAAAAATGTGTTAGTGAGGGGTTATTGGGTTGTTTTTGTTTCTGTTTTGATTATGTGTTTTGTGTTTTTATATTGTGATTTTACGTTGTAACCATCCTGAGACCTACGTATGAGTGGTGTACAAATCATTGCCATCACCACCATCGTCATCATCAACTGTGATGTGATGTGATGTGATAGACCAGCTCCACTGGGACTCCGATCCCCTCAGCTGCCAGCTGCGGGCAGGCATTCCATCAGGCTGCCTCAGTGGGAGAGGTGGGAAGTGGGGCTCATCCTATCAGCTTCACTAAAAGACCAGCTGCATCGGGTACCTCCTGCCCCTGAACTGCACCAGCTGCTCATTATAACAGGGGTCAGCAAACTTTTTCAGCAGGGGGCCGGTCCACTGTCCCTCAGACCATGTGGTGGGCCAGATTATATTTTGAAAAAATAAGAATGAACGAATTCCTATGCCCCACAAATAACCCAGAGATGCATTTTAAATAAAAGCACACATTCTACTCCTGTAAAAACACCAGGCAGGCCCCACAAATAACCCAGAGATGCACTTTAAATAAAAGGACACATTCTACTAATGTAAAAACACGCTGATTCCTGGACCATCCATGGGCTATACTGAGAAGGCGATTGGGCCGGATCCGTCCCCCGGGCCTTACTTTGCCTACGCATGCATTATAACAACTGCTCAAGAATTGTTGCCCAAGTTTGATTCCAGCCCCCTCTCCACACACCCTGCCCCTTTCCCCTTGTGTGACGTGGGTTGTTGTTGTTTTAATTGTAAGCTTGTGGGCAGAGAGAGCTGTCTCATTTTAACTGATTGTCATACAGCTCAGTTGGTAGAGCACAAGACTCTTAAACTCAGGATCATGGATTCGAGCCCCACATTGGGCAAAAGATTCCTGCATTGCAGGGGGTTGGACTAGATGACCCATGTGGTCCCTTCCAACTTTACAGCTCTGTGATTCTACATTCTGGGAGACTTTTTGGCTGAAAAGTTGGGTATGGATGCTAGAAACAAACAAACAACCCTTTTCCAGGATGGAACTCTAGACAGTATTAACAAGGGTTTCCAGGAGGTCTCCATTGAGGCACTGAAGAGACCCAGGTCCTTATTGGAACCAGCTCTACATTTTGTACCACAGCTAGAAAAATAGGAGGAGGAAGATTAGCTTAGATAGCTCAGTTGGTTAGAGCATGGTGCTGAGAATGCAAAGGTTTCAGGTTCGATCCCTGTACAGGACAGCTGCATATTCCTGCATTGCAGGGGGCTAGACTAGATGATCCTCAGGGACCCTTCCAACTCTCTGATTCTATGAAGTGAGGCGGAGAAGTCCCTTTAATGGCAAACTCAGGTGGGGAGTGCTAACAGGTGAACCCAAAACAGGGACCCCGGGGGACAAGAAGGAAGCACCAGCATGCTCAGGATAACCCTGAAGTTTTCAGGTTCCAAACACTATTTTTTTTAAGGGAGGAGAAGAAAGAAGGAGAACATTTCGTCTCAACACCGACACTCTTTCCTTCAAGCTGGGGTTGCTGCCATCTCCAATGCACACAACTCACCTGGTTATGTCAGGCAGAGTGACGAGCCGTCCTGCTTTGAGGGCTGCGTTGTAGCTGTCAGCACCTCTTGTCTCCACGGCAATGACGGGCACATCCTGCCAGCCCACCTCTTGCAGACCAGACACCACCCCACACAGCAGCCCACCTCCGCCCACGGCGAGCACAATAGCTCCTGGCTTGGAATCCAGGGAGTCCCTCAGCTCCTTGATAATAGTGCTATGGCCCTTCCTGTGTGGAGAAGAGACATATTTGAGAGACTGGCATTTGTGGGAAGGATGCTCTGAGCCACGGATGGCCCAAGACATTTTGCTGCTGGAGGCAAGCAGAAGAGGGCGCCGTGCAGGCAGAAGCTGACTAGACTGGTAGCTAAATCTTACTTGACAATGGGACAGCTAAGAACATAAGAGGAGCCTACTGGATGAGGCCAATGACCCATCTTGTCCAGAATCCTGTTCTCAGAGTGGCCAACTAGATGTCCCTCGTACCTACGGGACCGCCTCTCCCGGTATGCCCCACAGAGAGCCTCAAGGTCCATAAATAGCAACACCCTAGTGGTCCCGGGCCCTAAGGAAGTTAGATTGGCTTCAACCAGAGCCAGGGCCTTTTCAACTCTGGCTCCGGCCTGGTGGAACGCTCTGCCTCATGAGACCAGGGCCCTGCAGGATCTGATTTCTTTCCGCAGGGCCTGTAAGACAGAGTTGTTCCGCCTGGCCTTTGGCTTGGAGCCAATTTGATTCCCTCCCTCTCTTTCTTTTTCCCTTTCCTTCTCCTCCTGCGATGAGGCTACATTTTAATATTTTAATGTTGTATTTTAATTTTGTTTTTAAGTTGTAATCATTCAACTTGTTTTTATTATTGCTTGTAAGCCGCTCTGAGCCCGGCCTTGGCTGGGGAGGGCGGGGTATAAATAAAAATTATTATTATTATTATGAGAATCGCACAAGACAGGTTTGAGCACAAGAATACTCTCCTCTCCTGTGGTTTCAAGCAACTGATATTCAGAAGCATTACTTTCTCTGACAGTAGAGACAAAGCATACCACCATCACTAACACCCATTTATAGCCTTCTCCATTAACTGGTCCAATCCTCTTTTAAAGCCATCCAAGTTGGTGGCCATCACTGCTTCTGTGTGAGCCAGCTCCATAGCTTAACTATGCTCTACATAAAGAAGTACTGTCCTGAATCTTCCAACATCCAGTTTAATTGGATGTCCAGGAGTTCTAGTGTTATCAGACAGGCAGAAAAATTCTCTATCCACTTCCTATCTTCTAACATGTTGCATCTTACTTGCCTTTCCTTCAAACTAAAAAGTCCTAAAGGCTTCATGGGGGACTTGCCGCATCTCTGAGGACAGAAACGTATTTAAGGGAGTGCAGTGGAATCCACATGGCACACACAGTTCCATCCTCTGACACCTTGTCACTGCTCCCTGTCCCCCAGTATCTACCGCCCGAGGCAGGTTATAAAAATCTTCCTGGTGTTCCAGGACAGTGCTGAGACAACTTGTATCTTGTACCTCAGCTTAAGGATCGCTATCCATGGTCCTGAAACTCACCCCTAGGTCCCTCTCCAAGGTGCTGATCACAACAAAATATAGCATTTAGGGGAAATAAAGAATGAATGAGCTCAAACAGCAAGGACATAAAGCACGACCCTTTCTACCCGTTTGTTCCTCGTTTGTTTTGGAACCAATAGAAATTGGACCAACTGGGCCCCAGCAGTAGGTGGAAAGGGCACAACTCTATGTCCCCAACAAGGACTCTTGAGTTAGATGGGTGTGGAGAGTCCCATCTACTTGACAGAGAGCCCAGTACACAACAACCCCTTATGGATTCTAAGGTGGAAATTCTGCAAAACACATTATCGGTGAGGTCAGTTTCAGGTACACAAGAGTGCATCCTAAATACAAAACGGGTAAGAACCAGTTTAGGAGGAACCTATCTGACGGAGTGCAAATCAAGTCCAAATAAGGGACCAGGAGGGCTCTTCACGCAAAGCAAAAAACTTGGGTTGCGCAAGTGTTTTTAAGGACTATGGTTGGATGAAGAGATTATGACAGAGGTCAGCAAACTTTTTCAGCAGTGGGCCGGTCCACTGTCCCTCAGACCTTGTGGGGGGCCGGACTATATTTTGATAAAAAATATGAATGAATTCCTATGCCCCACAAATAACCCAGAGAGGCATTTTATATAAAAGGACACATTCTACTCATGTAAAAACACGCTGATTCCCGGACCGTCCGCAGGCCGGATTTAGAAGGTGATTGGGCTGGATCCGGCCCCTGGGCCTTAGTTTGCCTACCCATGGATTATGAGGTGCCAGAGTGGCAGAAGGGGATTGGCTAGAGAATAAACAGCCAATATGATGTATTTATTCCTAAGTAGAGTGTGTGCTAATGGGACTGCTCTCACAGACTCCTTTGGACTCTGTCCAGAAATGTGTTACAGTGGTTCCTTAGTTCTCAAACACCTTGGAACTCAACAACATGGAACCCAAACACTGGAAACCCGGAAGTATGTGTTCTGGTTTGCGAACTGTTTTCGGAAGCCGAACATGCTCCTTTTTGAGTGCCATATTTCTGTTTTGAGTGCCACACTTCCATTTTGAGTGTTACACTGAGGTCTGTTTTTGCTATTTATTTTGCATTTTTGTTTTTGTGGCTCTTTTTGTTTTGTTTTTGTGACTGTGTGGAACCCAGTTGAGCTACTGATTGATTGATTGATTGATTGATTGAGTGACTTCAGTACATTGTTTATTGCTTTCATTTTATGGATCAATGGTCTCATTAGATAGTAAAATTCACATTAAATTGCTGTTTTAGGGGTTGTTTTTAAAACTCTGGAACGGATTAATCCATTTTGCATTACTTCCTACAGGAAAGCGTGCTTGGTTTTGGAAAGCTTTGGTTTTGGAACGGACTTCCGGAACAGATTATGTTTGAGAAGCAAGGGACCACTGTACTGAATAAAGTCTGACAAATTAGGAATCTGGCATGAGCCTCTGTATTGGGCCCACAAAGGGGATTTTCTCCCAAAATGTACTTCCCAAGGACCTTACCACACCAATGGGTGGTCAAAAGGGTGGATCTTGACCCAGCCGTCAGCTTCAGCAAGCCTCTTGGCTCTTTCTTCAGTATCGTCCCACACCTGCCGGAACAAGAAACAGGAAGACCTCCACTGAAATGAGAGGAGACCTTGACTTGGCCACAGTGATCCATGCGACAGTCACCTCCAGGATTGACTACTGTAATTCGCTCTACGCGGGGCTGCCCTTGAAGCTGTCCCAGAAACTCCAGCGGGTGCAGAATGCTGCAGGGAGGCTCCTCACGGGGTCTCTGCCATGGGAGCATATTCACCCAGTGCTTTTCCAACTGCACTGGCTCCCGGTGGAGTACAGGGTCAGATTTAAGGTGCTGGTTTTGACATTTAAAGCCCTTCACGGCCTAGGACCCTCGTACCTACGGGACCGCCTCTCCCGGTATGCCCCATGGAGAGCCTCAAGGTCCATAAATAGCAACACCCTAGTGGTTCCGTGCCCTAAGGAAGTTAGATTAGCTTCAACCGGAGCCAGGGCCTTTTCAACTCTGGCTCCGGCCTGGTGGAAACCTCTGTCTCATGAGACCAGGGTCCTGCAAGATCTGATTTCTTTCCGCAGAGCCTGTTAGACAGAGTTGTTCTGCCTGGCCTTTGGCTTGGAGCCAATTTGATTCCCTCCCCCTCTTTCTTTTTTCTTTTCCTTTCTCCTCCTGCGATGAGACTACATTTTAATATTTCAATATTTTAATGTTGTATTTTAATTTTGTTTTTGAATTGTATTCATTCAACTTGTTTTTATTATTGCTTGTTAGCCGCCCTGAGCCCAGCCTTGGCTGGGGAGGGCGGGGTATAAATAAGAATTATTATTATTATTATTATTATTATTATTATTATTATCCAATTCAGCACCAGCTTTGGGGATGAGGGGACCCATGGCAATTGTCCTGGAGGGCTTCTTCCTTCACTGGGCCCCCCTGCCACCCAGGTTAGGCATCAGGGATGGGTCCTCCCAGTGTGCTTGGGCACTGGCAACTGCCCAAGTGTGCCCGGCGGTGGCACCAGGTCTGCTCCAGCCTTACCCGTGATTCAGAAGCATTCGGCACATGTTCCTCCACTCACCTTCCCAAAGATCTCCACCTCTGCACCAAACTTCTTTAGTTTATTCACCGTCGACAGTGGAGTACTTCCATGGACGATGATGGTGGCAGGTATGCCAAGTTTTTGAGCAGCATACGCTGCAGCAAGTCCAGCGTTGCCACCTGCGAGGAATGAGTGGCAGCAGGGAAGAGGAAAACATTTCCACCAGAGTTGAAGTACAGTTTTGGTGCAACACAGGGCACCTTCAATATTGGCCACAGGAGAGCTGCCTATGTTGTACCTGAGGACCCCAGACTAGCTCAGGGGGCATGTGGCACACGCACTGCTGCCCACTCCTCACCCCTCATTATGCCAAGGGAGGATATGACCCCATTTTACACTAAGACACCTCTTTTCTTTTTTTTTGACAAAGTAATAATCATAAATAAATAAGAATAAAAATGTGCACCCCGCCACCGAGACCATGCCATTGTAACAATCCAACGTCACAAAATTTCAACACAACTTGCAATGGTTTGACCCTTTCCATTTTAACAGTACAAATTCTACAAACACCTTCCATCTCTCCTCAAAATCATTTCTCCTGCATATTCCCCATCTTATCTTAATGGCACATGTTAATTTATCATTAATAGCTATATCCCACACCTCTTTATACCATTCTTCTGTTTTATATTCTGCTTGCCCCTTTGAGTTCCTAGCTATCATAATTCGTGCAGCTGTCAATAAATTTGTGAACAAGTCCTTCATAGCCTGAGAACCTTCCACCCCATCGTAAATTGATAATAATGCTACCTCTGGACTTTCGGTCCAGCTTTAACCCAGTGATTTCTGCTATAAGATATCTCTTTGAATAGTGATGGCTTCCTTCAAAGAATTATGGGAACTGTAGTTTTTAAAGAATTGATATGAGACCCCTATCCCTCGCACAGAGCTGCAATTCCCAGAGTTCTCTGGGAAGAGGGATTGGCTGTTAAACCACTTTGGGAATTGTAGCTCTGGGTGGGGAATATGGGCCTCCTAACAACTCTCAGCACACTTAACAAACTACAGTTCCCAGGATTCTTTGGGGGAAGCCATGACTGCTTAATGTGAGGTGATACTGCCTTAAATGTATAGTGCAGATGGGTCAGGGCAATTGGGAGGAATAGCCAGGGGGCTGCCACCATCACCACCACATCTGCATCTGCCACCTGAGTTTGGAGTCATCTCGTTTGGCCTAATGGCAGGGCAGGCCCTCTGAATACACCGTACAAACTGAATCAAGGTCAAGAGGAGTAACTAAGTCACACACAGTGCGTTGTTTTGGGCTTTCCTGACAATTACAAGAGAAACATTGGAAGTTGAAAGAAGGACCGTGGACTATGCAGAATTAGATAAATTAACAGGAAGAATTCGAAACCGGCAGGACCAGAGATTCACAGAAGACTGGTGTAAATTTACGGACTATTTGAAAAGTAACTGTGATGATCAGATTACGTTTGTAGGTTTGCAAGAAGTTTTGTGAGGTGAATTATTTGAATTATTGCAACAATGGATAAAGAGGAGAATTGTTAGTTAAGATAATTAAAGGCATTATGAATTTAAGAAATGATAAGAATGGTGGATCATCAGAGGTGCTGATGGAAGTCCAAAAAGATTGTATAAGATGTGAAGTTTTGTTGTATTATGATAATTAATATGTTAAAATTAATAAAAATTATTATTAAAAAAAGGAAGTTGAAAGAAGGACCGAAAAGGCACATGGATATTTACTTACCTGATGAACAAACCAGGTGTTGGCAGCCCTTTTTAGCAACCTGAAATGAACAGGAGAGGGAGTTCAGTCTGAGAGAGGGGAAGGTGTGAGAATTCATTGATCTGGAGGAGAATTCCATATGGAAACTTGGAGAGTATTATTAGAAGCACAGGAAGCTCTCTATTTAGATGAAATGACAGCAGCGATTCCTGCACTGCAGAGGGTTGGACTAGATGACCCTTGGGTCCCTTACAGCTCCACAGTTTCTATGATTCTAGGGCTGAGCCCAGTTTCTCCTCCTGGGTGATTTAAACAACCTTCCTCTGGTTTCTTTTTCCCCCTTTCCCCCTTTTTTTTCTTCCCCTGGTTTCTGAATGTTGCCATTTCTGAGCCAAAAATGTGTCCTTTTATTTATTTTGGCATGTTCTATTTGTGTCATGCAGATAGGACATTGTGTTACTGTGATAATATACATCAGGTTGGAAGATAAGCTTGCAAATGAGCACAGTGTGCCGCGTGTTACTAAGCCCTGTAACAGTGTTGCCTGAGCAGATATGGGTCAGAGTTTGTTATCCTGGGCCATTGCAGGGTTGGATCCCCATATTTGTGACTCTCTTACGTAGTTTATTATTTATTTCTGCACTTATTTAGTACCTTTTTATCCCACCTTTCCTTCAAGGAGTTCATGTGGTTCTCTACCTACCTCTCCCATTTTATCCTGTTTAGGGAAGCTTTTAATGTTTGATGCATTATTGTATTTTAATATTTTGTTGGAAGCCGCCCAGAGTGGCTGGGGAAGCCCAGCCAGATGGGCGGGGTGTAAATAAATGAATTATTATTATTATCATCATCATCATCATCATCATCATCATCATCATCACAACAACCCGGGAAGGATAGGTTAGGCTGAGTTGTTCACCCAGTGAGCTTCATGGCTGAGTGAAAATTTGAACCCTGGTCTCCCAGCTTGTAGCCAAAAACTCTAACCACTACACCACATTGCCTTGTTGGTTGATTTTTTAAAAGATCAGCTGTTTTGTGTTGGGGAGCTGCCCATAATCAAAGCTGCTGTTCTTCCGCAAAGGAACTTCCAGGGTACTTGGCAGCCACTCACCTGTTGGCAAAAGTAGCCAATGCCCCGGATTTTGAAGGAACCCGCGGGTTGGACATTCTCCATCTTCATATAGACTTTGGTGCCCGCAGCTTCGGAAAGGGCGATGCTCTCCAGGACAGGCGTCACAACGTGGAATGGTTTTCCATCCCTGCCACCAAAATGGTCCCCTGTTGCTGTCATGGAGATTGCCTAAAACACAGAAGTGGAGAGATGGAGGTTAGCTGGAATGCTTGGTGATGGAAATAAAAGACCTAGTGCATTGGCTCCCGGTACGTTTCCGAGCACAATTCAAAATGTTGGTGCTGACCTTTAAAGCCCTAAACAGCCTCGGCCCAGTATATCTGAAGGAGCATCTCCACCCGCATTGTTCAGCCCGGACACTGAGGTCCAGCTCCAAGGGCCTTCTGGCGGTTCCTTCACTGCGAGAAGCGAAGTTACAGGGAACCAGCCAGAGGGCCTTCTTGGTGGTGGCACCCGCCCTGTGGAACGCCCATCAGATGTCAAGGAAATAAACAACTATCCGACTTTTAGAAGACATCTGAAGGCAGCCCTGTTTAGGGAAGTTTTTAATGCTTTATGTTTTATCATGTTTTTAATTTTACCGTGTTTTTAATAGTCTGTTGGGAGCCGCCCAGAGTAGCTGGGGAAACCCAGCCAGATGGGCAGAGTATACCGGATTTTTCGCTCTATAGGATGCACCCAACCATAGGACGCACCTAGTTTTAGAGGGGGAGAACAAGGGGGAAAAATTCTCTCCCTCTCTGCGCAGTGCCCCTTCAGCGAAGCGGCAGGAGAAACGAAGCCCCTTCCCTTTCTCCTCCCGCTTTGCTGAAGGGGCGCTGCACAGAGAGGGAAAGCTGCGCAGTGCCTCGCCAGCGAAGCGAAGCCAGGAGAGCAAGAGGGATCGGTGTGCACTGACCCCTCTTGCTCTCCTGGCTTCAGCGAAAGCAACGCGAAGCCTCTGGAGCACGGCAGGAGTGCTCCCACTGCGCTTTGGAGGCTTTGTGTTGCTTTCGCTGAAACCATGGAGCCTGCATTTGCTCCATAAAGTGCACACACATTTCCCCTTAATTTTTGGAGGGGGAAAAGTGCGTCTTATAGAGCGAAAAATACGGTAAATAATAAATTGTTGTTGTTGTTTGCCAAGCACAGTTGACTGCGTGACGATCTCCACCAAGGGAGAGCATACCACACCATTGGTGAACTGGACTCCTTGTTGAAACTGCTCTGGCCTTCAAACATAAGATCAAAGGAAGATCCCTCCTGGATCAGGCCAGTGCCCACCTAGTCCAGCATTCTGTTCTCACAGTGGCCACCCAGATGCCTCTTGGGAAGCCTGCAAGCAAGACCTGAGCACAAGAGCCCTCTGTCCTTCTGTGGCTTCTGCAACTGATATTCAGAAGTGTTACTGCCTGCAGCTGTGGAGGTAGAGCAAAACCATAGCAGCCGGGCTAAGAACTGTGAACAGATCTGCAAGCTCTTATCAAGGTCTGGTCTTTACACACTGAGAGAGTCACAGCTGTGTCAGCCTGTGCAACCAACAACCCAAGAAGAAATCCTGGGAAGTCAATGGCCTGGTTCAGTATAAGACACCTTCTGATTGTCCTAGCCAGAATTCCAATGCACTCCTTCCCAATACTGATTTATTGGTTTTAAAAACTGAATTTAAATTAATTAAAACAACCAAACAATGCCTGTTATTTGCAAATTCAAAAGACCTAGATTACTAAAGGCAGGAAAGTAACCAAGGTCACATCTATGCAATACATTTAAAGCACTCTTTAACAGTCATGGTTCCCCACCACCACCCAAGAATTCTGGGAACTGTAGCTTGTTACGGGTGCTGACCCCGCAGACCTTACAGTTCCCAAGACCTGCAACAAACTACAGTTCCCAGGATTCTCTGTGACTGTTAAAGTAGCCTAATAGTGCTTTAAATATATGGCATAGATCATGTGTCCTTAGATAGCAATGAAAGTAGCGGTGGCAATAAATCTTTCCCAAAAGACTCCTGGGACTCCAGAGGTATTAAATTGCCACTTTGTCTAACGCTAAATGTTATAAAAGGCTCCCAGGTTGCCATAAGGTTCTCATATCCTGCACCTCCTCCAAGCACTTTGCTGCAAAAGCTTCTCAGCTGCTGCAATGAACAGCTTTTGCCCACCAGCCTTCCATTGTCAACGAAGATGAAAGACCATGATGGGAAAGTTCCCAGGTTCAATCCTGAGCATCTCCAGGAGAGACCCCCTTCCTGAAACCTTGAAGAACCACTGCCAGACCGTGCAGACAATACTGAGCTATCTGGACCAATGGACAGGATCTGCACAGGACAGCTTCTCGTGTTCCGGCGCTCTGCAAGCACACCATCTGATGCAAATTTGGAAGCGGCCACCAATTTGGACAGCTTTAAAAGAGGATGCTGGTGGCACTGTGGTCTAAACCACAGAGCCTAAGGCTTGCCGATCAGAAGGTCGCCGGTTCGAATCCCCACGATGGGGTGAGCTCCCGTTGTTCGCTCCCTGCTCCTGCCCACCTAGCAGTTTGAAAGCACATCAAGTGCAAGTAGATAAATACAGTGGTACTTCAGGTTAAGAACTTAATTTGTTCCTGAGGTCTGTTCTTAACCTGAAACTGTTCTTAACCCGAGGTACCACTTTAGCTAATGGGGCCTCCCACTGCCACTGCGCCACTCCCACATGATTTCTATTCTCATCCTGAAGCAAAGTTCTTAACCCGAGGTACTATTTCTGGCTTAGTGGACTCTGTAACCTGAAGTGTCTGTAACCCGAGGTATCACTGAAGCGTCTGTAACCCAAGGTTTCTGCTTGGGTTGGTTTCTGCTTTCCTTCACTGTGCAGCTCTGCTTGTCACGAGACAGGTGTTTACATTCCACAGTCTGTACTGTTGGAGTTTCTCACGGGAAAGGGAGACTGGATGTGACGTACACTGGTTTCCTGTTTTTCACTGTGTGATTCTCTCCGAGCTGTCGAGGAGAGAGGATGCATTTTCTGCTCCTGCAGAGGCAAGATGTCTTTCTGTAATATACCAGCTTTGAACTGTAAATAAAGCAATAAAGAGTATGCAGCACGTATTCTCATCCTTCCGCTGGGCACGACAGACTCTGCTTAAATCAACACGTGGTTATGGGCCCAGGAGTCGAATCGGAGTGCCGGCAAAGGATCGGAATGCAGAGGGACGGATCGGAACGGAATCTGCTCTGCGCGTAGAAGTGATTGATGAGGTATGTGCTACTGCTCCGGGCAGCCTGCCAGCTTCAAGTTAATGGCTTTATGGCTGGACTTTGAACTTTTAAAGCCGGTTTTGCCGGGAATAGGCAAAAGGCTCCCAGGCACAAGTCACTATGCTGGGGAAATCGAAAGTAACTTTTAAGTGTGCCTTTGTAATAAGGCAGCTGCAGCAGTGACGCAGCAAGATTTAAAGCAGCATAAATATGACGCTGAAGGCTAATGCCAGAGTCATGATGGCCCTTCAGGATGCTTGTGGGATTCCTAAGCTCAACAAGAAAAATTACAGCGACTGGGTTCAGTATGCAGAGGCAATTCTGCGGAAAGAGGGTTTGTTTGAGGTGATTACAGGAACCCCCAGTTCCAGTTACAGATGCATGGGAAGCTAAGGATTCCAAAGCAAGGGGAACTCTTACATTGATAGTATCCCCAGAAGAGCTCTGTCTATTGCGTGATAAGACCTCAGCCAGAGAAATTTGGGACGCTCTGAGAGAGGCTCATTTAAGGACAGAAGCTGGATCCACTATGTTTTACTTTAACAAGCTGCACAATATGGCTCTTGCTGAAGGTGGAGATGTGCGTTTACATCTAATGAAGATGCAAAATCTGAGACATGAGCTGCAACAGAGAGGACTCAACTTTCCAGAGGCTGTGTATTCTTTCATGATACTACAATCTTTGGGTTCAGGTTGGGAGTCTGTTGCAACCCAGATTGCTGTGCAACCAACTGCTCAGCTGACAGTGGACTTTGTTACTGCCGTGATTTTAAATGAAGCAGATCGCCGGGTGCTAGCTGCATGGGCAAGGGGAGTCTTCACAGACGTCATCCCATAGTGCAGTGGAACCACCAGATGGCGCCAAAGCTTTGAAGGCAGTGAAATGCTACTCGTGTGGACGTCTAGGCCATATGAAGAGGGAATGCAGACATCCCAGGGCCAAGACAGAGCAGCGCAGCGGAAGCTCATCACGCGGAAAAAGGCCGAGGCAAAGGCAAAGGTCCGGTGTCTAGGACAACGCAGCACAAGGCTATGGTTTCACGCTTCACTCCAAAGGCTGCAGAGGTCCAGAAGACGTCTAGATCTTTCTTCGTTGTTGATTCAGCGGCCACCCACCACATGTGCAACGATAAGAAACTGTTTGTGTCTTTTACACCGCAGGAAGGTGCGATTCACCAGGCGGATGACCACACTATTCCCAGTAAAGGCTACGGAACTGTTGTTCTTCACAGTTTGGACTTATCGATACAGAATGTGCTTTACGTGCCAGACGCCAAACATAATCTGCTCAGCGTTGGACAGCTGAATGAGCGGAACATTGATGTTTCCTTCAAGAACAAGAAGTGCATCATCACAAAGAAAAATGATTATGTATTGCATGCAGAATATGTTGATCATTTGTTTGTTTTGTATTATGATGATGTGGTGCAGGATGACACTTGTTGCATTGCAGGTTCTAACAAAAGTTTGCATGCAGAATGTATTCACGATTTTCATCGAAAATTTGGTCATTTGCATTTTGAGGCAGTATCTAAAATGCCTGCCTTGGTTGAAGGTATGACTATTAAACCCTGCAGGTACCACATGAAGTGCAAAGCATGCGCAGCAAACAAAGTGAAAATGGCTGCGAAAGGTAAGGTGTCTAGTAGGAAAGCTACAGAACCATACCAGGTTGTTCATGCTGATTTGGTTGGACCACTAGCGCCCTCTTTGGGTGGAAATAGATACTTCATGGTTCTCATTGATGCATTTTCTAGATATATTTTTGTGTACAATCTCAAGCAGAAATCGGAGGCTTTTCCTAGGTTCAAGGAATTCTGTGCTTGGTTGGAAAATGTACATGGTAAGAAGATAAAGACTCTTTTCAGTGATCGCGGGGGGGAATTCACTTCTCAGCAGTTTGAAGCTTTTCTGACTGAGAAAGGAATTCAACACGATTTGTCTAGTCCTCGCTCGCCATGGCAGAATGGACTTGCGGAACGGGCAAATCAGACATTGCTTCAAGGGTTAAAAACCTTGCTGCATGATGCCAATCTTCCAGAGAGTTATTGGGCCGAATCTCTCTCGTGTTTTGTTTACAGTTACAATCGCAGGTTATCTTCAGCGATTGGTTGTACTTCTATGAGAAGATGTTTGGCAAGAAGCCATACATCAAACACATGAAGATTTTTGGTTCTGACATGTGGGTTCGCTCACCACAAAACTCCAAGTTAGACAAGCGTGGATTGCATGGTATCTTTCTAGGTTATCAGAAAGGGTCTTACAGAATAATGATGACTGACTCTAAGACAATTAAGCTCACGAGAAGTGTTGAGTACAATGCAAAGTGGGGGAGAATGTGGGAATTTTCCAATGTTATCCTGATGACGGTGATGAGACTGAGGATAGTCAAAAGCAACCACAACAGCCCACACCCACTGATGAAGGTTCTGAGTCTGAATCTGAAACTGAATCGGGTGATTCAGAGGATTTCGAGAGTGCGAAAGCCTCTATGCGACCCTCTGAAAGCTCTGATCAAGAATTGGAGGAACCATTGTTCACAATAGGTCGTTTTTCTCCTAAGAAGGAAGAGGAGAGTGTTGAAGACTTAAGGCTAATTCGTAGGTCACAGAGAGCCACAAAAGGCAAACCTCCAAAGAGATTTGCTGATGAGTTTGCCAAGATAGCAGTAACAGCTGTTAAAAGCTCCAAGAAGGTATTTGAACCTTCAAGTTTCCAAGAAATCCAGGGTTTGGATTCAAAGGAAGCTGAGCCATGGTTAAATGCCATGAAGGCTGAGCTTGATTCCTTAGAAAGGAACAAAACATGGGAGCTAGTTCCAGTAGTTCCAGGAAGGAAACTGCTTGGACGCAAATGGGTCTTCAAAGCGAAGACAGATCAAAATGGCAAGATAGTCAGACACAAAGCCAGATTGGTAGCCAGAGGTTTTGCACAGGTACCAGGTGAAGACTATCACGAGACCTATTCACCCACAGTGAGATATGAAAGCATTAGGCTTATGCTTAAGCTAGCTGCAGAGGAAAATCTACACATTAGTCACCATGATATTAATACAGCTTTTCTGTACGGATCTCTAGATGAATCACTTTATATGCTTCCACCTGATGGCGTACAGGTAAAACAGGGATTTGTTTGTGCTCTGAAGAAATCCCTTTATGGTCTCAAACAAAGTGCACGGTGTTGGCACACAAAACTCACTGAAGTATTGTTTTCTCTAGGTTTTCAGCAAGGGAAAGCTGATCCATGTGTATTTGTCAAAGAGGGGCAAAAGAAACTGTACTGTTTGTTTTATGTTGATGATTTATTATTCTTTTGGAAAGATGTTGCAATGTACAATAGCGCCCTAGCTCAACTGAAAGAGCACTTTGACATGAAAGATCTTGGTGAGGTAAACAACTACCTATCTCTGGAAATAGAGAGAGATCAAGATGGTAACATTCTAGTACACCAGTCACGGAAAATTGCTGATGTGTTAAGCAAACTAAATCTGATGGATGCTAACCCTGTAGACACACCGATGACAACAGGTTATCAGGTAGATGACACTGAAGAAGCATTTTCTGACACTACACTGTACAGGAGTGTGCTAGGCAAGCTAAACTTCATTGCCAGATGTTCAAGACCAGACATTGCTGTTAGCTGTAATTTGCTAAGCAGACAAGTCAACAATCCTAGTGTCAAGGATTGGAAAGCTCTGAAACGCATAGCGCGGTATTTGAAAGGCACTATGCATTACAGACTGAGATTTAACAATCAGAAGTCTGGTGGTCTTGAGATATTTGCAGATGCAAGTTTTGGAAGTGACGCTACAGACAGGAAAAGTACGTCTGGAGTTTGCTACATGTACAATCAGAGTCTGTTTGATTGGTCATGCAAGAAGCAAACAACAGTTAGCTTAAGTACTTGTGAAGCCGAACTGAATGCACTGTCTTATTCACTTAAGGATTGTGAATGGTTAGTACAATTGTGCAAAGATATGAAAATTCCTGTCAAATGTCCAATCCAGGTTTACCAGGACAACAAAGCATGTTTGGCTTTGCTGAAGTCTGAAGGTTGTAAGCAAAGCACAAAGCACTTACAATTAAAGTTGCAGCATGCTAGGGAATGTATTCAGAAGGGACTCGTAACGGTGTCCTATATGCCAGGTAATGAAATTCCTGCTGATGTATTGTCCAAGGTTGTATCAAGGGATCAACACTGTACCTATGTGCAGAAGTTGGGTTTGTACTGATATTGTGCAAACACGCTGCCCAGTGATGTTCACAGAAAGGGGGAGGATGTTGGTTTCTGCTTTCCTTCACTGTGCAGCTCTGCTTGTCACGAGACAGGTGTTTACATTCCACAGTCTGTACTGTTGGAGTTTCTCACGGGAAAGGGAGACTGGATGTGACGTACACTGGTTTCCTGTTTTTCACTGTGTGATTCTCTCCCAGCTGTCGAGGAGAGAGGATGCATTTTCTGCTCCTGCAGAGGCAAGATGTCTTTCTGTAATATACCAGCTTTGAACTGTAAATAAAGCAATAAAGAGTATGCAGCACGTATTCTCATCCTTCCGCTGGGCACGACAGACTCTGCTTAAATCAACAGGTACCACTCCAGCGGAAAGGTCAACGGCGTTTCCGTGTGCTGCTCTGGTTCGCCAGAACCGGCTTAGTCATGCTGGCCACATGACCCGGAAGCTGTACGCCGGCTCCCTCGGCCAATAAAGCGAGATGAGTGCCGCAACTCCAGAGTCGTCCACAAAGGACCTAATGGTCAGGGGTACCTTTACCTTTACCTTAAAAGAGGATTAAACAAATGCATGGAGGACAAGGCTATTGACGGCTACTAGTCAAAGTGGCTCTGTTCTGCCTCCATGGTCAGAGGCGGCAATACTTCTGAATGCCAGTTGCTGGAAGCCACAGGAGGTAAGAGTGCTCTTGTACTCAGGTGCTGCTTACAGGTTTCCCACAGGCGTCTGTTTGGCCACTGTGAGAACAGGATGCTGGACTAGATGAGCCATTGGCCTGATCCAGCAGGCCCTTCTTACATTCTCAAGTAAATGCTATAATTTAATAATACAGTGGTACCTCAGGTTAAGAACTTAATTCGTTCCGGAGGTCCGTTCTTAACCCGAAACTGTTCTTAACCTGAGGTACCACTTTAGTTAATGGGGCCTCCCACTGCCGCCGTGCGATTTCTGTTCTCATCCTGAAACAAAGTTCTTAACCTGAAGCACTATTTCAGGGTTAGTGGAGTCTGTAACCTGAAGCGTCTGTAACCTGAAGCGTCTGTAACGCGAGGTACCACTGTACATCATGCCATAGTGGGGAAGACTTGTGACCAGATAGATGCCCCATGCGTCTGAGTGATGAGTCTGTTGGCCTGGTGGGGCTAACTATTGATGGAAGACATCAAGCTGGTCTACCCTGGCTGATCTCCCTCCTAAGGGTTCTCTACCTTTAAACCAGCCCTGGACCACAGTCCTTCTAACAAAAGACTTTTGCAAGTAGAGGACAGGCCTCTAAAAAGCCAGACACGCCACCACCTAATGTTAGACTCATACTGCGTACAAGCCATACGTTTCAAGCACATTACTTGCCCCTCCAAAGAATTCTGGGAACCGTAGCTCGCCCCAAACAGAGCTACAATTCTCCCAAGGCCCCAAGAAACTATAGCTCCCAAGATTCTTGGGGGAAGTCATGTACTTTAAAATTTACGGTTCATATGCAGCCTGGCATCCTCACCTGGCATCCTGGACATAGCTGTCAACTTTCCCCTTTTTTAAAGGGAAATTCCCTTATTCTGAATAGGATTCCTCGCAAGAAAAGGGAAAAGTTGACAGCTATGATCCTGGACCTTGGGGAACATAATTCCATCCACAGCATTTAGTATCTGCCTGGCACTCCCTTTTCAAGCCAAACAACATTTCCCTGCAAATCTTTTGTTTTCCCACTAAGGAAATGAGTTCTCCACTTCTCTAAAATCAGCTGTTTTAAAATTCTGGCCACATCAGTGCACAAATAACAGGAAGCAGGGGCTATTCTTCCCTCACCCACTGCCCAGCTAGGAAATTCAGCCCATGAGGATCCCCTGTCCCCACATCCATCCCAAGTGGCCACGTCCACCACTGAAGAGGTACCTCACAATCTGGACTCCCCAGGAAACAATGAGCTTTTCTCTCCCGTTCCAGAGGAGTTTCTCTCTCGCAGAAAGTTCCTGCCACCCTCAGCTGTGCGAGCAAAGTTTATTTGGAGGAGGGAACCGGGAAGAGGGCCAAGGGGCAGTGCTCAAGGAACCTTAGCAACCGGCTCTCGTCAGTCCTGAGTTGCAAAGCTGCAGAGTTGCTCCTCAGAAGGCTGGGAATGATGACTGTTAGGATAGAGAGGGTGGGGGGAGAGCTTTATTGACACCCCCAGCTTTCTTCAAAAGAGGGCAACATTGAACATCGCCATCTCTTGCTTGGCCTTCAAGAATTTGCACTTATTTCATTTCATTTATCACACTTGCCACTGTGAGTCTTGATCCCAGCCCCTTTGTAAAGCACTTTGAGCCTTGGAATCTGAGCAGATCTGGGGCTAGTGAAAGCCTTTTTAATATTTAACATACATACACACCTACAATGGCTCAGTCCATCCACAGAAACTGCAAGTCATCCATTTGAAGTCACAGGAATCATTAATAAGAATATTTTCTGAGGTGGGGGAGTGCTGTTTAGTTAATAAGAACATGCAGTGATACATGATATCAGTGATTTTTGTGTGTGTGTGTGTGTGTGTGTGTGTGTGTGTGTGTATACACATGAGATATCAGTGATATAGTGATATTAGGGACATGGGTGGCACTGTGGTCTAAATCACTGAGCTTCTTGGGCATGCCAATCAGAAGGTTGGTGGTTCGAATCCCTGCGATGGGGTGAGCTCCCGTTGCTCTGCCCCAGCTCCTGCCAACCTAACAGTTCATAAGCATACCAGTGCAACTAGATAAATAGGTACCACTGTGGCGGGAAAGTAAACAGCGTTTTCGTGCGCTCTGGCTTCCGCCATGGCATTCTGTTGCACCAGAAGTGGTTTAGTCAGATGGGCAGGGTAGAAATAAAATATTATTATTATTATTATTATTATTATTATTATTACTACTATTTAGTCCTGCTGGCCACATGACCCAGAAAGCTGTCTGTGGACAAACGCCAGCTCCCTCAGCCTGAAGCGAGATGAGCACCGCAACCCCATAGTCACCTTTGATTGGACTTAACCGTCCAGGGGTCCTTTACCTTTTACCTTTACCTGCTGTGATACAAGTGTTAGTTGCACCCTGCTTGGACTACTGTGATGTGCTCTGGGTGAGGCTACTTTTGAAAAATGGGACTTCAAAGTGCCGTGTGGTGCTTGCAGATGCTTTAAAATGCTCATGGTGCTTTCGGAGGCTTTGAAGTTCCTGAGGTTTCAGTTTTATTGCCCTTCAGTTGATAGAGCCAGCTCCTGCCAGTGCACAGCCAGGAGTGCACTTTAAGGCTCCTGCCTCTCTCCTGGCCCCACGCCTGACATCACCTATGACAAGCAGGTGGGCATGATCTGGGCCAGAGGATCCCCATCCCTGCTCTGAACAAATGCATCCATCTAGCAAATGTGCATGAAGAGAAGAAAGTGGGCTATCAGCCCAGCCTGAGACATTTGGCAAGGGACACACACACACACACGGGTCAACCAAGTGGCAGGCTGTTGTGTAATGTCACGTTCCGCTCTGATTGCCTATGTGATGCACTCTCTTAGGCAATCCATCCAAAAGCAATTATGCGGCTTTTGGACTTGTCCGTGTTGCCGTCTCATTAAGCCTTTTCAAAGGGAAAGAACCGGGAGAAATCTTTCCCGGAATCACAGGCACAGGACTCAATCATTTGCATTCTGTTTCCGGACTTAGTACAGTAGCAATATTGATTATGCGTCTCTCTCTCTCTCTCTCTCTCTCTCTGCTTGTCTCCCGGGTCTTAGATGAGGCAGCTATGGAGTGGAGGGAAGCAAGCTCAAAGAGGTCAGCTGAGTCATGAAAAGGGGCTCGGAAAAGGGGAGCCCAAACGATCAGGGGGTGCAAAGACCCTCCACATGAGGAAAGGTAGCAGCATTTGGGACTTTCTACCTAACTTTTAGAAGACATCTGAAGGCAGCCCTGTTTAGGGAAGCTTTTAATGTTTAATAGGTTATTGTATTTTAGTGTTCTGTTGGAAGCTGCCCAGAGTGGCTGGGGAAACCCAGCAGATGGGTGGGGTATAAATAATAAATTATTATTATTATTATTATTATTATTATTATTATTGTTATTATTATTATTATTATTATTATTATTATTTAGAGAAAATGCGGGGAAGAGGTGGCACGATGTTGTTGTTGTTTAGTCGTTTAGTCGTGTCCGACTCTTCATGACCCCATGGAGCAGAGCACGCCAGGCACTCCTGTCTTCCACTGCCTCCCGCAGTTTGGTCAAACTCATGCTGGTAGCTTTGAGAACACTGTCCAACCATCTCGTCCTCTCTCGTCCCCTTCTCCTTGTGCCCTTCATCTTTCCCAACATCAGGGTCTTTTCCAGGGAGTCTTCTCTTCTCATGAGGTGGCCAAAATATTGGAGCCTCAGCTTCACGATCTGTCCTTCCAGTGAGTACTCAGGGCTGATTTCCTTCAGAATGGAGAGGTTTGATCTTCTTGCAGTCCACGGGACTCTCAAGAGTCTCCTCCAGCACCAGAATTCAATTCTTTGTCGATCAGCTTTCTTTATGGTCCAGCTCTCACTTCCATACATCACTACTGGGAAAACCATAGCTTTAACTATACGGACCTTTGTTGGCAAGGTGATGTCTCTGCTTTTTAAGATGCTGTCTAGGTCTGTCATTGCTTTTCTCCCAAGAAGCAGGTGTCTTTTAATTTTGTGGCTGCTGTCACCATCTGCAGTGATCATGTGGCACGATAGTAGTGCTTAAAATGAGGCATGGTGCAGAGAAATTGGATAGAGGAAGGTTGTTATCCCACAGCACTAGAACTTGCGGGTGTCCAACGAAGTCGAACGTTGGAAGAATCAGGACAGATAAAAGACAGGCCTCCGGCACATAGTTAGACTATGAAACACTTTCCCACAGGAGGCAGGAATGGCCACTAATGTGAGTGGCTTTAAAAGAGGATTGGACAAATCCATGGAGGAGGGGGCTATTGAGGGCTACAAGCTATGATGGCTGTGCTCTGCCTCCACGGTCAGAGGCAGCAATGCTTCTGAATAACAGTCGCTGGAAACCTCAAGAGGAGGGGAGAGAGCTCTTGGGCTCAGGCACTGCTCCGGCAAGTTTCCCACAGGCATTTGGTTGGTCACTGTGAGAACAGGATGCCGGACTAGATGGGCCACTGGCCTAATCAAGCAGGGTCTTAATATGTTCAAAAGAGGACCTCAAGGGCCAACAAGCCCCAGCCTTCTAATGACAAATAGGGACAACACAAAGGACGCTCATAATTACTTTTGGCCGCTTTTTGGCCATTGCAGGGAACTCTCTTGCATTCTGAGGACAATGTGGAGGGAATGACCCTGCTTCTAAGGGCAACGAAGTCTTTGCTCCAGTGTTGCCAAGTGGAAGAAAGGGTGCCCATTGGCATCAGCGGTCCATCCTCTTTCTTGCGCCAGGCCCTGTTGGGACTCCTCCCACCGTGTGGCATCATGTGCCCCAGGTGCGTGATGCCACACTCACACTCCAGGCCCCCTCAGTGTTGGGCAGAACCCGGTGCTCCTGCTGGTGCTGGAGGTGTGGCCTCAGGAGAATCCCGAGAGCCACATTTCACTCTTGGGTCTGAGGTTCCCCACCGCTGACATGGGGGGGGGACCCCCAATGTCAAGTATAAAATTTGGATGCACTCATAGTCCTGGGCCTCACTCCTGGATGAAGAACTCAAACTCAGATCTCTGTTTCTACCAGATTCTTTAATGCATAGATCTGAGCAACACAAGGTGAATTGCACCAGTAGCTGAGATGTTGATTCAACATGCTACACACACAAACCTCTTCTTTTTGAAGAGAGGGGCAGGCACAAGCTTCCGTGCTGCGAATGGCAGGCGTTTCTGCTCTGGGCAGGAAAATGTGCACTTCTCTGGGAGTGAGCTAGGCCTGTGAGGTTTGTGGGACTGGCCTCAGGGTGGTCAGCAGTGGCCCTTTAGGAGGAACCTGTCTAGAAGTGTCCACCATCCCATCATCACAGGGGCAGGAGACCTCTCTGAACCTTCCCCAGGTTCCAGCCTGTGACTCTCCCAACCGTTGGCCACCTCTTCCAACTCTGACATTTCCTGAGGCCTCAATTCCACCCCCTCATCTTGCAGGGACCCTCCTGCAAGGTGTCTAATGCCAGCTTCCTGATCTCTTCCTCCTCCTCACCCCCCACACCTCAGAATCTGCCCACCCCCTCCACGTCATCTCCACAGAACTCGTAATGCCCATTATCCTGAGATGCTCAATTGCGTCCAGTGTTTGTGGGGGCAGGAAACCTTCATTGTATCAGTGCTCTTTGTTCCCTTGTGCTTGACCTGGAAGCTGCTGTCGGTACAGAATGCTGCAGTGTGATTGCTGATAAGAGACCCTCTCAGAGTAGAACATTTGTGCTCAGAGGTTACCAATTTGCTCCCTGGCCAAGTTCAAGGTGTTACCTTCTGCATGCATAATGCCCTAGGTTTAATCCCCAGCGACATCTCCCAGTAGGGTTCAGTAGGGTTGGGAATGTTCCCTGTCTGAATCCACGGAAAGCAGCTGCCAATCAGAATAATAATAATAATAATAATAATAATAATAATAATAATAATAGAAGAGTTTGGATTTGATATCCTGCTTTATCACTACCCGAAGGCTAACATTCTCCTTTCCCTTCCTCCTCCACAACAAACACTCTGTGAGGTGAATGGGGCTGAGAGACTTCAAAGTGTGACTAGCTCAAGGTCACCCAGCAGCTGCATGTGGAGGAGCAGAGACGCAAACCCGGTTCACCAGATTACGAGTCTACTGCTCTTAACCACTACACCACACTGTAATTTATTACTTATAATGGGGACCCATCTGGCCAGACCTTCCCAGCCACTCTGGGCGGCTTCCAACAGGATATTAAAAACACAATAAAACATCAAACATTAAAAAGTTCCCTAAACAGGGATGCCTGCAGATGTCATCTCAAAGTCTTATAGATGTTTATTTTATTGACATCTGATGGGATGGTGTTCCACAGGGAGGGCGCCACTACTGGGAAGGCCCTCTGCCTGGTTCGCTGTAACCTCACTTCTCACAGTTAGGGAGCCACCAGAAGGCCCTCAGAGCTGGACCTCAGTGTCCGAGTTAGATGATTGGGGTGGAGACAATACTGAGCAAGATGGACCAATGGTCTGATTCAGTATAGGACAGCTTCCAATATTCCTATGAAAACTGGCTTAGAGGGGTCAAGGGGCTGCTCCCTGGGTTGCTGATCTGGCTCTCCTGTGTGTGCCTGGCTCTGTTGTCTTGGTATCAGTGGATGTCACAATCCCTGGAGTTTGACCTTTCACCTCCAGCCAACCAGAAGTCAGGGGATTCTGGAATCTCCTTTGCAGTAACAGACACCTGAATCCCAGAGACACTGGGAGTCTCTAGGGGCTCCTGCCTTATTCTCCTAGATGCACTAAGAACAACCTGTGGGTGATCGTACAGTCCGTTTAGACCTCCAAGGGGACACTGCCCCGTCTCAGGTAATTCAAGTTTACAGCCTTTGCTGATCAACCTAAAGAAAGCCTCCTGGACTTTAGAAATGAATGTCCTAAATTTGGGACAACCACCACCACCGAACACCACAAGCACCCCCAAGTTTACAGCCTTGCCAACACCCAGCAGCTGGCTGTTCCATGATTCCACCAGGGCTGTGCATAGACGTGATTCCACTGGATTATGGAAACCCTATGAAAATCCAGTGTTTTCTGAGAATCTGTGCTTTTCGTTTTAGTTTTAAGGTTCCAGATCTCAAGGAGATGCACAATCATAGACTTGCAGAATTGGAAGGAGAGACCACAAGGGTCATCTAGTCCAACAACCCTCAATGCAGGAATATTTTGCTCAACGTGGGACTCGAACCCACAACACTGAGAGCTCTTTGACAGTGGGGCGGGCGACCTCAGAAGGTGGTGGAACCTCTTTCACTGGAAGCTTTTAAGCAGATGTTGTATGGCCATCTCTCGGGGATTCTTTTGCCGTGATTGGGGGTTGGACTACATGCCTCTGGAGTCCCTTCCAACTCTACAGTTATTTGATCCGATGTCTGACTAATTAAGCACCATGGTTAGCTGAACTAGAGAAGTTGTTCCGTGGCCATAGAACAAATGGGTTGGCCTTCTTTCCCTCATCTCCAGCACCTAGTTGCTTGGTGGAAGTGTGAGAGAGTGGAATTGGAAGCAGGCTGGAAGCTGGAGACAAAGACCTGCTCGCTCTGTGCTGGATCCAAACTTGTAATGAACATAGACACAAGATCTGTTGGGGTATTAATGTTGTGAGCCACCTGCCCCACCCCACCCCCCACAACATCTTATGCTCAGGTTGTATATAAGTGAAATTAGAAACATATTTCCTAAAGATACCTCGGTCTCTGCTGACCTTCATTCTAAGCAAACGTAACTCTGAGCATGAGCTGGAATCTCTCACTGCTTGGAGATCTCACTGCTTGGAGATATCTCATAACAGCCAAGTGTTGTTTCATAGGGGAAGCACCAAAACCAAGGAAAACAGGTGACCCAGCCAGTCAGTGGATGGAGAATGAACAGAAGAAGAGGCTTTTGGGGAGAGGGGGTCATGCTATACCCTGTGAACGAAGAGACCATTCTCCCTGGGGACTGGAACAGAAACCACACTTGGTTTATGGATGGGGATGGGGAGTCACAGAGAAAAGGCTGCAGCTCAGTGGGGAAGCATCTTCATTACATGCAGGGGGGTCCCAGGTTCAATCCTCAGCATCTTCTGTCTAAAACCGTGGGGAGCTCCTGCTGGTCAGAGTAGACAATACTGAACTAGGTGGATCAGTGGCTTGGCTCCGTATAAGGCAGCTTCCAAAGGAAGGGCCATAGCTTAGTGGTGGAGCAACTGCTTTGCATGTAGAAGCTCCCATCCCCGGCATCTCCAGGTAGAACTGAGACTCCCTGCCTGAAGCCTCTGCCAGTCAGTGTAGACAGCACTGAGCCGGATGGACCAACTCAGGAAAAGCCATCTGCCTGTGTTTCTGTGTTCGTGAATTCTCTCTCTTGCTCCCTTTCATAGTTCACTCTCCCTGCAGAAGCTGCAGCCCTTCATTCTGCTGATCCTACAAAATGCCCCTTCTTAGGAGACTGGAACGTCCCCCTCCCCCGAATCCTGGGAATTGTAGTTGACCCCCTCATAGAGCTACCATCGCCAGCAGCCTTTACAAACTACAGTGGTACCTTGGGTTACAGACGCTTCAGGTTACAGACTCCGCTAACCCAGAAATAGTACCTCGGATTAAGAACTTTGCTTCAGGATGAGAACAGAAATCGTGCTCCAGCGGCACGGCAGCAGCAGGAGGCCCCATTAGCTAAAGAGTGGTGCTTCAGGTTAAGAACAGTTTCAAGTTAAGAACGGACCTCCGGAACGAATTAAGTACTTAACCTGAAGTACCACTGTTCAGTGCCCAGGATTCTTTGGGTGTGAGGGAATTTGCTTGCAACGCCTGGTGTGTACACAGCTATCTGCTGGGGTCAATGTGTTTCCCTGCGCCTCACTCCTAACGCTGCCTCATCGTCATTCCAGACCCAGCCTGCCAACCTGGTTTGAGCCGGTTCTGGACCGTTTGAGTGAAGGGGCCCTTTGTCTGAAGAAGCCACCCCAGACTGTCCCCCCAGCCCCTCCTTCCTCCACCAGCTAGCCTTGTCTGTCTCTCATTTGCTCCTCTTCTTTTGGTATTGGAGTGACTGAAATAGGCTTTCCCCCTTTTGTAACGAATCACACACACCCCTTCCCCGTTTCCCCTCTGGCTGACATCCTTTTAAGCATTGATTCTGCTCCTTTCCCTTAGGTCGGATCTCTGGTTGGAGGAGAGGAAGGGAGATGACCTCAGAGGCGAGGGCAGTGGTTATGGGGAGTGCACCACGCCTCCCATAAGTGGCCAGCACCAAGCCAAGACCACCGGCTTATAAAGTGGGGCCAAGAGAAACCAACATTCCCCCAATGAGACCAGAGTCGTGAAGATAAGCACAGCACCCAGGCAGCCCACCCCCAGGAGAAGGAGGAGAGCCCCCCTCTGAGTCCACCAGCGGCTTCCTCCAAAACACCATCGCAAGCACCCAGCTCTGCCGTCCGACCACTTTGCAAGCCAAGCTCCAAAGCCTCTTCTAAGACCCTCGACAAGTAAGTGCGTCTCATTGTCTGGCTGGAGGTCTACTAGACAATGTGCATCATTCAGATAAGCAAGGTATAGGCCATTTGCACTGCAAATTTGGATCCTTGGGAGAGTTGGATAATTGAGGTTCAGGTAAAGACGGAAAATTTGCTTGCAGGGAGAGTCTGTTTGTTTATACACTGCCCTATACTCAGAGATCTTAGCAGTGCTGTAGACAGGAATGTTAAAGCACTGCCTTGGGTTGATTTGGAGCACAATGGGGCGCTAGGGAAAGATGGTTATCCAGTGGAGAGTCAGTGTGGCATAGTGGTTCGAGTGTCTGACTAGGATCTTGGAGACCAGGGTTCAAATCCCGACTTGGCCATGAAGCTCACTGGGTGATCTGGGGCCAGTCCCTGCCTTTCAGCCAAATCTACCTCACAGGGTTGTTGTGGGGAAGGGATGAGGAAAGGGAGCACCATGTACACTGCATCCCTTGAGTTCCTTGGAGAAAAAAAATGGGGTATAAATGCAATAAATTAAAAAAGGTTCCATGTAGGGATGGGAGGGGACAAATTCAATTCATCCAAAGGCAAACGTATCTAATTCATTCTTTTTGAAACAATATGCCAGCCGAAAGGCAGCCATCCGTGGAAATTCGTCACTTCTCTGAATATTGTGATGCGTCTCCAAATGCACATGCTAAAGTGTGACTATTATTAATGCACGTAGTAGAGGAACAATATACAAAATGCATTAGATTAGGGGAGATTTCTCTGCTGAAAAGGATATATGCACATGAAGTAAAATGGTACACAAAAATTTAGATGAGGAGAAAATTAGCACTAAAATGCTGATGAATTTAAAAAGGACTTTAAAAAAAAATGCAAAGTGTGGAGAGCTGAACTTATTACTGGAAAAATGAGAAACCAGGAGGAACAGATTTGCCCGTCCCTAGTTCCAGGTTCAGTCTCTTATCATCTCTGGTTAAAAGGGTCAAGTGATGGGAAAGACCACCTGATGCTGCCAGTCAGAGTGCACAATACTGAGTCAAGAGGAGCAAATCCTCTGACCTGATATAAGGCAACACCCTCTGCCCAGGGCTGTCTTCTCAAGCTTAGAATAACTTCCCAGGATTTCAACCAGACGTGTTTCTCAGCCTGGCTATGTAGGTCCGTTTCTGAACTACAGGAGGCAGCTGGGAACTCCCAACAATGACTTCAAGCTATGAGAACGGAAGTACCCCTGGGCCGTGTGCTGAAGTTGCCTTGAATTCTTCTCCGTCATGGTCGGGATCCTGTGGCCAAATTGCAACCCGGAAAACCGACACGCACAGAGCATCCGGAGAGCTGCATGTGTCTGTAGCCTTTCAAATGTGAAAGACAAACAAAATCCACTGTCTGGCAGGGAAGGAAGGAAGGGGCTGATCACAGCTCCCCACTCTCCCCAAGCCTGAACAGCTGTGAAGGGTAGAATGTCAGCTTTCTTTAAAGAGGTATGCATGTGTGCAAACCCAGCTGTTAAGACAGGAAGCTTCAGGCACATCACCCATTAATATAGTATATGGGTAGGAGGTGATATGTATCCCCACTACCACCACCCTAAATGAGCTTGGCAGGGACCCCAGAAGGAGAGATGGGCACTGCCAAGGTGAAAGTAAGCAGAACGGGTAGGGAGAAGGGTGCGAAAAAGCAATTCACTAGCAGCAGGCTGAGAGTTCAGCTGTCTGTCTGCAGGGTTGTACACACTTTCTTTAAATTAAAAGTAAAACCCTATGAAAATTTTGGATGGATTCTGAGACGTATCTAAATTATGCAAATTGATGATATGCACAATGTCCCTTTTGCCATAATCTTCCTCATTCCTGCCCTTAAAAAAAAAATTTATTAAATATTTTTCATAAGGTGATAAAATAAAGCAGCAGGATTACTGTACTCAGATGTTCAAACATATGTATTTAGCCACAAGGCCCAGGAATCTGCTTGTTCTCTTTTTTAAAAAAAACAATGAAGCTTCAGTTTCTAAATTCGCAGCACTAAGAGCCAATCACAAAGAGGGGGCAAGGAGTTAAGCAGTGAAGCTTCATTGCAGTCGCAGGACAGCTTACACCATGGGTAGGCAAACTAAGGCCTGTGGGCTGGATCAGGCCCAATTGCCTTCTGGATCTGGCCCACGGAGGGTCCAGGAATTGCCACGTGGATCGTCAGTGTGTGTGTGTTCTTGCCCTCTCCCTCACACGGCGGTGCCGGCGGCGCCTCCTCCCTCCCTCCTCCTGGCTTCTCCCCGCCCTGCCTAGAGGAGGAAGGGAGCTGAGCTTTGTTGGTATCAGCAGCAACAGTGCTCGAGGGCCACCATTTTAAGAGCCCCTTCGTGTGCCGCTCATTGTCCCGCCGCCGCCGCCAGCCCCTGCTGCTTGCAAGACACAGGTAAGCAGCCACCAGGGCTCATGGTGCTCTTGTATCATTTTTTCCCCCTCCAAAATATAGTCCGGCCCCCCGCAAGGTCTGAGGGACAGTGGACTGGCTCCCTGCTGAAAAGGTTTGCCGACCCCTGGAGCCTTACCCCATCAGCAAGCTTGACTTGCCTGCACTTTCGAGAAAAAATTCTAGCATAAGGACTAGAAACTTGATTGATTTAAATAGAATGAGACTTGAGATTCTAAGATCACAGCACTCACAACCTTGGCCATTTGTGACTGTATCAATGGACTTCAACTACATAGCCATGAAGAAAGTGTCAAAATGAAGTCTGGAGGAAGTAAAACAGTATTTTTTCCCTTATTCTTCCACTGTGCTTATTCTGTACCTAATCCCCATTCTACCCTCAGCTTTCCACAATGGCCTCCTCCAAGCCCTTCCATGTGGTCACTCCGCTGCGGGTCAGCCCCCACCTCTCCAAATTGGCTGGTACCAAGGTCTACCTGAAGCTCGAAAACTCCCAACCCACCGGCTCCTTTAAGATACGAGGCATAGGGAACTTCTGCAAAGCGGTAAGGAAAGGAGAAGGCTATATGGGGAAGGCTCGTAGCTCAGTGGCAGAGCAGCTGCCTTGAGTGCAGAAGGTCCCAGGTTCAATCCCCAGCCTATCTAGGTGGGGCTGGTGGCGACCTTCCTAAAACCCTAGAGAGCTGCTGCCAGTCAGTGCAGAGAAAACACTGTAGACAGTGTAGACAACAAGCCAGTTGTCTGACTTACTAGATGGTCCATTCCCACATAAGATGAAAAAGTATGGCAAAAGTTATCACTGATTTTCTCTGTTGCCCTAGGATTGGCTGTAGCTCAGGTTAAGGCAGCTTTCTGTGTTCCTATGATGGGAAGCCTTCTGGTGGGAAGTGATATTGCACATAACAGATATTGTTTAATCAGCTTAGGGAACTCACCGCCACAAGCTTGAAGCCTCCTCCTCAGTCTGGCTGGTGCTGTCTTTTTATTTATTTATTTAATTTATTTCTAATTTTTCATTTAGAGCAAATAAACATTTCGGCAATAATTTAACATTTCAAACCCAAACTTCCCTCCCCCTCTTCCTGCAGTTCCGTAAATTTATTTTCATCTTTACCTGCACATCCCAATTATCTTAAGTTATTCTTTTCTTCATCTATTTTCATATATGCTTTAGAAACCGCGAGGGGTTTTTTACGGTAATCCTTCTAATGTCTTAATCTGTTTACAATTTGTTTGTAAAAAATTCGATAAACCATTTCTATTCCTTAATAAAAAGTTTGTGGTCTTGATTTCTTATTCTTCTTGTAAGTTTTGCCATTTCTGCATAGTCCATTCATTTCTATATCCATTCTTCTCTCGCCGGGACTTCTTCTTTCCATTTTTGGGCAAATACTGTTCTTGCAGCTGTTGTTGCATACATAAATAATTTTCTATATTATTTAGGTAACTCTGATCCCATAATCCCTAAAAGGAAAGATTCTGGGTTGTTGTTTTTTACAAATGTTACCTTAAACATCTTTTTCATTTCATTATATATCATTTCCCAGTAAGTTTTAACCTTACTGCGTGACCACCACATATGAGAAAAGGTACCTTCTTTCACCTTACATTTCTAACACTTATTCAATTTTGATTTATACATTTTTGCCAATGTGCTAGGTGTTAAGTACCATCTGTATAACATTTTCATATAATTTTCTCTTAAAGCATAACATGCTGTAAATTTTATATCTGTAAATTTTATATCTATATTCCACAATCGTTCCCATGCCTCCATTTCTATGTTATGACCAATATCTACTGCCCAATGTATCATTTAAGATTTCACTTGTTCATCTTTTGTCTCCCATTCCAATAACATCTTATGCATTTGAGACATCGCTTTAACATTACAGTCTCTTTCTCTAACTGAGATACTTGTCCCCCAAATGCTCATTTCATATTTTTTTGAAGACTTCATTCAAATGATGATATTGTATCCATGTTGTTACCATTCCTTACTTTCTTTTAATTTGAATTCTCCACCTTCCTCTCTTAACGAATTTCTATAAATTACCCAATTTTCCACCATCTCCTTCTTCTTCACCGCTACGGCTTCCAGTGGCGAAAGCCAAAGTGGTGTTTTTGGCTCAAATACATTTTTATATTTGTCCCATACTCTACACAAATTTTTCCTAATTATATGGTTTGTAAATCCTTTATATACTTTCACCTTTTCATACCGCAAATACATGTGCCAGCCAAAATATATTACCATGACCTTCCAAGTTTAAAATATGTGGATTCTTCAGTGACAACCATTCCTTCAATCAGCACAGACAGGAAGCTTCATAATATGATCTCATACCTGGCAGGGAAAAACCTCTCTCTTTCACATCTATCAATATTTTATATTTTATTCTTGGTTTTTTCCCCTGGCAAGATATATTTAGAAACATATTTTTGCCATTTATTGAAACAACCTGTCTTGCTGATCACCAGTATTTATTGAAACAAAAAAACCATCCTTGGTAATACATTCATTTTTATGGTTGACACTGCCCAACAATGAAAGTTTTGTTCTACCTGATATTTGAAAATTTCTTTTCATATCCTCCCAGGTGTTTTAAAATAATTATCTTTGTACAAATTTATATTTTTTGCTGTTAACCATACAGCTAGATATCTAACTCCCCTCCCCCCAAATCCTTTGGCCAGATGTATCGTGTAATGTGTTCTTCCTCTCATTATTCATATTTTTTACCAGGAGTTCAATTTTATCTTTGTTAATTTTAAGACCTGCTACTTCTCTATATTTTTTAATCTCTTCTAGTGCTTTTGGAATTGTCTCTATTGGTTCTCCTACAGATATCACCGCATCCTCTGCAAATGTTTTTAATTTATATTGTCTTTGTCCTACCCTTATTCCTTTAATTTCTTGGTTACCTCTTATTCTTGGCACCAAAACTTCTAAAACTAATATAAATGATAAAGGTGGCAGTGGGCAGCCTTGTCTAGTTCCTTTGTTTATTTTGCAGTTCCCCATTAACACATTATTTACTATCAATTTTGCTGACTACTCTATATATATTGCCTTACCTCCTTTTATAAAAATGTCTCCATAGCTCATATATTCCAACATAAAGTCCCAGGAGACATTATCAAATGCTTTCTCTGCATCTAAAAACATTAAGGCTGCTTGCTTTTCATTTCATTTCTAAACATTCAAAACATCAATTATATTCAAGCAGCTGCCATCTTTGTTTGGGGGAAAGGCTCCTTCTGGGAAGAATCAAATTGGGCACTAAACATGCATGATTCACCCTCCATCAACTGCCTGACTTAAATGGGGGTTTTAAAAGCTGAGATCTTCATGAAGAACTAACAGATTTATAGCATGCTTGGGGGGATCTTAGGGACCTTGTCAGTGCTGGAAGCAGGATGTTGGACTAGATGGGCCTTTGCTCTGATCTAGCAGAGTCCTTTGGGCATTCTGTAAAGGTTGATTATGAGGTCAGGAGGGCAGAATCTGGTCCAGACCTGCCTGGAAAGAACCGTGGGTGGTGGGGTTGTTTTTGCTGTGGGGTTAAGATGGCTTCTGTTCCCACATTCCTCTTCTTTTGCTTTCACAGATGGCCGAAAAAGGCAGCAAGGAGTTTGTCTCCGCCTCAGGTAATGTAGTTTTCTGTGGACAATGTCAGGGTTCTGCAAGCTAGCGCCAAGTTGGAGAATGGCTAGACGAGACGAGGGATGGAGGAGAACTGCAATTGTGTTTGCATATAAAGGGGAATCTCCAGCATTCACTTTCACTTTCCAAAATAATACGAGAACAAAACCAGAGCCACCCTCTGGAATTTGCACTTTTCTGAATTTTGCTACGCAGTTCTTAAGGAATGGGCATAAAAATGCATGTCTGTGTGCGAGAGAGTGAAAATAATATATACAAAAATGCATTAGGTGAAAGTGCTTTGCAAAAAAAAATATGAAGCCACAATGGCTGTACTCTAGCTCCACAGTTAGAGGCAGTAATGTGCCTGAATTCCAGTTACTGGAAACCTCAGGTGGGAAGAGGGCTCAATTGCCTGTGCCCTGCTTGTGGGTTTCCCTTTGAGGCATCTGATTGGCCACTGTGAGAACAGGATGCTGGGCTGGAAGGGCTACTAGCCCGATTCAGCAGGCTCGTCTCATGTTCTTATGTGTACATTAAGGGGAAAAATCACACTAAAAGGCTGGTGAATTTTTGCAAGGATTTGAAAAAATGTTTCCACAAGCCAACATGGAAATGCAAAGAACTGAACCCAAGTTTGGAAAAATGAGAGAAACCAAAAGGGACCAATTCGCCCAACCCTACTGTGCCTATACAGATTCCAACAACAGCCTTGGGGACCAAACTACTGGCAGTCTAAATGCAAAAGTGGTGCAGGGAATTATTGGGTTCTTATTTTTATTATGTATTTTGTGTTTTTAGATTGTGATTTTATATTGTGAACTGCCCTGAGACCTGTGGGTATAGGGCGGTAAGGGACCCCTGACCATTAGGTCCAGTCGTGACTGACTCTGGGGTTGCGGCGCTCATCTCGCTTTATTGGCCAAGGAAGCTGGCGTACAGCTTCCAGGTCATGTGGCCAGCATGACTAAGCCGCTTCTGGCGAACCAGAGCAGCGCACGGAAACACCGTTTACCTTCCCGCCAGAGCGGTACCTATTTATCTACTTGAACTTTGACATGCTTTTGAACTGCTAGGTTGGCAGGAGCAGGGACCGAGCAACGGGAGCTTGCCCTGTTGCGGGGATTCAAACCACCGACCTTCTGATCAGCAAGTCCTAGGCTCTGTGGTTTAACCCACAGCGCCACCCGCGTCCCTGGTATAGGGCAGTATACAAATTTAATTAACAAAAACAACAATATGGTGGCTTAGAGGCTGAGATGCAAATGAGAAAGTCCCCAGTTCGGATTTCACGTCTCCCACAAACTAGATGACCTTAGGCAGAACGTCCTAGATTATATCCAGAAGTAGTCATACTCCAAGGAAACCCATTGAACTTAATGCAAATGGCCGACTTCATATTATTATAAATGCAGTTGCTCCCTGTCTCTTTATATTTATGGTTTTTTTGCTCAAACACACATAAGTTGTTGTACGCCTAGGGTGGCTGAGGAATGGGGACAACCCTCATGAGGTCTAGCATCATGTGGTGTCAAATGGGCTTTCTTCCAGCGGGGAATGCCGGCCTTGCAACTGCCTACTGCGCCAAACTGTTGGAGATCCCGGCTACCATCTACGTGCCCCAATCCACGCCAGCTTTCACTGTGGAGCGCATGAAAGACGAGGGAGCCACGGTGTGCTTTGGGCAGGTAGGTCTGGGAGGTTATCACAGCAGAAAAAATGTTGGAAGCCTTAAGAAAACCCAACACCAAATCTTTCTTTGAATCCTAGTCCAATAACATGACTTCCTTTCCTCTAGACGCTGGACGAATGCAAGAACACAGCCCAGGAGATGGTAAAGAGAAACTCTGATTGGACCTTTGTGCCTCCCTTTGGTGACCCTCTCATCAGGTATGTGATGTATGAGTGAGAGCTAGTGGACATCCGTTTTGGAAGATTCGGGACAGATAAAAAAAAGACTTGTTCACACTGCGCTTAAATTATGGAACTCCCTCAGGAAGCAGCGATGGCTACCAGCATAGATGTCTTAAAAAGGGGATTAGACTTACATATACAGTGGTACCTCAGTTTTCAAATGCCTCCATAGTCAAACGTTTCAGAACTCAAAAGCTGAAAACCCAGAAGCAAAGGCCTTGGTTTTCGAACACGCCTCGGAAGTCAAACAAGAAACACGGCTTCCATTTTGAGTTTTCCGTATTGAGGCTTCTGCTTTCAGTTTTTGGTTTTTGAACGTTTCGGAACTTGAACGGACTTCCAGAATGGATTACGTTCTAGAACCAAGGTACCACTGAACACTATATAGTTTTGTTACCTTAATTCAATTTTACTGTCATTTCGTTGTTATTGTTTTCCTCTGCTTTCTTTTGTGTTTATTTTTTTTAAAAAAGACCTAATTTTCTTCTCTTTTTCATTCGAATTCACTTCAGAACTATCAATAAAATATCAATATGAAACAGTAGAAAATAAAAAAGGGATCAGGCAAATCCACAGAGGGGGAGCCTATCAGTGGCTACTATGCACTCTTCTTCTACGGTCAGAGGCATTAATGCAGGAAACCACAGGAGGGAAGAGCTGCTGTTGAGCTCATGTCCCGCTTGTGGGTTTTTCACAGGCATCTGGTTGGCGCTGTGAGAACAAGATGCTGGACTAAATGGGCCATTGCCTTGATCCAGCAAGCTCTTCTCATCTTATATTCTTTACCCTGACCTTTGACACTTGATATGTACTGTATTGGCCTGAATATAAGCTGCACCTTTAAAATTGGAGGCGGGGGAAGGAAAAATACCTGAATATAAGCCACTCCCTTCCTCCTGCTCCTGGCTGCATACCGTAAGGTTGCAAATATAAACCACACTTTTTGGGGTTGGAATTTGGGGGGAAATAGGGCTTATATTCAGGCCAATACGGTATATTTTCAGAACTCACCTTAGATTTTTGTTGTTGTAATTCAAAGATTTAAACATTGTTTTTAATGTGCTTTATATTGTTGTAACCTGCCCAGAGACCTTAGGGTGAAGGGCAGGTAATAAACTAAAATAATAATAATCTTTTAAATAAGAGACACACATCTTTTGTAAATAAGAGGAATATTAAGAAGGGGATGAGAGGAGATAGCACCCTCTCAGCGCCCCCACCCCCCAACTCTCTCTTTCCCACCCCTGACATTTGGTTTTGATATTCTGGGTCCCCTCTGCTTTGCAGTGAAGGGCACAAGACCATGGTCGCAGAGATGAAGGAGCAGATGGAGTCCAAACCTGGAGTGATAGTTCTCTCTGTCGGAGGGGGCGGCATGCTCTGTGGGGTGATCCAGGGCCTCCGCGAGGCGGGCTGGGACGACGTACCCATCATCGCCATGGAGACCTGGGGAGCTCACAGCTTCCATGCTGCCTTGAAACAGGGGGAGCTGGTGACACTTCCCAAAATTACCAGGTGAGCACATGGCACATTTGGTGGCGCTGTGGGTTAAACCACAGAGCCTAGGGCTTGCCAATCAGAAGGTTGGCGGTTCGAATCCCCACAGCTGGGTGAGCTCCCTTTGCTCGGTCCCTGCTCCTGCCAACCTAGCAGTGCAAGTAGATAAATAGGTACCACTCTGGCAGGAAGGTAAATGGCATTTCCATGCGCTGCTCTGGTTCGCCAGAAGTGGCTTAGTCATGCTGGCCACATGACCTGGAAGCTGTTGGCTGGCTCCCTCGGCCATTAAAGCGAGATGAGCATCACAACCCCAGAGTCGTCTGTGACTGGACCTAAAGGTCAGGGGTCCCTTTACCTTTTAGGAGGGTAAAAGACTACCCCTTACCTCAGGGCAGGAGTCACTACTGGTAGCATGACAGCTGATGCGGGCTGGTGCCCATTGGGTCTGGTAGGGCGGAAGACAGGGAGCCCAACAGTAGGGGGCGCCAGAGCCAATGACAGGCAGAGCCAACCTTCTCCTAGTTTTGTCCCCATCCTCCTCCCTGTGGAGTTCTATAAGCAGCAACGCTGAGACGGAGGAGGAGGCTGATACTCCCTGGGTTGGTTAAAGCAAGCAAGCAAGGGCTGACTGAGGCCAGAGCAAATGACCAATGTAATACTGGGAGCTAGTGCAGTGGCTAGAGTGTCAGACTTGGACCTGGGGCAGCAGAGTTCAAATCCCCACTTGACCTTGAAGCACACTGGGTGAGGCCAGTCGCTGGCTGTCAGCCTAACATGCCTCACAGGATTGTTTGAGGGATTCAGTGATAATAGGTGATGATGATGATGATGATGACGACAGATAAATAAAAATAATATAGCCTCATTGTCATTACACATTGTTCACCTGAGCCAAATCCAACCAACAAAATCCAGCCCACTGATCTTCCTTTTCCTGTTCTGGGTCCAGCATTGCTACCACGCTTGGGGCAGCTACTGTGGCAGAGGAAGCTTTGAAGCTGGCTCAGGAACACTGCGTCATATCACAGGTCGTTACTGACCCGGAGGCAGTGGCAGGCATTCCAAGGTTTTTGGGTATGTATTCGCAGGACATTCATCCTGTATTAATGCACAGCGAACTTGTTCTCCAAGTCTGGATAGTCAATGCAGTTGAGTCTGCGATCTATATGAATTGTCTGCTGAATTTGTCTGTTCTGCCTTATACAACAGTGTTTTTGATATGATGGCATTTGTTGACATGTTTGCTAAGGATTAATGCTGCTGCAAGATTAACCCGGGTGTTGGGAGAAGCGGAATGCAAATAATTAAATTGAATCAAATCCATATGTATCCGGAATTATCCATTCACAAGTGGGGAGGCACCAGCAGGTTTAGACGAATCCCTAGGTTCTCAGAAATACAACATTCTTTAATGTGCGGGGCAGGGGGAGATTAGGAGTAACTCCAAAAAACTGCCCACTTAGGACTGAACATGCTCAGTGGGCCTGGAATGTTGGTGGGGTACCTCACAGAACTACAATTCCCAGAATTCCCTTGAAAGGAAGGTTGTTTGTTAAACCACTCTAGGAACTGGGAGGGGAAAAGGGTCTCCTAACAACCTTCATCACCCTCAACCAACTACAGCTCCCAGGATTCTTTGGGGGAATCAGAGAATTGTAGAGTTGGAAGGGATCGCGAGGATCATCTAGTCCAACCCCAATCAATGCAGGAATCAAGCATGGGGTTCAAACCCATGACCCTGAGATTAAGAGTCTCATACTCTATCAATGGAGCTATCCCAAGTCATGACTGTTTAAAGGGAACATAGAAATCTAAGAAGAGGCTGCTGGATCAGGCCAAAGGCCCATCTAGTCCAGCATCCTGTTCTCACAGTGGCCAACCAGATGCTCCAATGGGAAACCAGCAAGCTGATCCCAAGCCCAAGAGCAGTCTCCTCTTCTGTGGTTCCCAGCAACTGGTATTCAGAAGCATTGCTTCCTCTGACCGAGGAGGCAGAGAATAGTCATTGTGGCAAGTAGTCACTGATTTGTTCAATCCTCTTATTTGTCCAATCCTCTTTTGAGGATCAAGTGGTATATTGCACTTCAAACACATGGTGTGAATTATTTCTACTACTGATTATTCGTGCCCTAATGGTGAGAAGGAGAAATAGCTCAGTTGCTTAGAGCATGGTGCTGATAATGCCAAGGTTGCAGGTTCGATTCCCGTAAGGGACAGCTGCATATTCTTGCATTACAGGGGGTTGGACCAGAAGATCCTCAGGGTCCCTTCCAGCTCTAGGATGCTATGATTCAACATCCAGGGAACTTAAATGACCCTTTTTGCCTGCAGACGCAGAGAAGATCCTGGTGGAGCCAGCGTGCGGGGCGACCTTGGCAGTCATCTACAGCGGGCTGATCAAAACGCTGCAAAAGGAGTGCAAACTCCCCCGCGATCTGGAGTCCATGGTCATCATTGTGTGCGGTGGCAACAACATCACCCTGGAGGAACTGGATCGCCTCAAGGATGACCTGTGCATGAACCATAGAATGAAAGAATATGTGGAGTGCAAGGTTGCCCTGGCAAAATGGAACCATGCAAGCAACTCGGGGACATTCACAGCTTCGCTCCAAAAATCCTTGGGGGCATGTGGTCATTAAAACTCACGGCTGCTTCACCCACCCTGCTCTCCCTGAGCTTTGTGTCACCCCCAGGTGGGAGCAGAGGAGTGGGCGGATGGGAAAACTGGGTTGTGTAGGCCCTGGTGCCTCAGGATTTGGTTGGATCACACGCAAATATCTGAGAGTGCTAGATCCCAGGGCTGGTGGGATTGCCAGGGGAAGGTGGGAGGGCTTTGGGTTTCTGTGCAGCTGCCCATTCTGGCCAGTCACTGAACTTTGAGGCCGTGTATGTTTGCTTTTACACTCAAGCGGCAGACAATTTTTATGAAATAAATTGGTAAAATAAATAAACGATCTGGAGTGCCCCAGACCCAAGGGATAGCTCAGTTGGTAGAGCATGACTCTTAACCTCAGGGACCATCAGTTTGTGACCCACACTGGGCAAAAAGATTCCTGCATTACAGTGGGTTGGAGTTGATGATCCTTGTGGTCCCTCCCAACTCTATGATTCTATGATCGATGATCTAGGTTGGCAAAAGGGCCATAGCTCAGGGGTATATGTATCTGCTCTGCATGCAGAAGGTCCCAAGTTTAATCCCTAGTGCCATCTCCCAGTAGGATTGGGAACGTTCCCTGCTTGAATCCCTGGAGAGCTGCTGCCAATCAGTGTAGACAATACTGAGCAAAATGGACCAATGGTCTGATTCAGTATAGGACAGCTTCCAATATTCCTATGAAAACTGGCTTAGAGGGGTCAAGGGACTCCCTAGGTTGCTTATCAGGCTCCCCTGTGTGTGCCTGGCTCTGTTGCCTTGGTATCAGTGGATGTCACAATCCCTGGAGTTTGACCTTTCCCCTCCAGCCAACCAGAAGCCAGGGGATTCTGGAATCTCCTTTGCAGTAACAGACACCTGAATCCCAGAGACACTGGGAGTCTCTAGGGCCTCCTGCCTTATTCTCCTAGATGCACTAAGAACAGCCTCTGGGTGATTGTACTGTCGGTTCAGACCTCCAAGGGAACACTGCCCCCCTCCCAGGTAATTCAAACTTCAACCTAAAGAAAGCCTCTTGGACTTTAGCAACGAGTTTCCTAAACTTGGGACCACCCCCACCGAATACCACAAAGGAGAAGCCCCACCAATTCATTAAGTGACCCAAGCCTTGGAAACAGTCAGCTGGCTGTTTGATGATTTCTCCAGGACTGTGCATAGATTATGGAAACTCTATGAAAATCCGGCTTTCTGAGAATCTGTGCTGTTTGTTTTAAGTTCCCAGACCTCAAGGAGGTGCAAAATATGCATATGTCTGGCAGACACCTGCTGAAATTCCAGCAGCTAGAACGTCTTGGGCTTAGTGTACTATGCTCAGTGAGCTGATTCACTGGGAAAGGGAGGAGGGATACAATACAAGATTTTGTTTCAGATCCCACCTTGTGTTTGTACACTGTTCCCCGTCCCCACCTCCCAGCATGGGACTTAAGAATGTAAGAAAAGTCCTGCTGGATCAGGCCTGTGGTGCATCTAGTCCAGCCTCCTGTTCTCACACTAGCCAGCCAGATGTCCACAAAAAACCTATTGGCATATGGCATGTGCCAAATGTGTACAGCTCCCCAAGCGTGTAGGTTCGTGGCAGTGCAGTTTTGCGCCAGAAGAAATTTAGTTAGACTCCCAACTCTTCAGTCAGCTCAGTCCATTACTGACAGGTCCAAAGCATTAAGGCAGTTTCACTATATACAGGCTTCCATTAGATCCCTTGTAGGAGGTGCAGGCTTCAAATGCAAAGCAAGTACAACTCACAGCATACAAACAGCACAGAGTTCAGCATCAATCTGGCAGAGCTTCCTTGCAGCGAAGCAGAGAGGCAATGTGCAGCCCCCTCTTAATATATCCAAAAATGACCACACCCTTGGCCAGTTGCCAGGTCACAGTGACCTACTTGGCTGGTTGCCAGGTCGCAGTCACCTTCAAACACTAATCACAAGACCTGCAGGTACAAGATAAGGGAGGCACATGCACCAGATTTTCCTTAACAGCAATTAAAGGAACCTCAACACCCCTTCTTAATTCTAAGAAAAAACATGCATCAGAGCATGTGTGAAGTGTTTATACAGTATGCTTCACTAATCCCAACTTTTCAACTATTTCTTTGTGTCTTTTGAAGCTATTGGGTTTTCTCATTACATCAGCAATGTTCTGGCTTGACTCACAATATACAAGTTTCGTTAATCCTTGTTCTACTTTGTCCCTAACATGTCTATATTTGATACCTACATGTTTTGTCCTAGACTTGAATTGTTAAGGTCCTGCCATGGAAATGCAGGCCCGATTGTCCTCCATAAACTGTCACAGGTAGCTTGGATTCTACATTCATATCAGTAAGAACCTGCATGAAATAGGGATGCTCGTTGCTCAATTCAGACAGAGCAGCATATTCTGCTTCGGATTTAGACACAGAAACCAACCCCCGTTTCCAGGATTTCCAAACCAACAAAGACCATCCAAATTCTACTACTATTCCAGTAGTAGACCTTCTTGTCTGTACATCATTTCCAAAGTCTGAGTCACAGTAACACGTTAGCTCCTCTGTCCCAGAGGATGACTGTTTTAAACAGTAGTCCTGTGTTGCTTTTAAATAGCGCACTCTGCTGTGGTTGGCTTTGAAACTAACCTGCTAAGAACACCCACAGCGTTGCTTACATCTGGTCTGGACCTATTGTGAACTGTACAACAAACTGCCAATGGCAGAGTGGCATAGCTCCTTGTGTTCAAGCTCCACATTACTCTCTGTTTTTTGAAAGTATGTCACCATAGGAGTTTGAATGCCTTTACAATTCTGCATACCAAAACATTCAAACAGTTGTATAATTTTCTTTTTCTGGCTTAGTAGAAAAACTCCCATCACTTACTCTGTACTTCAACTCCCAGGTAACTCTTTATAGTAGCTCCTTTGAGATGGAACTCTTGCCCCAGCTGCTGGGCAAACTCCTGAATTTATTTGTTTGTTTGTACCAAATGAGGAAAACAACTTTTATAAGAGGCTTGAAGAAATCCTATTTGAATATATGAGTGAAAAGATAATTTTTATGGGAGATATGGACGGTGTAGCTTCCCTGGAATGGGATAGGACTATAAGAAAGAAGATGTGATACAAAAGAAGGGAAGCTACCCAAGCCTTTTTTTCAGATGACAGAAAATTTCAGTTTAGTTGATATATGGAGAGAAAAACACCCACTGGATAGACAATTTACATTTTATTCACCCACAAATAATTTGGTGAGCTGAATGGACTCTGTATGGACCTTTAGAGATTTGTACATTAAGGTAAAGAAGGTAGCAATAAAAAGGAAAGAAAAGGAATTGATAAATTCCCATAGAAAAGAGATAGTTAAACAGGATATTAAATTATTGCAAACACAGTTTTTAATGATAATAAATCAAGAAATAGAGTGGTCAATTAAATATTTAAAACATAAACAATTTGAGCAAGCTAATAAAACCAGGGAAAGTATTAGCATGGCAAATTAAAAAAAGGCAAGAGAAAGCCTGCATAAATACAATTAACATAGGAGGTAGAGTTGTGGAAAGAAATAAGAGATCAATTCATGAGGTTTTAAAAAATATATATAAGCCACCTCTTTTAACCCTGCATTTAAATATGCTGTCACAATATGCTGCAAGGGTTAAAAGCATTCTCATACTTAATCTAAACCCCTTCTCTGCATGAATCCTTTTGCAACAAAGCCTTGCTTCACCAGATGCTAGGGTTTTTCTTTTATGGACCCAAAGGTACCTGTGATGAGATGATGAGCTGCTTGTGCGTAAAATCGTATCCCCTCAGAGTTTGTTCAAGTCCACAAACCTCTGTCTGTGACGGAGCCCCTCAGACATGGCTCCTCTAGTCACTAGCAGATTCCGACAGTGGTTGCTTTCGTAATCGCTTCCAACATAAAAGCTCCTTAACGGAAACACGTCTTCTGGACTCTCTGCGTGACAGTTTCCGGCGAGGAGTGGGTGTTCTTACAGGAGGTCCTGAAACCTCCCCACTGTTTTCGCTGGAAGTGTCTCTGAGCCATCCCTCCAGCTCAGCTCCTCTCCCCTGCTGGTTCCCTCTTCAGCTGCTGCGTCTCTCCCAACCTGTGTGAGCCCTTTCACCTCCCTGCTGGTTCCCTCTTCAGCTGCTGCGTCTCTCCCAACCTGTGTGAGCCCTTTCACCTCCCTTCCGTCCGATGGCAGTTCCCTGACATCCACCTCCCCTCCAGGGCCCCCTTCACCCCCTCTTGCCCCCTCCTCTACGGGCGGTGAGGAGGCAAAACCCCGGAATGAACTTCCTTCATCTTCCGATGTCTCGAACACTTCTCTCAACCTGTTGCGGTTCCTGGTCTCGAAGTACTCCTCCTCCTCAGAGTCCATCTCCCCTTCCCCTTCCGAGTCCGGGAATCCGTCCAACTCCTCCCCCTCCTCAGTGGTCCCAAAGTATTCCCTCCGGAACCTCTCCACAGGCTGAGGTTTCCTTGGGAACCTTTGATGGAACGTTTCTATCAATACCTCGTCATTGATATCTTCGGCCATTACCCAAGTGTTTTCTGACTCCGGTTCTCCTTCCCACGCTACCAAATACTCCACCTGATCCCCCTTCCACCTGGCGTCGAGGATTTCTGCCACATGGCTGCTGCATTCTCTTTCTTCTATGACCGGTCCCCGAGTGGCCAGCCCTTCTCGTCCCCCTTCGTACGGTGACAGTAACGACCTGTGAAATACTGGGTGCAGTTTCATGTGGTTGGGTAACCGGAGCCTGAAAGCCACTGGGTTGACCTGTTGAATGACCTCAAAGGGACCCAACCTCCTGGGTCTTAATTTCTTACAACCTCCTTTGAACGGCAACCCTTGGGTTGACAGCCACACCCTATCTCCCACCCTTATGGTTTCACCTTCCCTTCGGTTCTTGTCTGCCTGCCTCTTGTATTCTTCCTTCGCCCTTTCTAAGTTGAGTTGGAGCTGACGATGGATTGCTTCCATTTCTTCCACAAAATGCTCGGCTGCCGGGACGCTCCATCTCTCCCCATCTCCCCTGGGAAAGCCCTGGGATGACACCCATAATTAGCCAAGAAGGGGCTCATCCCTGCGGACACATTCTCGGCATTGTTGTAGGCAAATTCCGCCAGCGCCAACTTTTCTACCCAGTCATTCTCTCTGTCATTGACATAACACCTCAGGTATTGCTGGAGGACACCGTTTGCTCTTTCCGCCTGCCCGTTGGTTTCAGGGTGCCGGGCAGTCGAAAAATTGACCTCCACCTGCAGTAAGCTCATGAGCTTCCTCCAGAACCTGGAAGTAAATTGTTTTCCTCGGTCTGAGACCACCCTCAATGGCACCCCGTGCAACCTAAAAATGTGTTCTACAAATAACTTCGCTGTCTCTTCCGCCGTGACTGCATGCGAGCAAGCTACAAAGTGGCACATCTTTGTTAGTAGGTCTACCACCACCATGATGGCTGTTTTCCCTTTGGACTTCGGCAGATCAGTCATAAAATCTATCGACACTGCCTCCCAAGGTCGTTCTGGGGTTGGTAAGGGTTCTAATAGCCCCGCCGGCGCCCGCCTTTCCCCTTTGGCTCTCTGGCATTGCTCGCACCCTCTTACATACTCACGTACATCTTCCCTCACCTTAGGCCACCAAAATTCCCTGGTGACCAACCACATGGTTTTGTGTTGTCCAAAATGCCCCGCCGTAGGGCTGTCGTGCAACTGCTTGAGTACCCTCCCCTTAACTCTCCTTCAGGGATATACAGTGCCCCTTTGTAATACAAAGCTCCATTTCTTTCCTCGAAACCCCTGGTTCCTCTCCCTCACCCCTAAGACCTCTGAGCTTATTCTGGGCGTATTCATCATTCTCTGTTTCCTCTACCAGTTCTCTTTGTCCCACCAATGCCGCCCCACACACCCAGCGGTCCTCTGGAATGACATGTCTCTCTTCGGGTGCCCCTCCCCTCCAAATATTCTGGTTTGCGTGAGAGAGCGTCCGCCCTAATGTTCTCTGGGCCTGGCATGTAATTAATCTCAAAGTTAAATTTGGAGAACTCCTGGGCCCATCTCACTTGCCGTTGGTTGAGCACTCGTGCCGTCCTCCAATACTCTAAGTTCTTGTGGTCAGTGCACACTTGCACCTTATGTTGTGCGCCAATTAGCAGGTGCCTCCATCTCCGGAACGCCTCATGAATGGCTAGTAGTTCTCGGTCATACACCGTGTAGTTCCTCTCGGATTTGTTCAGCTTTCGCGAAACCAAGGCACACGGTCTCCACTCTGATCCCTTCTTCCCTGGCTGCAGAAGCACCGCCCCAACCGCTCTGTCTGATGCGTCAGTTTCCACTCTCATCGGTTTTTGTAAATCCACATGCAGGAGTTGTTGTTCCGAGGCGAAGGCCTTTTTTAGTTCCTCAAATGCTCGCTCCGCCTCCTCAGTCCACACGAACTTCTTCTTACTGCTGAGACAGTCCGTAATGGGCGCTGTCAGGTGGGCAAAGTTTCGGATGAACTTACGATAGAAGTTCCCAAATCCTAGGAACCTCTGCACATCCTTCTTTGTTTTGGGTGTTTTCCATTCCAGCACCGCCTGGACCTTGCCGGGATCCATGGCCAATCCCTTGTCAGACAGGCGATACCCCAGGAATTCCACCTCCTTGGTATGAAACTGACACTTCTCCAGTTTCACCCACAGCAGGCTGGCTTGCAGCCTGCTCAACACTTCTCTGACGTCTCTCACATGCTGCTCCTCATTCTCAGAATACACCAACACGTCGTCTAAAAAGGCCACACAATTCTTGTAAAGCAAAGGCCCCAGGACGTGGTTCATAAACGATTGAAATGTTGCGGAGCCTGCTTGTAGGCCGAAGGGCATAACCAAATATTCAAATGCCCCTAAAGGGGTGAACATAGTGGTTTTCCCCCTTCCTTATTCGTACCAGGTTGTACGCCCCCCTTAGGTCCAGCTTTGTGAAAATCTTTCCCTTCCGCACCCTTGTCAAAATGTCGTCAATCCTGGGCATAGGGAAGGCTACTGGTTCTGACACTGCATTTAAGGCCCTGAAGTCACACACCAGCCTCGGCTTGTTCGTGTTTTTCTTATCCACAAAAACACTGGGCTGCCCCCACCGCCCTGGACTCTCTGATGAACCCTCTCTTCAGGTTCTTGTCAATGAACTCTCTTAACTCCTGCATCTCTCTGTCTGACATGGCGTACAGCTTGCCTACAGGGAGCTGTGCTCCAGGGAGTAAATTGATTTGACAGTCAAAGGGTCTATGCGGGGGTAGTTGGTCAGCTTCCCTTTCGCTGAAGACGTCACGGAGATCTGCATATTGTCGTGGTACCTTCACGTTCTCTGTTACTTCAGTCCCTGCTAGGGTGGCTTGGACCCCTGCCAAACCCTTTCCCTCTTTGCAGTGTTCTAAGCAATGTGCTGAACCAAAAGAAACCACTCTCTGATGCCAGCCCACCAGCGGATCATGTAACGCTAGCCAGCTCATCCCCAATATAATGGGAGCTCCTCCCAAGGTGGCCACATTAAAAGCTATCAGTTCGGTGTGCCTTGCTACCTTCATTATCATTGGGACGGTCTGCAAGCTGACTTCTCCTCCCAACAGCTCCCTGCCATCGATCGTGGTCACCTGCAGGGGCTGCTTAAAGGGATCGTCTGTATCTGGTGTTCAGCTGCAAACTCTTTGCTCATGAAATTGCAGGAGCTGCCTGAGTCCAACAGCGCCTTTATCTTTAGAGGGTGTCCGTTTGGCAGCTCTAGCGTCACTTCTATCACTAGGGCGGGTTTAGGAGGTTCTGGCGTGGGCACTCTCACTGCTCTTTGGCCTGGCTGCTGTGCCCCGACAGTGGCAGCCAGGCGTTGGCTTTACTTGCTCCGGTATATCTTCCTCTCTTCCATCCACAGCTCCTACCATCCCTTGCCATTCTTTCCTCTGGGGGCAGACTCTGGCAAAGTGACCTGGCTGTTGGCAGAGATAGCATTTCCGGGCGCCTTTTCCCTCCTTTTTCCCCCTCACTGGGCTTTGAAACTGCGCGCGCGCGCTGTTCCGATTTCCATCGGCTCTGCCGGTGGGAAAGTTGGCTCTGGAATGTCTGGAATGCGGAACTCCTTCCAACGTTCCCCTTCCCTTCCCGCCTCTCCAATGCTCTCGCCTCCTGGCGCGCTCCTATGGCCAGCGCTGATTTGGTCAGCTGGTCCATAGACTCCACCCTGGGCGCCCGGGAAAGTTCGTCTTTCACAGCCGAAGAAAGCCCTTCTTCAAAGAGCATTTGAATGGGTTCCGCCGATAAGTCCCACCCCAATCTGTGAACAAGCATGGTGAACTCAGTCCAGTACTCACGGACAGATCGGCTCCCCTGTTTGCAAGCCATTAACTGTCTGCGCACCACTCCCTTTTCAATATCGCTGGAAAACATCAGATCCATGGCGCGAAAGAACTTCATTGTGTCCTTTAGGACGTCACTATTCGCTGCCATCAGGGGTCTAACCCAGTCTCTCGCCCCATTTTCAAGATGCTCAATCACGAAAGCCACTCGTGATTCCTCATCAGGGAATTCATCAAACTGCAGATTGAGGGCATATTGCATTTCTGTCCGAAAGCCATGATAGTTTTTGGGCTCCCCCCCAAACTTCTGCACCAATCCTGGTACCTTTCTGGCGAGCTGGGTGGCTTTCCCTTTTGTCTGCATCCTGAGCCCTCCTCTCCTCAAGCCTCGCCGTCTGCATCGCTAGCTGGACCTCCAACACCCGGTACCTTTCTTCCAGGCTTGGACCCACTCCAGCTCCTGCTTCTCCGGTTCCGGCTGGGTTGCTCATGATGCCTTCTCCTGCACAAGCTGCTTTCAAAGACTGTCGGAATGCTGTGATGAGATGATGAGCTGCTTGTGCGTAAAATCGTATCCCCTCAGAGTTTGTTCAAGTCCACAAACCTCTGTCTGTGACGGAGCCCCTCAGACATGGCTCCTCTAGTCACTAGCAGATTCCGACAGTGGTTGCTTTCGTAATCGCTTCCAACATAAAAGCTCCTTAACGGAAACACGTCTTCTGGACTCTCTGCGTGACAGTTTCCGGCGAGGAGTGGGTGTTCTTACAGGAGGTCCTGAAACCTCCCCACTGTTTTCGCTGGAAGTGTCTCTGAGCCATCCCTCCAGCTCAGCTCCTCTCCCCTGCTGGTTCCCTCTTCAGCTGCTGCGTCTCTCCCAACCTGTGTGAGCCCTTTCACCTCCCTGCTGGTTCCCTCTTCAGCTGCTGCGTCTCTCCCAACCTGTGTGAGCCCTTTCACCTCCCTTCCGTCCGATGGCAGTTCCCTGACAGTACCCCTCAGATTTCTCCCCTTCAGGCAAATCAACAAGTGAGAAAAACTTGTGATCAGCTAGAGATTGCATTTCTTGTTCCACTGCAGCAAACCACAGCTCCTTCTGTTGTGGCGGCAGCTGCGGGATTTCCTCAAACGTCTGAGGTTCATAATTTACGTTGCAAAACTTAACCTGCCCCACAGAGTATTCTTCAGAATAACTTAAGAGGTGGGATTTCCTGGGTAGCCCCTTCTGATCATCTTAGTCAGGGGTCAGCAAACTTTTTCAGCAGGGGGCCGGTCCACTGTCCCTCAGACCTTGTGGTGGGCCAGACTATATTTTGGAAAAAAATATATGAACGAATTCCTATGCCCCACAAATAACCCAGAGACGCATTTTAAATAAAAGCACATATTCTACTCATGTAAAAACACCAGACAGGCCCCACAAATAACCCAGAGATGCATTTTAAATAAAAGGACACATTCTACTCATGTAAAAACATGCAGATTCCTGGACTGTCCGCAGGCCGGATTTAGAAGGCGATTGGGCCGGATCCGGCGCCCGGGCCTTAGTTTGCCTACCCATTGTCTTAGTTATGTAACTGCCTGTCCCTCTCTTCCTCCCCTTCAGCTTTGGCAGAAAGAGTCTCCTGTTTCACAGGACTTTGCAGTTGGTTGCCGTGGTAACGGCTGGGCCTGTGGTTCTGGGACTGGCTCAATGAGAGGCAAAACTACTTCAGAATTCGCATGGATTCTGGACCAGTTATTTCGCTCTGAGAACACAGCACTGCAGCTCAGGACCACTTTTCCATTGCCAAGAGAAAACCCGGAACTTTTACAGTCCGGCTGATAACCCACAAAAATCAGTTTCACTCTTTCTCTGTGCCTTGGGGATATTAACCCAGGCATAGCTGCCAAAAGTTCTCAAATGGGAGATGCTAGGCTTTTTACCATGGAGCAGATAGGAGTTTTATTTACCACAGCCTATTTTGACTATAGCATGCTGCCAGCATGGCCTCCCCACCCCCCACCCCCCAGAATTTTACAGGCAAACCAGCATCATGAAGCAACAAATCTTTCATTGTCTGCAAAGCCCTACCTTCAGTTCCTACTACTACAGTTCCCAGGATTCTTTGGGTGTGAGGGAATTTGCTTTCAACGCCAGGTGTGTACACAGCTATCTGCTGGGGTCAATGTGTTTCCCTGCCCCTCACTCCCAGGGCCAGATTTAGGTTTGATGAGGCCCTAAACTATTGAAGGCAATGGGGCTCTTTATATGTCCAGCTGTCCTTTGTCAACAACAAATTGTCGCTGTTTTTTGTGTTGAATATATGCTGTATGGTAATTTATGGACCTAATAGGTATCTCAAGCCATTTGCACATGTTGCCATGCAACCAGTCCATGCAGAATGTAGGCACCCTATATATAGAAATGAGCAAACCAGTGACATTTTAGGGAGCAGCATAGCAGGCAGGGCCCATGACTTACATCATAGGAGCCTATACAACATGCAACACTGTTGCTGTATGTAGGTTTTATTTTATTTGTTTTTTATCTTATATTTTGGAAATACACATCCAGCTTTTTTTTCTTTAAAATTTTTGGAGGCCCCCAAGAGAGTGGGGCCCTAAGCTATAGCTTGTTTAGCTTATATGTAAATTCAACACTGCTCACTCCTAACACTGCCTCATCGTCATTCCAGACCCAGCCTGCCAACCTGGTTTGAGCCTGCTTTGGACCATTTGAGTGAAGGGGCCCTTTGTCTGAAGAAGCCACCCCAGACTGTCCCCCCAGCCCCTCCTTCCTCCACCAGCTAGCCTTGACTGTCCCTCGTTCGCTCCATCAGAGTGACTGAAATATGTCCCCCCCACACACACTATTCCCCATTTCCCCTCTGGTTGACATCCTTTTAAGCATTGATTCTGCTCCTTTCCCTTAGGTCGGATCTCGGGTTGGAGGAGAGGAAGGGAGATGACCTCAGAGGCGAGGGCAGTGGTTATGGGGAGTGCACCACGCCTCCCATAAGTGGCCAGCACCAAGCCAAGACCACCGGCTTATAAAGTGGGGCCAAGAGAAACCAACGTTCCCCCAATGAGACCAGAGCCGTGAAGATAAGCACAGCACCCAGGCAGCCCACCCCCAGGAGAAGGAGGAGAGCCCCCCTCTGAGTCCACCAGCAGCTTCCTCCAAAACACCATCACAAGCACCCGGCTCTGCCGTCCAACCACTTTGCAAGCCAAGCTCCAAAGCCTCTTCTAAGACCCTCAACAAGTAAGTGCGTCTCATCGTCTGGCTGGAGGTCTACTAGACAATGTGCATCATGATGTAATGCACACCTTTCGCCGTCAGATAAGCAAGGTATAGGCCGCTTGCACTGCAAATTTGGATCCCTGGGAGAGTTGGATAATTGAGGTTCAGGTAAAGACAGAAAATTCGCTTGCAGGGAGAGTCTGGTTTTTAATGCAATAAAATAAAGAAACTTTATTAACGTTAATAAAGGATTACTGTACTCACATTTTCAAACATATGTTTTTAGCCATGAGGCCCAGGAACCTGCTTGTTTTCTTTTATTAAAAAAATAATGAAACTTCAGTTTCTAAATTTACACACTAGCAGCCAATTACAAAGAGGGACAAGGAATTAAGCAGTGAAGCCTTATTGCTGTCGCAGGACAGCTTACTGCATCAGCAACCATGACTGCCTGCACTTTTGAGAATGTATATGTAGCATGAGGACTAGAAACCTGATTGATTTAAATAGAATGAGACTTGAGATTCTAAGATCTCAGCACTCACAGCCTTGGCTATTTGTGACTGTATCAATGGACTTCAACTACATAGCCATGAAAAAAGAGTCAAAACAAAGTTTTGAGGAAGCAAAACAGTCTTTCCCCCCTTATTCTTCCACTGTGCTTATTCTGTACATAATCCCCATTCTACCCTCAGCTTTCCACAATGGCCTCCTCCAAGCCCTTCCATGTGGTCACTCCGCTGCGGATCAGCCCCCACCTCTCCAAATTGGCTGGTACCAAGGTCTACCTGAAGCTCGAAAATACCCAACCCACTTGCTCCTTTAAGATACGAGGCATAGGGAACTTCTGCAAATCGGTAAGGAACGGAGAAAGCTATATGGGGAAGGCTCATAGCTCAGTGGCAGAGCAGCTGCCTTGAGTGCAGAAGGTCCCAGGTTCAATCCCCAGCCTGTCCAGGTGGGGCTGGCGGCAACCCCTGCCTAAAACCCCAGAGAGCTGCTGCCAGTCAGTGTAGGGAACACTGAGCCTCTTGTCGGCTCACTATAAGGTACATTCCCATTTAAGACAAGAAAGAATGGTGAAGGTTGCTGCTGGTTTTCTCTACTGCCCTAGGATAGGCTGTAGCTCAGGTTAAGGCAGCTTGCGGTGTTCATATGATGGGACCTTTCTGGTGGGAAGTGATATTGCACATAATGGATATTGTTTAATCAGTTTAGGGAACGAGCTTGAAGCAAGCTGCTCCTCAGTCTGGCAGGTGACATCTTTGTTTGGGGGAAAGGCTCCTTCTGGGAAGAATTGAATCAGGCAGTGAGCAGGCACGAAGTATTCAACAGAAGTATAGTGTCCAGATCAAGGGAAGCAATAGTACCACTCTAGTCTGTCTTGGTCAGACCACACCTGGAATACTGTGTCCAGTTCTGGGCGCCACAATTTAAGAAGGATGTTGACAAGCTGAAATGTGTGCAGAGGAGGGTGACTAGGATGATCAAAGGTCTAGGAGCCTTATGAGGAATGGTTGAAGGAGCTATGTATGTTTAGCCTAGAAAAGAGGAGATATGATAATCATCTTCAAATAACTAAAAGGGCTGTCACATGGAAGATGGAGCAAGATTGCTCTCTCCTGCTCTGGAAGGTAGGGCTCAAACCTCAACAGCTTCAAGTTACATGAAAGCAGATTCCAACCAAACATATGAAAAAAACTTCCTTACAGTAAGAGCTGTTCTTTGGGCATTCTGCAAAGGTTTCGTTATGAGGTCAAGAGGACAGAATCTGGTCCAGACCTGCCTGGAAAGAACCATGGGTGGTGGGGTTGTTTTTGCTGTGGGGTTAAGATGACTTCTGTTCACACATTCCTATTCTTCTGCTTTCACAGTGGGCCGAAAAACACTGCCAGCAGTTTGTCTGTGCCTCAGGTAATGTGGTTTTCTGTGGACACTGTCAGGGTTCCAGGGGTGGGGAGGATCCTGCTTGTGGAAGTTTCCCTTTGGGGCATCTGGTTGGCCACTGTGAGAACAGGATGCTGGGCTGGAAGGACTACTAGCCTGATTCAGCAGGCTTGTCTCATGTTCTTATGTGTACATTGGGGGGGGGGTGAATTACACCAAAACGCTGGTGATTTTTGCTAGGATTTGGAAAAATGTTTCCACAAGCCAACATGGAAATAGAGACAGCTGAATTTAAGTTTGGAAAAATGAGAGAAACTGAAGTAGTGCAGGGAATCATTGGGTTTTTTTCTTATTTTTATTATGTATTTTGTATTTTTAGATTGTGATTTTATATTGTGAACTGCCCTGAGACATGTGGGCATAGGGCAGTATACAAATTTAATTAATAACAAGAACAACAGTATGGTGGCTTAGAGGCTGAGCTGCAAATCAGAAAGTCCCCAGTTCAGATTTCACCTCTCCCACAAACTAGATGACTTTAGGCAGGACACCTAGATTATATCCAGAAGTCTTGTATGCCTTGGGTTTGGCCTGGGAGGGAAGGCAACCATCATAAGTTCTAGCATTATAGTGGTGTCAAATGGGCTTTCTTCCAGCGGGAAATGCCGGCCTCGCAGCTGCCTACTCTGCAAAACAGTTGGGGATCCCGGCTATCATCTTTGTGCCCCAATCCACACCAGCTATAACTATGGAGCGCATGGAAGACGAGGGAGCCACGGTATGCATGCAACAGGTAAGTTTGGAAGGAAGATCAGCCTTAACCCTTTCCCTGGCTTATCACAGAAGAACAAAAGTTGGAAGCCTTTAAAAATCACCACCATCATCAAATAAATATTTCTTAGAATCCTAGCCTAATAACAAACTTCCTTTCCTCTAGACACTGGAGGAATGCCAAAACATAGCCAAGGAAATGGCAAAGGGAAGCTCTAACTCGACCTACGTGCCTCCGTTCGATGACCCTCTCATCTGGTATGTGATGTAATTTCTCCTTCGGTGGAGAAATTCAGTTCAGTTCGAAACAGTACCAGATTAGCCATTTTGAAGCAATACCTGAACTGAAGTGCGGCCATTTTGGCCACCTGGTGGCCATTTTATTTTCCCCCACAATGCCCCGGAATTTCAGCTGGGGCCTGGTATGCAGGAAGCAGGGAATATGTCAGGGATTTCCTGCCAAAATGGACTTCTGCAAAGGAAAAAACCAGACCAGATTTCTCCCCCTCCCCACAAATAAAAATGATGAGAAGTTTTGAATGCGCTCTTCTCTCAGTGCCCCCACCCCAACTCTCTCTTTCCCACCCCTGACATTTGGTTTTGATGTTCTGGGTCCCCTCTGCTTTGCAGGGAAGGGCACAAGACCATGGTCACAGAGATGAAGGAGCAGATGGAGTCCACACCTGGAGCAATAATTCTCTCTGTCGGAGGGGGCGGCATGCTCTGTGGGGTGATCCAGGGCCTCCGCGAGGTGGGCTGGGACAAGGTACCCATCATCGCCATGGAGACCCGCGGAGCCCACAGTCTGAATGCTTCCTTGGAAGAAAAGAAGCTGGTGACACTGCCCGAAATTACCAGGTGAGCTCACGGCACATTTGGTGGGGGACTAGGAGGGTAAAAGACTACCGCTTACCTCAGGGCAGAAGCCACTACTGGTAGTGTGACAGCTGATGTGGGCTGGTACCCATTGGGTCTGGTAGGGCGGAAGACAGGGAGCCCAACAGTAGGGGGCGCCAGAGCCAATGACAGGCAGAGCTAACCTTCTCCTAGTTTTGTCCCCATCCTCCTCCTTGTGGAGTGCTATAAGAAGCAACACTGAGACGAAGGAGGAGGTGGCAGATAGCCAGGCAAGTGAGGGCTGATGGAGGGCAGAAGAAACAATCAATACAATACAATACAATACAATACAATACAATACTGGGAGACAGTGCAGTGGTTATAGTGTCAGACAGCAGGATTCAAATCCCCACTTGATCATGAAGCTCAGTGGCTGAGACCAGTCACTGGCTGCCAGCCTAACCTACCTCACAGGGTTGTTATGGGGATTCAAGGAGGAAAGGGAAAACCACATGCACCACCTTGAGGGGGAAGAATGGAGGGGTATAAATGCAACAGATAAATAAAATGGCCTCATTGTCATTACACATTGTTCGCCTGAGCCAAATCCAACAAGCAAAATCTAGCCCACTGATCTTCCTTTTCCTGTTCTGGGTCCAGCATTGCTACCACGCTTGGGGCAGCTACTGTGGCAGAGGAAGCTTTGAAGCTGGCGCAAGAGCACCCTGTCATATCACAGGTTGTCGATGACTCTGACGCAGTGGCAGCCGTCGGGAAGTTTCTGGGTATGTATTCGCAAGACAGCCATCCTGTATTAATGCACTAGTTGTGAACTCGTTCTCCATGTCTGGATAGTCAGTGCAATTATATGGTGAACTGGAGTTCCCATCTTCTCTGACCATCGGCCATACTGGCTGGGGCTGATGGGTGCTGGAGTCAAATAAACTCTACAAGGTGCCACACTGGCTCTTGCTGCTCCAAGTGCTATTATGACTTTGTGCAGAACTGTATTGCAGCGGATTGCACGAGATGAGCCTTTGTGTCCCTTCCAACTGTACAATACCAGTAGTCATTGATTTGTCCAATCCTCTTATTTGTTCAATCCTCTTTTGAGGATCAAGTGGTATATTGCACTTCAAATGCATGGCATGAATTACTTCTACTACTGATTACGTGGGTGGCACTGTAGTCTAAACCTAGGGCTTGCCGATCGGAAGTTGGGCGGTTCGAATCCCTGCAACGGGGTGAGTTCCCATTGCTCAGTCCCTGCTCCTGCCAACCTAGCAGTTTGAAAGTGCAAGTAGATAATTAGGTACCACTCCGGTAGGAAGGCAAACGGCGTTTCCGTGCGCTGCTCGGGTTTCGCCAAAAGTGGCTTAGTCATGCTGGCCACATGACCTGGAAAAACTGTCTGAGAACAAAATGTCTCCCTTGGCCAGTAAAGCAAGATGAGCGCCACAACCCCAGAATCGTTCATGACTGGACTTAACTGTCACGGGTCCTTTACCTTTTCTTTCTTTTTTTCCTACTGATTAAAAGGTAAAGGGACCCCTGGCCATTAGGTTCAGTCGTAGCCGACTCTGGGGTTGCTGCGCTCATCTCGCTTTATTGGCCAAGGGAGCCAGCGTGCAGCTTCCGGGTCATGTGGCCAGCATGACTAAGCCGTTTCTGGCAAACCAGAGCAGCGCACGGAAACGCCATTTACCTTCCCGCCGGAGCGGTACCTATTTATCTACTTGCACTTTGACGTGCTTTCAAACTGCTAGGTTGGCAGGAGCAGGGACCGAGCAACGGGAGCTCACCCCGTCGCGGGGATTCGAACTGCCAACCTTCTGATCAACAAGTCCTAGGCTCTGTGGTTTAACCCACAGATTACTCATGCCTTAATGGCAAGGAGAAACAGCACTGTTGGTTAGAGCATGGTGGTGATAACGCCAAAGTTGCAGGTTTGATCCCTGTATTGGATAGCTGCATATTCCTGCATTACAAAGGATTGGACCGTATGATCCTCAGGGTCCCTTCCAGCTCTAGGATGCTATGATTCAACTTCTAGAAAACTTAAACGACCCTTTTGCCTGTAGACGAGGAGAGGATGCTGGTGGAGCCGGCGTGCGGGGCGTCCTTGGCAGCCGTCTACTGCGAGCTGACCAAAACGCTGCAAAAGGATGGTAAACTCCCCAACGAGCTGGAATCCATAGTCATCATTGTGTGCGGCGGCAACAACATCACCATGGAGGAACTGGATTGCTTGAAGGAGCAGCTGTCCTCGGATAACGGTGATCTCGTGGAGTGCGAGCTTGCCATGGCAACATGGAACAATCCATGCAACATTTTCGCGGCTTCGCTCCAAAAATCCATGGGGGCGTGTGCTCATTAAAACTCACGGCTGCCTCACCCACCCTGCTCTCCCAGAGCTCTGTGTCACCCCCCAGGTGGGAGCAGAGGAGTTGGGCGGACAGGAAAACTGGGTTGCAATATACCTTGGTGCCTCAGGATTTGGTTGGATCGCCAGCAGATACCCGAGAGTACTAGATCCCAGGAGAGATCGCTAGATTGCCAGGTGGTGGTTCGGGTTTCTGTGCAGCTGCCCCTCGTGGCGAGTTGCTGAACTGAACATTTTGGCCTCTACATGGGCGGTATGGGATGCCCAGGCTGTGTGTGGGCTGGCTCCTGAATAGGAAAGAGTGCCATGGAATCATAGAACTGTAGAGTTGGAAGACCATGCAGGTAATCTAGTCAAACCACCTGCGATGCAGGAATCTTTTGCCCAATGTGGGGCTCCAAGCCACAACCCTGAGATTAAGAGTCTCATGATCTGTCAACTGAGCTAAGGGCATAGAGAAGAGGGCTTCCTGTGCAATGCAGTTTTGAGAAGTGTGGTCTTCCCCAGCTCTAAGTTTATTGCAGCATCTTTTGCTCCTGAATTCCACCACCTGGTTTGACCTTCAGCCCTGACCTCTGGCTTATTCCTGCCTCCCGGTTTGACCTTTGTCCTTGATGCTACCTCCTAGCTTCTTTCCACAATGACTTCTGGCTTCCTCCTGTCTTGCCCTCATGTACCTTTCAACCCTAACTTCTGGCTTGCCTTTCAGCTTGCTCTACAGTCTTTCTAGAAAGCCAATTCAGGTGACTTCTAGATAGCCAACGATGTTCAGCTGTGGGGATCTTTTACATCTTTTTCTTTCAACGATTTATATCTTACAGGATTTATTATTTGAACTGTTATTCCCTGGGAGTGCTGTTCTAGAACAGCTGATGTAGTTTTAACCAGTAAACCACCTTGGAGAACTTCTTATCCAGTAAGGTGGCATATAATTTTTTAATAATTTTTTAGTAATAATAAACTTATGTGGGTGCTTTTTAAAATAGTAAACAGCTGCTTCAAAGAGGGGGATGAATTTCAGTAGAAAGGGATTAGCCCTCTTGTCCCCTACCATAGTCCTGACAAATATCACCCCACCCCCTGACCCCCAGCAACAGATTATCTCCATAAAGCAGGCATGTCCAAAGTGCGTTTCGGGGGCCTAATCTGGCCCACTGGTCGGTTTAAGCTGGCCCCTGCGGCAGTTCATTTCCTGGGGAAAATCCTCTTTAAAAAATCAACAACTTCAATCCTAAAAAAAAAGGTTAACAACTTTGGTTGGCCCTTTGGTCAGCTCTCATGGCCCTTCACTTCATCAAATCTGGCCCTCTTTGAAAAAAGTTTGGACACCAATAATCCAGAGATTGGGAGGGTGCACATGGCTCTTGCTGACCTGGAATTCTTCGCAGCACCACTTCAGCCTTTCCAACTTCAAAACACTCTCCTAGGAAACCACGACTGAAGTCAGTTCCCCAGTCAGTGTCAGGCTGCCGAGGAACCAACCGCCGCGGCTGGTTGTCACGAATGGACAAGGAAAAGTTGTTACCAACTGCTTTTTATTCAATATTCACAGAGGCTTGGGAATGCAGCCTCTTGGAATAATGGTGTTGCCCTGAGTGAGTCTCCATCCCGTCCCTTTCTCCTCTTCATGTGTCATCACTATGCTTGCTGAAAAGTGCCCTCTGCCTCTGAGCCGTCTGCTCTCCTACTTTTAATGTCCGCCGGGTTCAGGGAGAGGTGAAGTCTGGAGTGTTTTCTAAAGACACTTGAGTCCATCAGCTGTCCCCCCCTCTGGTGCTGCTTCTTCCTACTCTCCTATTATTTCCCAGCTTTTCCTCTCATCTGCCTCTGAGCTGTGATCTCCCTCAAACCAGTTGTGATTCTAAATTGTCGTCTTCTTCTCTGGAAGGGTCAGGCTGGGGAGGCGGTCTCCACCCTTCCTCCCTGACAGTCAGGGTTGTATTGATGGGACAATGAAACAATACTACGAGATCCCAGCTCATGGAAACAAAAAGCTCTGATCCCGAGAATCTTAAAATTGCACAGCCAACTTCCTCTAGATTGGTGCACCTGTTTCTGCCAGCATAACCTGAGATGACACTGGCCTGAAGGTGTGTGAGTGATGGAAACAGGTAAAATGTGTGAGCAAAAGAGGGAAGCAAGGGTGTGTGGGAGAGAGAAGTGTTGTGTGCATGTGTGTGTGATAGAGGGGATGTGACTGTATACACCTAACTGGTGATTTCAAACGATTCCTGCCTTGTTTCCTCTGGGAAAATATCAAAGACCTTGAAGCAGAACATGGGATGTCCAGTTAGTGTTGATATTTATTAAGACCAAAAATAAAATCAATCATAACAATAACTTTTGATCATACAAGGCAAGACCGAATTCCCTTCATATAGCTGACCAATACACTCATATACCCTGATCCACAGGGACAGAGTTTATGCTACCAACAGACTGATTCATATCCTTTTTGGCTCAAGTATAAGGGAAAAAGGAGGAAAGACGTCCCTTGCAACTCCTAAGCATTGAAGGCAAATTGCTTTTTCGGGTTTTCCTTTGCATTTTTCATGCTTTTAATTAGAATATAAAGCCCACATTGGCTCAAGGAGGGGGTGGGCAAGCTTTGTTTAAATAGACACCCCTCCCCCCCTTTCTAAACCACCAACTGGAGACTAGTGCAAAAGACAGAGACTGGGGGAAAATAAATTTGAGCCCTGGAAGTTTTTTGAGAGCATCCACACAGAACTGAGCTTACAGTCCTTCCACACAAAAACTCAACTCCTGGTTGCTCCAAGCTTTCTTCAACTGAGCAATATATTTAAGGGAAGGAAGGAGTTGTTTGGTTGTTGCTATGGTTAAGCAACTGGAGAGGTGGAAATCCCTCAGTAGTTCCAGATCCACTTTCTTCTGCTCATCCTTGAGCTGGAACAAGTAAGCTCTACGTCAGCACTTTCTGCTCCCATGTTGCACTGTGCGCTGAAAAGCCTGCCCCCCCCCCCCGATGCCCGTGCATAGAAAATACCAGCTCTGTACTTTATACGTAGAGAGGTCTCTGTACCCATACACTGCATTCACACAACGGGGGATTTTATTTTTCTGACATTCCCCTAAAAGTTAATTCCTGCATTATTGTTCAGCTTCCACATGACATAAAAAGCACTTCTGGAGTGGTTTATACCATTTCCCCAACATTCCCATAACTGACAATTTCCATGTTATACCTTGAGCTTTCACATGACCTAGAAGCCACTTCCTAGAATATATAGCACAAGTTTTCTTCCAGGGGAGAAAAATAAATCCATCTGCAGATTAACATGAAAACGAGCTCCAAACTTGTGCTATATTTCACTACAATTCTGGAAGCTCAAATAGAATGCGGAAATTAACAGGGAAGTGTCCGGAAAACGGAACCAAAACTGCAGTGTGAATGCAGCCAGTTGGAAACAGCCAAGAGGCAGATTATTTATCAGACTTAGAATGCCTGTTAATCGCCTACAGATATTTGGGTTGCAAGGGGAATTTGTGGCTACTTGATGATGATAGGAAAGGCACTTTGCGCATGCTTGGCAGAATTTGCTTCAGTTCTGCAACAAGGTTGAGGCACATGTGCCTCTCTGGAAGTTGCTGGACTCCCAGCTCTTATCAGCGCCAGCCAGCATGGACAACGGCCAGGGTTAATAGGGAGCTGCAAATCAACAAGATCTTGGAGGATCCCTGCTCTGCAATGAAGCCCAAGGATTTGATAGAGGAAGCAGCAAAACAAACAATTAGAAAACAATTCCTGTCATGTCAAGCGGTTCCTTTTAAGGCAGGCAGCCAAGTACCTCGCTTTCACACATGCACATAAACGCAGGACAGAAATAGCAATATGAAGAAGGGCAGGATCACATCATTTCAACGGCCTATGCAGCCAAGATCTACAGCAAGAAGCAAGCAGCTCTTTCCGTACAAAGGGCTGTATTCCCTCCTGGGCAATCTTCTGGGGGCCAGATGCCAGCGTTGGGCAGGGACAGAGGCAAGAGTGGGCAGGGCACAGAGTGTAGATTTTGCCCCTGGACAGTGGGCTAGTTTCTACATGCTCTCAGATATACCCCTCTGTATCCAGGCAAACAAAAAAGGGGTATTATCAGACACTAAGGGCACATTCTGGCCAGGCAAAAACACAAAAGGAGGGCTGGTGAGGGGTGTGTCCTGGGGACAGCTTAGGGGACATAAGGAGAGATCCAGGGGCTACATTCAGGGCCCCCGTGGTGGCTTGAGGTTCTCCACCCTGACTTTCAACCATATGTATGTACACACAACAATCAGAGAGAAATGGCAATACGAAAATTGGGAAGTCATTTTGCTCACCATGGGAGAGAGATACTTAGCCTGGGAAAAGCATCCATATAAATAGGTAACGGACTATATAAATAGGAAATGGCTTAGATTTTGCCCAGGTCTTCCCAGAACGATCCTGGAAATCTGAGCCTCTTGTGCGTGTGCCAGGGATCACAGGCTTTGTACTGAATCACACCATTGGTCCATCTAGCTCATACGGTCTATGCTGACTGGAAGAAACTATTCATGGGTTTAGATGGAGGCTTTTCCTAGTCCTGCTTGGGAGATGCCAGGAAGTGAACCTGAGGCCTTCTGCACACAAAGCACATGCTTCATCCGTGTCCCCCTTCCTGTTGTGGGAACACAGGAAATGGCATTACACTGAGTCACTCCATTGCTCCATCTAGCTCAGTATTGTCTGCACTGATTGGAAGCGGCTCCCTAGGGCTTCAGCCTGTTTACTGCCAGCCCTACCTGGAGAGACCATTGGGGATTGAAGCTGGACCCTTCTACATGCTATACCACTAAGCTACAACTCTTCCCTGTTATGTCCATCTCTGCATGGGAGATTTCGGCGTTCTCTGGGAAAGCCATGCCGGTTGGAGTTAAGTGTGCAGATTTCAGGCACCTACACCTTTGGTATACGACCCGCAAAGGAAGGAAAATCCCCAAGAGTCAGGGTTGCGCATCTTCCCTCTATAAAGCTCTTGAGAGCTCAAGACTCACATTTGAGCGTAATAACATCAGCAGCTGTGACCTCAAGATTCCCGCCCTATTATCTTAGCCACACACTCAAGTCCTGGACTGCGGTGTATCTTGTGCTAAAACGAGATAAATATTCTGTAGCACGGAGAACAGAATCTTGCAACCAGCGCTGGTTATGATACAAGCTGTTTCACCTTAATCCGCGCAGCTGATGCTGCAATTTTGAGTAATTTTTGAAAGTTCTTATAGAAATAGCAAGGAATTATGCATGGCGTAATTAATGGAGGGGTAGGAGATGGAAGAATGCCCCCCTTTTACTTTTTGAGAAACCCCCTTATCTCTTGTTTTTTGGCTGTTCTAGGGGGAAGTGTGATTTGGCTAAAACTGGGGAGGGGGGGGAAGTACAGTTCAGCAGGTGAGGCTTGTGGATTTCACACACCCCTCCCTCTTCTCCCCCCACCCCCAATAATTCACTTTACTCCTGACCACCAGCAATCTTAATTCAGCCACCATCTGGCTTAATGTGCTGGAAGCAGGCATTTGGCTGGACTCTTTCAAGGCTTATTGTTGCGTCCATAAGGACTAGAAACTTTGAAAAGCAAACAAGCAAACTAACAGAAAGTTGGGATTTGCAGGCAGCCAAATCCAGCGCTCCCCCCCTCCCAGTGTCTCCGTGGAATCGAATAACCCCGATTGTATCCATCATTATCAAGCACCTTTGCCCTTTGGAGAATAAAAAGCAGCACGCTCACCCACAAAGCCCCACAGCACCAGCTGGGGTCTTGTCGAGCATGATGGGAAAAGTTTGACACACACAGAGCCCGTGAGGCATCAGCCCCAGCGGACCTGGATGGGCGAGAATTTCCAGAGGTCAGGATGGCCCATATGTATCAGATTGCGATAGGGAGAGGTGGTCCATTGGAAAGGAGGTAGGTTGTCCCAGGTTGGCCCGCTGGTGGCAATGAAACTGTAGTTCTTGGCCATCTCAAAGGAAGTGACCTGGCAAAAGGAAGAAGGTGAGGTAGAGTCACAGACGCTATGACCTGTGCTAGCGTTTTCCAAAATTGCTGCTTCTGACCACTTGAAAACCATCTGACAGGATGGTTCCTCAGATGAAGGAGAAGGATCCTGTCTACGTTTTGATACAATCCGACGCCATCTTGAATCAAAGTGACGGACCTGAACCTTTCAGAACTCTACTGATTTTAACCAAAGTGTACATGATGGCTCCTGAAATCAAGGAGCAGCTCTTCGTTTATGATTGGGTATAATTGGATGCCATTTTGAATCAAGATGGTGGCCCGAACCTTTCAAAACTCCCCTGATTTCAACTGCATATGTGAAAACTACCCTGGGTTTGTTGTTGTTTTTTTTCCTTGGAATTCCGAAGCAACCCTGGGCATTAGACTGCTAGTAAATTATATTTTACATGTGTTTCTACAATTATAGCCTTGTGTGGTGAGGGCTAACAGACAGAAAATGACAGAAAATCAGGATTCATGGTTTATTCTTATTGTGAACATGAGCAGACATTATTTTTTCCGTGCTGTTACATTTGCAATGGAAATATCTATCAAAGAATAGCTGTTTAAAACTGGCTCCCCTGCAATTACCTTGGGGTACCCCCAAACCATTTGGCCCTAACTATCACACTTTAACCTCAGTTGTCTTAGCAACTGAGCCTTCAGTGGGGACTGTTGACATTCTTTTCCCATCTGTGTCCCTGGAACATCTCAGGGAGATGCTCGACTTCACCCTGGTGTTAACTCAAAACACAGACATAGCAAAACATCCGAGAGACCAGTTGTGCCAATTTCAGGGTCAGATAGGGAAGGAATGCAGCGTAGCAGTCATAAAAATGCAGGCACACAAAATCAAGCCCAATATATTTTATCCGAGGGCCCTTCTGGCGGTTCCCACATTTTGCAAAGTGAAGTTATAGGGAACCAGGCAGAGGGCCTTCTCAGTAGTGGCGCCCGCCCTGTGGAATGCCCTCCCATCAGATGTCAAGGAAATAAACAGCTATCTGACATTTACAAAACATGTGAAGGCAGCCCTGTATTGGGAAGTTTTTAATGTTTGATGTTTTATTATGTTTTTATATGTGTTGGAAGCCGCCCAGGATACATGCCCAGGGTATAAATAATAAAAATATTGTTTGTTTGTTAATCAATCAATCAATCAATCAATATCATCATCATCATCAAGGTTAAATTACCAGCTGGTATGCAGGCTGTGACCCTACCTGCCTGCAGACTGTCTCACCAGAGTGGTGCATATCTCCTGCTTGGACTACTGCAATGCGCTCTACGTGGGGCTGCCTTTGAAGGTGACCCAGAAACTGCAACTAATCCAGAATGCGGCAGCTAGACTGGTGACTGGGAGTGGCCGCCAAGACCATATAACACCGGTCCTGAAAGACCTACACTGGCTCCCAGTACGTTTCCGAGCACAATTCAAAGTGTTGGTCCTGACCTTTAAAGCCCTAAATGGCCTCGGCCCAGTATACCTGAAGGAGCGTCTCCACCCCCATCGTTCTGCCTGGACACTGAAGTCCAGCTCTGAGGGCCTTCTGGCGGTTCCCTCACTGTGAGAAGTGAGGTTACAGGGAACCAGGCAGAGGGCCTTCTCGGCAGTGGCGCCCGCCCTGTGGATGTCAAGGAAATAAACAACTATCTGACTTTTAGAAAACATCTGAAGGCAGCCCTGTTTAGGGAAGGTTTTTAATGTTTGATGTTTTATCGTATTTTTAATATTCTGTTGTGGGCCGCCCAGAGTGGCTGGGGGAAACCCAGCCAGATGGGTGGGGTATAAATAATACAGTACTTTATTATTATTATTGTTTGACAATAATTCAATCAATATCACCATCATCAAGGTTAAGTGTAATTAATATTGGAACATGATTAAAATAAAAAATTTCTATGTCAACTGTGAGAAGAGGATGCTTGACTAGATGGGACCATCGGCCTGATCCAACAGGCTCTTTTAATATTATGATATTCATAACCCCATACCTTCATATCAGTGCCTCCGTGTGGCCTCTGACGCAGGGCCCCAAAGGGGTAGGTGCCATTAGCAGGGTTCAGATCTGAGCGGGCGGCAATGGCGTTTTCGCCATTCTGTGGTGGATCACAGCCTTGGCACCGGGACAGTGGGTCCTTTGGGAAGTTGTTGTACCTGCACGGAGAGCACAGGGAGGATGTGAATGGGGACAGGGCAGTCAGGGCTTCAAGCGATGGCATAGTGGGAGATGCAGAAATGCAAGGGCTCACTGTGATGGTCCTCTTAGCTACTCACCCAAAACGTTGGCCACTATGTTGGTCCATATACACACATAGAGCTCCAAAGGAGATGGAGCAGGTGGAATTATACCAAATTCATTAGGATCAGCCTATGGCCTGGATGGTTTCGGAAGATACTTAACTTGCAAAACACAGTGCAAAACACAAAAGGTTTTCGGCCCACTGAAACGCAACCTTTTGCTTTTAATTGGAAACGCAAGCCATCTTGTAAAGAAGGGTGACCATCTATATACCACTAGCATGAAGCGGGAACCCTGTGCAAGAAAAGGAAAGAAGTACCCAGCCTCTGCTTGACTGTATTGCTTGTTCTCATCATCTCCTTCAGTTGACAGAGCAAGGAGTCATCATCAATTATCCTGGTGTTCCAGCAAAAAAATGAGAGGACTGCTCCTGCTCTGAACATTTCCTGGAGCTGCACTCTTCCACATTCTTGCTCTGCCACTGGTTGAGCTTCTGGGTGAAAACCCCCATCTTTGTGGGGGGAAAAACTTGTGTGGACTGGGAAGAGCAAACTAAGGAGCTGCTACAGCAGAGAGACCCGGCGTGAATCCGTATATGGACTAGTATAATATTGGAAGAGCATTATCTTTTTGGCATCTGAGCCAAAGGAAGTAGGGGTTGGTGGATTGGTCAATTTCCATTCTGTGTCAGTTTCACACGCACTCCATCACAGGCCCCTCCGCTCCCATTTCCCCCAATTTAAAAAGACAGAAAAATGCATGCGAAATTTGAATTTGAATATATGAACTTTGCCCCAAAGGCAAAGGGCTGTAGCTCAGTGACAGAGCACCTGCTTTGCATGCAAAAGGTCCTGAGTTCAATCCCTGGTATTGCTGGCTATAGCTGGGAATGTCCTTTGTCCAAAACCCTGGAGAGCAGACCAAAATCTAGCAGAGAATACTGAGCTAGATAGAGCAATGGTTTGACTCATACAGTGGTACCTCGGGTTAAGAACTTTGCTTCAGGATGAGAACAGAAATCGTGCTCCGGCAGCACAGCGGCAGCAGGAGGCCCCATTAGCTAAAGTGGTGCTTCAGGTTAAGAACAGTTTCAGGTTAAGTACCGACCTCCGGAACAAATTAAGTACTTAACCCGAGGTACAACTGTATAAGGCAGTTTCCTGTGGCTTCTAAAGCATTCATTTTGAATGCATTTTAAATACACATTCCTGCATGTTTTCAATGCCTTTCGCCTCTTCTAAAATATACATGTTTGTCTGCTTTTTCCTGATAAAGGCACTTAAAAAAACAACAACCTGAAACTGAACTGCAGTAACCCGGGGCGGGGCTTTTAGTGTGGCTGCCCCTGTTCTGTGGAATAGTATTCCTGTCACAATACTACCCCACAATCTGCACTTTCGGGAAATAGTTGGTTTTTTCTTCTTCTTCTGACAGGCTTTCCCAGCTGGATAAATGGGCCTTTACCATGAAGGTTCACTTGTTATGGTTTTAGTCTTGTTTTAAATGTATCTGTTATTTTCATGTGTTTTTGTTTTCAATTACTTTATATGAAAATTGTGTTGAGATGGTGGTATAGAAGGCGATTAATAAATTTAAGTGTAACAGCAACAGCAATAATAACAACAGCAATAACAGTAACAATGGCAATGATATAATAAATAATAATAATAATAATAATAATAATAATAATAATAGAAGGATTTGGGCAATCCAACCAATGGTTGTGACGTTATCTGCAAATAAGCCTGGGACTGACAAATTAAATGGATTCACTTTACAGTGAAAAGATCTTCTCCATCCCAACACGGGACAGTGTTTCACACAAGCCGGTGAACACCCAATCCAATTTCTAAGTCAACGTTTTCTCCAATTCATGCCTTGCTCCAAAAAACGTGCTGTCCAGCTTGCAACCCAACCCCATTTCAACAGCAAGGAGACAGCCGTGTAGTATCCATTATTTGTTCATGCAACTCCCAGCCTGCAGGGGGCAGCACGGGCTGACGTCTTACCTCATGAGCTGGATCATCGAGCCCATGTCCCGGACCAGCGTCTGGTTGCGCCGGAAAATCTGGGCTCGGGGGTTCTTCTCATAGGTGAACCAGTCGCCATATTTCTGAACCAGCTGAGGAATGCCGCTGGTGTTGAAGATTTCTTTAAAATACCTGGGTGTGGGAAAAAAGCCATTGAGCAATGTTGGGGGGCTAGAGGGGAGTCTATTCTTTATTTGTTGCATTTACAGCCCGACTTTCCTCCAGGGAGTTCAAGGTGGCACACATAGTTCTCCTCCCCATTTAATCCTCACAACAACCCTGTGAGGTAGGTTAGGCTAAGAGAGAAAGCAACTGGCCCCAGGTCACCCAGTGAGCTTCACGGCCGAGTGGGGACCTGAATTCAGGTTTCTCCAACTCCTAGTTTGGCACTATAACACATTGGCTGGTGTGGGACTAGATCATGGCTCAATCCAGAGGTTGTCACTTAGCTCCTGAAGGAAGGTTTCTCAGCGGCAGGACAAATTGCAAGGCAAAGCTTTCAGCCAGCATATACCGTATTTTTCGCTCTATAAGACGCACCAGACCACAAGACGCACCTAGTTTTTGGAGGAGGAAAACAAGAAAAAAAATATTCTAAATCTCAGAAGCCAGAACAGCTAGAGGGATCACTGCGCGGTGAAAGCAGCAATCCCTCTTACTGTTCTGGCTTCTGGGATAGCTGCGCAGCCTGCATTCACTCCATAAGATGCACACACATTTCCCCTTACTTTTTAGGAGGGAAAAAGTGAGTCATAGAGCAAAAAATATGGTAACCCCTTGCTCGTGGGATTTGTACTGGCTGTCAATCAGATACCGGGCCAAGTTAAAGGGGCTGGCACGAATGTAAGAGCCCCCATACAGCTTAGGACCAGGTTACCTGAGAGACTGCCTTATCCCTTACACACCCAGTAGATTGCTGTGGTCTGTGGGAGTCTCTGTTGCAATTTCAAAAGATCTCAGAAGTCCACTCTGCAGTAACTTAAAACGGCTCAGGACCTCAATACCTCAAGGACTGCCTCTTTCCATATGAACCTACGTGGACCCTGCGATCATCTTCTGAGGCCCTCCTTCGTGTGCCTCCTCCTCAAGAAGGGTGGCAACACGAGAAGGGGCCTTTTCTGCAGTGGCTCCCCGTCTGTGGAATGCTCTCCCCAAGTAAGTTCGCCTGGCGTCTTCATTATACATCCTTAGGCAAAAACTTTCCTGTTTAACCAGGCCTTTGGCTGATTGACATCCAATGCCCTTTTAAAATGTGTTGTGGAAGTGGGGATTTATTGGGTTGTTTTGTTTTTATTATGTATTCTGTGTTTCTTATACTGTGATTTTTGTTGTGAACCGCCCTGAGATCTACAGGTATTTAATAAATTAATAATAATAATAATAATAATAACAACAACAACAACAACAACAACAACAAAATAAATAAATCAGAGGAGTAGGGCTTTTAGCGTAGCTGCCCCTGCCTTGTGGAATAAGCCAGGCACCTACTAACTGCACTGTCTTGAAACAACTGAAGACTTTTTTTCCAACAGGCTTTCTCAGCTTGCTGGATGTGTCTTTTCCATGAGTGCCTGCTTATTAGGGTTTTAGTCTTGTTTTAAAGGCATTTGTCGTTTTCGACACAGATGCCTTTTGCCTCCCAAGGGAGGAAGACAGAGATCAGAAAGTGGAAGGAGCCAGGATAGCGAGAGGCAAAGAGAAACATGGTTTTGCATGTATATATGGTTGTCTTTTATGCACTGTAGCGTGCAGTTGTTTTTACCAATTGTAGTTTAGCAATTATTTATTGCTAAGAGTTAATTTCTGCTTAATTATGATCTGCTGATATTTTGAGAGTTAATTTTATTGTGTGCTATTATATTCTAACAGATTATTGAATATTACGTCATTTGATAGAAGTCGATCCATTTTAAAGTTATGTTTCATTATGACTTTTTGTATTGGATCGGATTATGACAAGGTGTGCGTTCTTTGTTGTATATTTTGCTGCTATAAACCGTGTGGTGTGTAGCAACAGAGAAAGGCAGTATACTAATTAAAAGTGAAATGAAACTGAAATAAAATCCTTACGGCACATTGTAGCTCGCCCAGTAGCCTTCTTGGTAGAGTAGTTCAGTCTTGTCATCAAAAACTACCATCCCCCTGGAGAGACCAAAATATTGTTATTTTGAGGTCAGGGGGAAAGTCAGGCACTCAAGTCTCAGTGCTGGGAATATCCAGCAAAGCTCTCATCTCCTCCCAGGTGCCATGGGAAGCTGCCTTATACCAAATCAAATCACTGGTCCATCCAGTTCAGTATTGCCTGCAATGACAGGCAGCTACCCTCCAGGATTTCAGGCAGGGGGTCTCGCCTATCTGGAGACCGCCCTGGGGATTGACCTAAGGCTGTCTGAGTGCAAAGCAAGTGCTGGAACCGTTGAGTTACTGCCGAATTAAATAGTTGAATTAAATAGTAAACTGTCTAATAATAGTGAATCAAACAACTGCCCTATCTAGTTCAGTATTGTCTGCCCTGAGGGACGCGGGTGGTCTAAACCACTGAGCCTCTTGGGCCTGCTGATCAGAAGGTCGGCGGTTCGAATCCCTGCAATGGGGTGAGCTCCCGTCACTCTGTCCCAGCTCCTGCCAACCTAGCAGTTCGAAAGCACACCAGTGCAAGTAGATAAATAGGTACTGCTCCGGCGGGAAGGTAAACAGCGTTTATGTGCGCTCTGGCTTCCATCACGGTGTTCCATTGCCCCAGAAGTGGTTTAGTCATGCTGGCCACATGACTAGGAAAGCTGTCTGTGGACAAACACTGGCTCCCTCGGCCTGAAAGTAAGATGAGCGCCTCAACCCCATAGTCATCTTTGACTGGACTTAACCATCCAGGAGTCCTTTACCTTTACCTGTCTGCCCTGACTGGCAACAGCTCTCCAGGGCTTCAGCCAGGGTTTTTCCCCCTAGCCATACCTGGAATTCAACTAGGGGGCAAAGCAGATGTTCGCCCACTGAGCTATACTAAGTCAGACCACTGATTCATCTAGTTCAGTATTGTCTATTGACAGGCAAGGTTTCAGGCAGCAGGTCTGGAGGTCCTGGGAATTGAAACCTCCTGCATTCAAAGCAGAGGCTCCGCCACTGAGCTATGGTTTTTCTCCTCCACTTTGTGACAAAGTGTGGGCTATAAAATCGATGCAAGGCTAATAATAATATAGCTTCTTGGTTCACAGCTGCTTGCACTAATCCTAGCTCAGTAAGCCAGGATGCTGGGCTCAGTGTTACATGTGAACCTGGCCGCTATTAAGCAGAGAAAGCGCAATATTTAAAGGTGTGCGGAGATGAGGGCGAAGCTGGGCATCCTTGCTTGTCCAACGATGTACAGTTTGGAGCACTTACGGGATCTGCTCCAGCACCGTGAGGACGCCCTTCTGGAGGCTGGCCTTCCCTGGGACGAAAGATTTGTAATCCACGATCATCCATTGGTTATTGTACCTGTGCAAAGAAGCAGAACAGGTGAGTGCCAACATGCACAGTGCTTTTTGAATTAAGAGTGGTGTGAAAGTTGCCTAGAAAGTTGCCTGAATCAAACTGCTCCTTCTCAGCCTAATCCACACCTTCTATCTGCAAACAGGGATAACAGCACTAGTCCACCTTGCAGGATTGTTGTAAAGATTTTAAAGATGAAACACGTGTGAGCAAGATTTGTCCATCTTACTTCATTTCCCGTAGTCTAACTGGATCTCGGACAGCAACAAGCTACGCCCACCAGCTTCTTCTCTCCTTTTCTTATAATTTTTTAATTAATTTTCATTTACCATCCAATAGCCTCATTACAACAATTCCAAATTATAATACAATTACTAATACCTATCATTCAAATACTGAATTATATAATTTAGATGCCCCCCCCCACATGCTAGAATTGATGGTTTCATGTTTTTATTTATTCTGCATTCCAAAATCTTATTATTTTCAATTACATTCTGGTCAAAATAATGATCCCTTACGCAACAACTGCAATATTAATACAGTGGTACCTCTGGATGCGAACGGGATCCATTGCGCAGCCCCATTCGCATCCTGAGCAGAACGCAACCCACGTCTGTGTGTGCGTGGGTCGCGATTCACCGCTTCTCCACATGCACGTGATGTCATTTTGAGCATCTGCACATGCGCGAGCGGCGAAACCCGGAAGTAACACGTTCCATTACTTCCAGGTAGCTGCGGAGCGTAACCTGGAAACGCTCAACCTGAAGCGACTTTTACCCGAAGTATGACTGTAACTTCTATTCATGTTGACACATTAAATGATTTCTATAAATACAAGTGAGGTACTCAGACTATATCCTTGTTCTTCCTGTGTGTGGCAATTATTCTGTCTGTGGTGTTTCTTCCTGTAAATGTTATGTCTATCTTTCCCCCAGTTGTTGTTGTTCTCCATCACACCTTGGGCGGAGCTGATATCCCATTGTTGTTTCAGAAATATCTCCATTGCTCCGTCCCATGCTTCGTTGTTTCGCAACTTTAACAACGCCAGTTTCTACCTGATCCCGTAAAACTGGAGACGCCATTGGGGCTTGAACCCGGGACCTTCTGCATGCAGGACCTGTGCTCTATCTATGGAGCTACGGCTCCTCCACTCACGTGCCGCTGTTGAACTTCTGGAAAATGGCCGCCCACTCCATCCCACTTGTTGCCAGCCGGTTGGCCACGATGTTGCGCAACCACTCTAAGACGCTCTCCTCGGGTTGGATGAACGTCCACAGGCTGCTGTTGCTGTTCCCAATGGTGGTTTCCAGAGATACCTGCAGAGGGAAAAGGCCCTGAGCAAGCCTTGCATCTGGGAACCCCAAGATGTCTGATGGGGGGTTCCCAGATGCAAAATTCAGTGGAAGGACACCTGCTTTGCATGCAGAAGGTGCCAGGTTCAACCCTTACACCAGCCTTTCTCAACCTCCCCAGATGTTGTTGGACTACAACTCCCATCATCCCTGACCACAGGTCCTGCGAGCTGGGAATTATGGGAGTTGTAGGCCAATAACAACTTGGGACCCAAGACTGAGAAAGGCTGCCCTATGGCATCTCCAAATAAGGTCGAGATAAGACCCTGTCCGAAACCCTGGAGAGCCACTGCCAGTCAATGTGTTGACAATACTGAGCCAAATGGACTGATGGGTCAGACCCCATACAATACACTTTCCTGTGTTCCTATGAGATTATCTGAAGGACTTCAGTGATTTCCAAAAGCACAGAAATAAAGCAATTTGCTTGATGTTTTCCCAAACAGGAGAAATGTTCAAAGGCCATCAAGGCAGCCTCTGTGTCCTTCAATAGGGCCAATGATAGCTCAGTTGGTTAAAGCATGGTGCTGATAATGCCAGGTTGCAGGTTTGATCCCCGTATGGGACAGCTGCATATTCCTGCATTGCAGGGGGTTGGATGAAATGATCTTCAGGGTCCCTTCCAACTCTGCAATTCTATGACTGTCCCAGTAGCACCAATATGATTCTCGACCTGGGATCCGGAAGAGGGGATTATGTCCCTGGTTCAATCTCTAGCATTGGGCTGGAAAAGACTCCCTGTCTGAAATTCTGAAAGCTGCTGCCAGTCTGTGTAGACAATACTGAACTAGATAGATCAAAGGCCTGAATCAATAGATATTTTATATTCCTACTGAATCGTGTTTGGCCTGAGTGCAGGACCTAATAATAATAATAATAATAATAATAATAATAATAAAATTTATTTGTACCCCGCCCTTCCCGGTTCAAAAACTGGGCTCAGGGCAGCTAACAACAAATTTAAAACACTTAATTGTAAAAGCAGCATAAAATACAGTATAAAAACATGAATAACAATGGTGGCTGAGTTAGTCCTACTTGGGCCAGCGAGGAGGCCAGGGGAGAATTAGCTGTGGAGTCTCAGAGCGGATAATCTTCATAAAAGGGGAGGGGGAGGGAAGAGAAGGGAAATAAAAGATCAGGCTGAATTCAAATTAAAGGCCAGGCGGAATAGCTCTGTCTTACAGGCCCGACGGAAGGTGGTTAAATCCTGAAGGGCCCTAGTCTCATGGGACAGAGCATTCCACCAGGTCGGAGTGCAGGACCTACTATTCTGCATGCTACTAGCTATATTTAGCCAAGTCTCTTGAGGTTCGAGTTTGAACCCATCTCGGATGACATCTGCAGCAGAGGAAGGTTCTGTATGCTGGCTGTAGGTCAAACAACTCTTTATCTAGGACAGCAGTGGAAGAGACAGGGGTCACTCACCAAGCCACTACTCAAGATGTAGAAGTCATCGCCAGAGAAGATGGCGCCCGGGTAGGAGGAGAAAGACTGGACGTACCCGGGGATCAAGCTGTCACCTGGGGAGCCCAATTGCAAGCAGTCGTCAGCGCTTCCATGGCAACAGACACCGCCCCCTCCCCACTCCAGTAAAGACCTTCGATTCTTATAAGAATAAAATAAAATCATTATAAATTAGTTTGGAGGTGGTATTGTTATAAGAATTCTAAGGTCCCAAATATAAAATAAATGTTCATAAATGTACATGACAAACACATACCTAAGTATATAAACCACGTGTCTGAAATAGTACAGGAGAGCAATCCTGAAGCCAGTTTGACTTCCCCAGTGACCTCAAATATTCCTCTGCAGTACGGGAAGCAAATGGGAAAAACCTCCCCGTTGTCTTTTTGCTCACAAAAACTGTCTTAAGGGTGTATTTGTGTATGAATAGGGTGAGCCTGTGACCTGGATTCAGGAACTGAGTATTTACCATCACAAAAGAATAACCAGGCTGCCCAGGTAGAGCAATCAGTGGCCATTATCAGGTATCCTGACAAACAGAATTTTAGTTGGAGACTGTCTCCACCTGTGATGTATGTATGATGTTTTGGGAGCTGGTCTAGAGCTACAGGGTGGGCAATTCCAAAAGTCTATATAAGGGCTTGCACACCATTGTTTGGGGTTCGTCTCCTCCCTCCCTGCATAGGGTGAGTGGGGGACCTTGTTGCAACAGTTTAATAAAGATCAGGCTTATTAGCTGCTTTGCTTCTCAATATTCTCTGGTTGGCCTCTTGTTATTTTCTCCTACCGATAGAGAACCTAGTTAGGGACTCTATGGGCTCATGGATACCCCATAAGGGAAAAGGAGCGGTTTTTTTCTTGTAACAGTATTTAACACCAGTCGGATTAAATCAAATAAACAAGGAAAATTTGGTGTTATGTTGGAGGGGATGCCAGGAAACCGGCAATGATGTTCACATGTGGTGGGGGTGTAAATATGTACAATTTTTCTGGCAAAGGGTGTTAAAGGAGATAACAGAAATCACTGGGTTAAAGCTGGACCGAAAGTCCAGAGGTAGCATTATTATCAATTTACAATGGGGTGGAAGGTTCACAGGCTATGAAGGACTTGCTTACAAATTTATTGACAGCTGCATGAATTATGATAGCTAGGAAGTGATAGGGGCAAGCAGAATATAAAATGGAAGAATGATATAAAGAGGTGTGGGATATAGCTATTAAATGATAAATTAACATGTGCCATTAAGGTAAGACGGGGAATATGCAGGAGAAATGATTTTGAGGAGATCTGGAGGGTGTTTGTAGAATTTGTACTGTTAAAACGGAAAAGGGTCAAACCATTGCAAGAGGTGTTGAAATTTTAGGAGGTTGGATTGTTACAATGGAACGGTCTCGGTGGCGGGGTGCCCATTTTTATTCTTATTTATTTATGATTATTACTTTGTCAAAATAAAGAGAGAGAAAAGACCTTTGAAAAGCCTGCAGTATCATCTCTGAACATTGGCCATGCTGACTGGGGCTTATGAGCACTGTAGTCCAACAACATCTGGAGGTCAAAGGTCCCTTGCTCCACCCCACATCCTTTTCCTGCTACTCACTGTGGGCTGAAGTCCGGAACGGCAAAGTATACTTCTTGAGGATGCGTAGCATGGACTGGTACGTATTCCAGGTGTCGTGGGAGACAAGGAGGTCCTGGTTGCCAGGCAACAGCTTGATGAATGCCGAGCAGGACCCAGAGCCAAGGACCCGGTGGCTTCCAGATTTGTTGAAGGCCGATTCCAGGTCTTCCAAATCGCCCCCCAACTGGAACAAACTAGCAGAGGCGATTCACATGACAATGATTTTAGTTGTTATTAATTTCACAAAATTTACATGCTGTTTGATTGTAAAAATTTTTTTAATAACCTCAGTGTTTTACAAAAAGAATTTAAAAAATCATTTTTTTAAAGAATTCAAGATAATTAAAATCAACGACAAGCTAAAAACCAGACTAAATCACGTGTCACATGCATAGGATGAACTAAACAGGTGCCGAAAATGAACGTGCCTGCCTTATGTCAATACGCAAGGAGTTCCAAAGTATGTTGTTGATTATATATTAGATTTCTTACCTGCCCTTTACCATAAGACCTGAGGGCAGGTTAAATCCTCTTTTAAAGCCATCTAAGTTGGTTGCCACCACTGCCTCTTCCAGGAGGGATTATTATTAAGGTGGGGCATCCCACACTCAAACCGTGTACGGTATTTTTTGCTCTATAAGATTCACTTTTTCCCTCCCAAAAAGTAAGGGGAAATGTGTGTGCGTCTTATGCAGGCTGCACAGCTATCACAGAAGCCAGAACAGCAAGAGGGATTGCTGCTTTCACTGTGCAGCGATCCCTCTTGCTGTTCTGGCTTCTGAGATTCAGAATATTTTTTTTCTTGTTTTCCTCCTCCAAAAACTAGGTGTGTCTTGTGGTCTGGTGCGTCTTATAGAGCAAAAAATACGGTATTTTAAAGCTTAGGCAGGGATCTTAGAAAGGGGAATTCGTTGCTCAACTTTGCTTGTCTCCTGGGAGCTTTACCTGACCTCCACCTCACTCTGCCTCCCAGGAGTTAAAAAAACTTTTGCTACACAGCTGCCCAACCCCACTCTGACCCGGCTGTTGATGCAGACTCAAAATTCCTGGAAACCTTTGCATTTGTGGGGGAAGTTAGAGGAGTTCCCCTCGGACTCTGTGGTGTCTGCAGCAAGCTTGCCTGCTTATCTTAGGAGAGAGAAGCTATGAGCCCAACAGACAACCCTCAGCTCAAGAGACTGCAGCTCACAAAACTCATCTGGCTCACACCAGGGAGGCAATACTTTTCCACCTCCACTGCCAGAGCCAGTAAATGTCCCTGAATGCTGGTTACTGGGAACCACAAGCAAGGAGATGTTGGTGTGTTCATGTCCTACTTTTGGGCTTTCCCATTGGGGCATCCGTAAAAAACAGGGTGCTGGAGCAGATGGTCCTTTTGGCCTGGTGCAGCAAGGGTTTTCTTATATTCTTTTAAGATTAAAGTACAGTATTGGGAGGGGAACAACAGCGCATCAGCCAAGGCACGAAACTCCTGTGTGCTGCAGAGGATCTTGGGAAAAGGGGCTGAAGAGACCTGGATTCTGGAATAGATGGGCCTTTGTTCTCATCCAGCAGGGTACCGTATTTTTCGCTCTATAGGACGCACTTTTCCCCCTCCAAAAATTAAGGGGAAATGTGTGTGCGTCCTATGGAGCGAATGCAGGCTCCTTCACTTCAGCGATAGCAACGCAAAGCCTCCAAAGCGCAGAGGGAGCGCTCCCTCTGCACTCCGGAGGCTTCGCATTGCTTTCGCTGAAGCCTGGAGAGCGAGAGGGGTCTGTGCGCACCGGCCCCTCTCGCTCTCCAGGCTTCAGGGATAGCCGCCTGAAGCCTCCGGAGCGCAGCGGAAGCTCCCGCTGCGCTCCGGAGGCTTCGGATTCCTTTTGCTAAAGAGCAAGACTCTCCTGGCTTCAGCAGAGAGGGAGAGCTGCACAGCACCCCTTCAGCGAAGCGGGAGGAAAAATGGAAGGGGCTCCGTTTCTCCTGCCGCTTTGCTGAAGGGGCGCTGAGCAGAGAGGGGGAGATATTTTTTTCTCTTGTTCTCCCCCTCTAAAACAAGGTGCGTCCTATGGTTGGGTGCGTCCTATAGAGCAAAAAATACGGTAGTTCTTTTTTGGGAAATAGGTAGCTTCCGCCAGCATGGCCAATGGCCAGGGATGATGGGAGTTGTAGTCCAACAACATCCAAATACAGTGGTACCTTGATTTACGAATTTAATCCGTTCCGGAAGTCCGTTCTTAAACCAAGGCGTGCTTTCCCATAGTGGCGGGGGACTCAATTTACCAATGGAACACACTCAACAGGAAGCGGAACATGTTCTACTTCCAAGCAAAGTTCACAAACCAAAACACCTATGTCCAGGTTTGCAGCGCTCTTAATCCAAGTTGTTCATAAACTAAGCTGTTCTTAAACCGGTACCACTGTACTGGGAATTGTTAAGTAGGGAGGGATGCAGTTGCACAAATCCTGCTTACAGGCTTCCCAATGGGGCATCTGGTTGGCCACAGTGAGAACAGGAAGCTAGGTCAGATGGTTATGTTGTGCAGATGCCTGATGATCGTCTTCCAAAGCAACTACTCTATTCCGAACTTAAAAATGGAAAGCGTAATGCTGGTGGTCAACAAAAGAGGTTTAAAGACTCTCTCAAGGCAAATCTAAAAAAATGTAGTATAAACACCGACAACTGGGAAACACTGGCCTGCGAGCGCTCCAGTTGGAGAACAGCCTTTATCGAAGGCGTCATGGGCTTTGAAGACACTCAAACTCAGGATGAAAGGGAGGAATGAGATAAGAGGAAGGCACGCTTGGCAAACCCTCACCATTATCAACTCCCATCCAGAAACCTATGTCTCCACAGTGGAATGACGTGTGGATTCAGAATTGGCCTCCACAGTCACTTACCGACTCACTGTTAAAACCATGTACATGGAAGACAATCTTACTCGGCTACAAGAAGTAAGAAGAGGTCAGATGGGCTACTGACCTACGTTCCTATGTCTTTTTATCTATGCTTGTATTATAATTATTAATAATTACTACAATTAATTTACCAACCCCTTTCTCAACCCTTGTCTCAAGTAGATTTACATGTCAGATAATTAGAAAGAAGTTAAAAACCTCAAAAGCAGCAAATACATTTAAAAACAAGACTTAAACCCTAATAACTTATGGTAAAGACCCAAACAGTTCCATTCCTTACACTCTAGCTGCTTCTTAATGAGGGATAGCAGCTTAAAATTCATCGTAGCCAATGAAACAAAAAAGAAACACGTCACACATTACACAGGAACAAACTCAAATATTCCTCAGCTGCAGTCTCCCGGAAAATCAACTTGTCAAAAAAATTAGGCTTCCAAACTGGTTGTTGTTTTTTAAAAAAGCGAAAACTTTTTCTCTCAAAACAGAGTGTAGCCGATGGCGGTAGGACTTTATGTGTGTACTTGTGTCTGTGGTGCGGGTGTGTTGCGTGCAGTTGTCGTGAGTGCATGTGTGCACACTAGTGATATGTCCACGGTGCCCAGGACAGTTTAAATATGGGCCCAAAAAGGTTGATGACCCCAGGCTTAAACATCATGTGTCACTGTCAGTCCTGTGCAGAATCCGGGCACCCGTGAAATGTCCCCACTCCTTCATTTTCTCACATGTGCAAAAGAACCACAGACTTACAGAAAGCCAAAGGGTGCGATGGAGAACTTGCCGATCGGGAAGGCCACCCGGCCGTTATAGCCATCCTCAAGGCCCTTCAGCTGCAGCAGGGCGAGGCGTACCTGGGCATTTTGATGGAGAACACACAGGAATCACTCACAGAGTCAAAAGTTAAAAGCAGCCCAGAAACAATCCGAGACGTAGTTTGGTCCTCGGATCGGGGCGGGGGGGGGGAAGCTAACAGCACTTATGCTGCCATATGGAAGGCAATGAACCCGCCAGCTTGCAGACTGAATATTAATTCATTCAAACAATTGCACAAGACGAAACAGACCAAAATTAGCAACCATTAATGTTCATGTTATAAGGTGTTATATCCCAGTGTCTTGGGACTTGAAGGAGGGATCCTGCAGCTGGATACTATGTGCTTTTTAGTGGCTAAGCGACTGGTTTTTCTGGCACTGGAAGGGCCAGACGACTCCTCACGTAGCTGGTAGAACCTTTTCTTCTCTTGAAGCATACAAAAAGGGGATTTTTGCTCAGGTGTGCAAAGAGCACAATCATTCTGAGTTCTGGGGTTATTTGTGTGGTATGCATGTCATATGAGCTCCACTAGAGCCTTCCCAATGTCACAATTAAAATGCGCGCCTTGTACCCCCCAGATATCAAAGAGAAAAATAACTACCAAACTTTTAGAAAACATCTAAAGGCAGCCCTGTTTAGGGAAGCTTTTAATGTTTAATAGGCTATTGTATTTTAGTGTTTTGTTGGAAGCCGCCCAGAGTGGCTGGGGAAACCCAGCCAGATGGGCGGGGTATAAATAAATTATTGTTGTCGTTGTCGTTGTTATTATTATTATTATTATTATTATTATTATTATTATTACTATTATCATTATTATCATCATTATCTTTAAACCTAGTTTTAGTGGGTTGGCAACCCTAAAAAGAAGCACTAGGGCCAACTTGCACATTTGGCAACCTAGTAAGTTACTGTTTGTTAAGAAGCATTTGTGCTTATGATATACAGTAGTCACATACAATGCTTGTAAAAACACAGCACCACATCTCTTTATTCTATTATATCCTTGTAAAAGTTTAAGTTGCATTTTTAAATCCGGTTTGTGGTTTAAAAGTTCACTGCACAGTTCCACCCACAAAGTGGGCCTTGAAACCACCACTCAACCCCCTCTCCTCTTTCTGATTCGCGGTTTTCATCACACAGTGGCTGCTTCTGCAAAATGGTATCACAAACCGACACGCTTTTGCTGGCATGCTTTCGTTTCCCTTTATTGTGGTTTAACCAGGGAATGATGGGAATTGTAGCCCAGTGAGGGGAACGGTGTGTGTGTGGATCTCCTAACAACTCTCAGCACTCTATAACAAACTACAGTTCCCAGGATGCTTTGGGGGAAGCCGTGCCTGTTTATAAAGTGGAATGATACCGATTTAAAGGTTCGATGGAGGTGGCACCCCAGTCTCAGAACAGAATGCCGCACCTGGTACCAGTATTCAGAATTGTCTGCTGCCTCCATCAGCTGCATCATCCAGGCAAGGTTGGCTTCGATATATTTCTTCAGCTTCTGGCAGTAGTTGGTCTGGTACTTGAATGGCCCACAGTAGCCCACCATCGTGTTCATCCAGTGCATGTAGATGAGCTGCAAAGGCACAAACATTTAAGGCGGCTGAGCTAGATCCAGAGCGAAAGGCGGCTGTAGCTCAGCGGTAGGGCATCTGTTTTGCATGCAGAAGGTCCCCGGTTCAATCCCAATGGCATCCCCAGGTAGGACAGGAATTGTCTGAAACCCCGGAGAGCTGCTGCCAATCAGTGCAGACAATACTGAACTGGATAGACGAGTGGTATGACTTAGAGTAAGCTTCCTATGTTTAATTCACCCTCATGGCCAGGATTGGGACCTATAACTTAAGTTAGGTATGTTAATTTCAATATCCTCCTGAGTAAAACCTTCCATATTCGGTGGGAGTTTGGAAGCCCTTCCTGAATCTTTCAAGTTCATTCAGAACAGGCAGGGGGTAGCTCCTTGCTGCTCCAGGTAACATGTAACAATGGCTTCCGGGTCCGGCACTCTGCCCGTGTTCAGAGACCACCACATCTGTATTCACCCTCCATAAGTGCCATCATGGAAGGTGAATTTCTAGGTTAATGTTTGCCTCAAATGGTTTTGTCCTGAGAGAGCTGAAGTGATGGGATAAGGGTCTTCGATAAAGCTGGAAAACGTGGAGGGTGGAGGCCGTACGCCAACACTTACCTGCTGAGACACAGCTGCTTCCGCCAGCCCTGCCGCGTAGGCCTGGAGGCTGTCATTATACTTCTCATTGGTGGTTAGTTCCAGGGAGGCCCATCTATAAGTGAGACAGAAATAGAGAGAATAAAAAGTATTGAGAAGACCAGCGAAGGAATCCATCTGTCAAGTTTCCCCTCCTTCCACTACAGCACCCTTCTGCTTGAGTCCTTAAATGAGCTCCCCTGTCACACTTCAAATCAGCTTCTAGTCCAGGCTTCCTCAACCTCAGCCCTCCAGATGTTTTTGAGACTACAATTCCCATCATGCCTGACCACTGGTCCTGCTAGCTAGGGATCATGGGAGTTGTAGGCCAAAAACATCTGGAGGGCCGAGGTTGAGGAAGCCTGCTCTAGTCCTCAGTATGAAGGCTTCCTACCAACTCCATGACCCGGGGTCATCAGCTGTCAAGCTTGCTGAGTGTAGAAAAGTCAAATGCAAACTCAAGACCCACCACGTGAACTTTAGTGTGAAAGAACTTCAGGCCTGGGGGAGCCAAATCCTGCCCTCCAGGAATCTCTAACTGGCCCTTCAGACTGTCCCCAGGTCATACCTTCTTCACAAACACACCTTCTCTCCTCCCTCCCCAGGCTGCCTCATCGCTCCCCAAATTTGCTTCACAACCTCCTGGAGTGTTTTGTTTTGCCCGCCTGGCATGTGTCCTTGAAATCTGATCATGCCTCTTGCTTGCCTGAATAGAGAGGGGTGTGTGAGTGTGCTGTGCCCGCTTTGGCCTCCAGCACATGGGTTACAGACGCTTCAGGTTGCCTTTTTCTGGGTTACAGACGCACCAAAACCCGGAAGTTCCGGAACGGGTACTTCCGGGTTTCGGCGGTAGCGCATGCGCAGAAGTGCTAAATCGCGCTTTGCGCATAAGCACAGAATCACAACCCGCATGTGCGCAGACGCGGCAGGTTGCGAACGTGCCTCCCGCACAGATCACGTTCGAAACCTGAACGTCCACTGTACTGAAATTTAACCAGATGGTTTGGCACTCAATCCATCTTCCCAGGGAACTCTGGGAATTGGTAGTTCTGCGAGGGGAAGGGAGGGAGATTGTGTGTGTGTGTGTGTCCTAACAACTCTGAGACCTTAGCAAACAACCGTTTTAAAAAATAGCCAGGGATCTGGTAGAACAGTTCCAACTACATATTAAACTGTTTGGTCTTTTTTAAGGGGAAATAGGATTTAAGGGTGAGATGAATTAAGAAAAATGAAATGTGGATCTAGCTAATGGAGTCAGTTGTGTTGATAACAGGTTATTTTAAAAAATGAACACTGTAAAGGAAAAATTAGTCCATTGTTATATATTATAGGAGACTGAAGAGTATGTTGAAAGAAGATTCTTAATCCCATTGTAACACAACTGGCCCTGTATTGAATTGGTGTGGGTGTTTATAGGAACAGTATGTTGTGTCGAATTCGAGGTAATCAATGTGTGCCAGCATACCCAATAAGAGTTTCTCAGTAGTCCTACTGGGGTCAGCAGACCGCACTCCTCCCTGCTGCGTCGTGCTTTTGAATAAATGCTGCACATAACTTACTTAAGGCTCTGGACTTCATGTTAAGTCCCTTCTGAGTCTTGTGACTGTTTACTTTGAAATGTCGCAATCCGACCCTGTCGCGTTAGTGGCGCCTTCCTGCTCCTTTTACCAAACGCGGCCCTGGATTCCTGCCCCCGAGGGCACCGCTTTTTGCAGCGCAGTGTGGCACGCACGAACTTAAACCCCACTGCCTTCATTTTGCACCTGCTCCGGGTCTGCGCGCTTTTGCAACGCGGCCCCTTTGCGCGTTTACTCGGAAGTAACCCCCTCCAACAAAACAAAAACACCCGGTGTTCATTTGAGCTTGCACCCGGTAGAAACGTGCACGAGAATCGGACGCTTGCAATGCGCGTTTACTAGGAAGCAAACCCTGCTGCCTTCCTTCCTCTGGGTTTGCCCATCACAACACGCGCGCCTTGCAAGGCAGTGCTAGCAGCCTGTTTACTCGCAAGTAAGCACACCTACGCCCAACAGGGCGTGGTCCCAACCAAAAAGAAAACCTAGCTAGGACCGCAGCCTTGCCCCAGGAACCGATTTGACCCACTGCAGTGGGCGGACACCCGTCTGCCTGCCGCCTGCCTGCCCGCCTACCTACCCGGTCTCCCGGATGCCCTCGGTCAGGTTAGCCCAGGCGACGGCCGCGGGGACCCAGCCAGTCACGGTCTCCAGCTGTCCGGAGACGGGATCCAGCACTACGGAGCAGCTGCGGGTCGGTTCCGAGCCGGCGGCGGGGAAGAAGGGAGGCGGCCGGGCGGCCTGCTGCGCGATATCGGGCAGGATCAGAGTCAGCAAGAGCGCAAGTCGCGCCATGGCCGGATAGAGGGACGTCCCCACCGGCCCAGGACGGAGGCGCGTCCAAGTCCCACGTGAACCGCTGATGCAGCCGGAGGAGGAGGAGCGCCGAGGAGAGACGGCCCCTCGCCGCGACCGGCGGGCTGTCCCCGCGACGGCCCCAGGGGGGAGCCCCAGGCCCGCGATGGCGAAGGATCGGAGCGAGCGTCCCTTCGCCCGGCCGCCTGCCTGCCTCCCGTCCCAAGGTGAGTTGAGTAGAAACTTCGGCACTTAGTGAGCTTAAGGTTGTGGCCGCTGAACCTGGGCATCAAGCCCGCGCAGGAAGCCGCCTTCGTTCTGAGTCAGCTTGGTATTGCCCGCACGGACCGGCAGCGGTTAGTCAAGGTTCCACACCCGGGCGTTTTCCCTAGAGCTTCCTGGAGACTGAACCCGGAGCCCTCTGCGTGCAAAGCAGGTGCTCTAACCAGGGCCGGATTTAGGTTTGATGAAGCCCTAAGCTACTGAAGGCAATGGGGCCCTTTATATGTCCAGCTCTCCTTTGTCAACAACAAATTGTCGCTGTTTTTTGTGTTGAATATTTGCTATATGGTCATTTATGGACCTAATAGGTATCTAAAGCCATTTGCACATAACAAAAATGTACATCATAGGAGCCTACACAACACAAAACACTGTTGCTGTATGTAGGTTTTATTTTATTTGTTTTTTATCTTATATTTTGGAAATGTACATCCAGTGTTTTCTTACTTTAAATTTTTTGGGGGCCCCAAGAGAGTGGGACCATAAAGAAGGCTGATCACCGAAGAATTGATGCTTTTGAATTATGGTGCTGGAGGAGACTCTTGAGAGTCCCATGGACTGCAAGAAGATCAAACCTCTCCATTCTGAAGGAAATCAGCCCTGAGTGCTCACTGGAAGGACAGATCCTGAAGCTGAGGCTCCAATACTTTGGCCACCCCATGAGAAGAGAAGACTCCCTGGAAAAGACCCTGATGTTGGGAAAGATGGAGGGCCCAAGGAGAAGGGGATGACAGAGGACGAGATGGTTGGATAGTGTCTTTGAAGCTACAAACATGAGTCTGACCAAACTGCGGGAGGCAGCGGAAGACAGGAGTGCCTGGCGTGCTCTGGTCCATGGGGTCACGAAGAGTCGGACACGACTAAACGACTAAACAACAACAACAAAAGAGAGTGGGGCCCTAAGCTATAGCTGGTTTAGCTTATACGTAAATCCGGCACTGGCTCTAACCACTGCACTACTGTGCTTCCCTTGTCATCATAGGACGCTTCCTTATACTGAGCCGGACCATTGGCCCATCTAGTTCAGGGTTTCCCAAACTTGGGTCACCAGCTAATTTTTTTGGACTACAGTTCCCATCATCCCTGAACACTGGTCCTACTAGCTAGGGATGGTGGGAGTTGTAGTCCAAAATACAGCTGGCGACCAAGTTTGGGAAACCCTGATCTAGTTCCTTATTGTCGACTCTACACTGACCGGCAGTGTCTCCAGGATTTCAGACAGGCAGAGTAGATGCTCTAACCACTGAGTTGCAGCCTTCCCCCAAATTCACTGAGACTAGATGGCTTTTTGAGAACCCTTCTGTAAAGAGAGGGCTCTGAATTTAGGTGATTAAGCCCCTGCCTGGGAACAAACATTCTTGCCTTGTGCCTAACATATTTTTTCCATCTCAGTTCATTTCTCCTGGATTATTTTGAGAGAATTCAGACTTTGGGGATTAGGACTGTCTGAGGGGAATCTACTGGACTCTCTGACCCAAGTTGGCTGATGACCATTGGAACTGATGAAGCAGAAGGGTGGGAGGCGCAGCAGTAGGGAGTGCCAGAGCCAGGGACAAGGGGAGCCAGCCTGTTTCTGACCCCATCGTCCTCCCTGCTGAGTTCAACAAGGCCAATAAGTGAGATTTAGGACACATTCACACCATCCACTTAAGAGCTCCCTAGGAAGAAGGATTGCTTGTTAAACCACTCTGGAAATGGTAGCTCTGGGAGGGGGAAAAGGTTCTCTGACAAACTACAACTCCCAGAATTCTTTGGGGGAAGCCCTAACTTCTCTGTTGTTGTTTAGTCGTTTAGTCGTGTCCGACTCTTCGTGACCCCATGGACCAGAGCACGCCAGGCACTCCTGTTTTCCACTGCCTCCTGCAGTTTGGTCAAACACATGTTCGTAGCTTCAAGAACATTATCCAACCATCTGATCCTCTGTCGTCCCCTTCTCCTTGTGCCCTCCATCTTTCCCAACATCAGGGTCTTTTCCAGGGAGTCTTCTCTTCTCATGAGGTGGCCAAAGTATTGGAGCCTCAGCTTCAGGATCTGTCCTTCCAGTGAGCACTCAGGGCTGATTTCCTTCAGAATGGATAGGTTTGATCTTCTTGCAGTCAAGAGTCTCCTCCAGCACCATAATTCAAAAGCATCAATTCTTCGGCGATAAGCCTTCTTTCTAACTACTCATAGTGCTTTAAATGTCTGGTGTGAAGTGGGGCTGGCAGAGGGTAAGCTGGGTTTGCGTTGAGGCAGTGTGATGCCTGGCTTGGAGCTGTCATTTAAATTTCCCATAATGCCTTGGAGAACCCCTACACCAGAGGCATTGTGGGAAATTTAAATGGTGTCTTTAAGCAGCATGGAACAGTACAATGGTACCTTGGTTCTCGTACATAATCCGTTCTGCAAGTCCGTAGGACTTCAAAAACATTTGAAAACCAAGGTGCGGCTTCCGATTGGCACAGGCGCCCCGGAAACAATAGCCGACATCCACATCGGATGTTCAGGAACAGCGGCACACTTACCGTATTTTTCGCTCTATAAGATGCACCAGACCACAAGATGCACCTAGTTTTTGGAGGAGGAAAACAAGAAAAAAAATATTCTGAACCTCAGAAGCCAGAACAGCAAGAGAGATCGCTGCACAGTGAAAGCAGCAATCCCTCTTATTGTTCTGGCTTCTGGGATAGCTGTGCAGCCTGCATTCGCTCCATAAGACGCACACACATTCCCCCTTACTTTTTAGGAGGGAAAACGTGAGTTATAGAGCACAAAATACGGTATTTCCGGGTATTTGCCGTTCGGGAGCCGAAATGATCAAGTACCAAGGCGTTCAAGAACCAAGGTTCCACTGTAGGTCCCATTTACAAGCAAGTTTTGATTATTATTTTTAAGTTTATCAATCTGGAGGAAGGGAAAGAACAGCTGTCTGTGGGTACAGTGTGCTTGATTGACTTCTTCGAACTTTTATTGTTTAACAAAGCAACTGAAATATTCATGAATAAGAGCCTGTCATTTTGGGGGAGTGATGCTTTTTATATAGACAGCAAATCTTTATATGGTAATCATAGGAAAACTATGTTTATGTGTGCGTGCGTATTCCATTTGGAATTGATACGCTAGAATAAAATTGGATGTCTTCCGAAAAGCTAGGATATTATGGTATCCAAAGTTGCGCCAAGTCGCTCATGCCATTGGCTCAAGGATTTCTGCTCCCACAACAGAACTTTTCCTGCTCTATGGAACTCGCTCCCATAGGAGGCAGTGATGGCTACCAACCTAGATGGCTTTAAGAGAGGACTGGGCAAATTCATGGCTGTCTACTAGCCATGATGGTTATGTTCTGCCTCCACAGTTGGCTTCTGAATACCAGTTGCTGGAAACTGCAGGAGGGGAGAGTGATCTTGCCCAGAGCTCCTGCTTGCAGGCTTCCCATTTGGGCATCCGGATGGCCACCATGAGAACAAGATGCTGGACTAGATGAGCCAATGGCCCTGATCCAGCAGCCTCTCATGTTCTTATGTGAAGGGGGAGGTTCCGCTGCACAAGTGTAAATCCTTGCAGTAACAAGAGAGAGAGGTAAAACTTTATTCGCATAGCCAATGGCCATAGCAACAGTAAAACATTACAGTATATGCAGAAAAGGAAATTTGATATAAAAGCACAATTTAAAGTCCTGAATCAGCAGTCAGTTAGTGGCCCTTATTCTGATTGCCCCTGCTATGAACCTAGCAACCTTTGCTGTTATCTGCTCATTTTGATCTGATAGAAGAAAGGAGATTGTGGCAGTGGTTGAGCGCCCTGGGATGGTTCGTACAAGTGGGGTGATGATCTCATTCCTCAGGTCTTTGTAGAGAGTACAGGGCAGGAGGACATGTGCCGCTGTTTCGGTGCTACCATCTCCACAGGGGCAAAGACGTTTCTCAGGTGGGATCTTTTGGAATCGGCCCTCAAGTACCGCAGATGGCAAAACATCCAGTCTTGCAAGTGTAAAAGCACGTCCGTATTTTGGGATAATGAGTTTGTGCAGATATGGGGCCACAGAATCAAAATGGAGAGGTGGAAACTGAACATACCAAGGGCAGAATTTCCTTATAGTGGCCAGGTTGTTCTGATGCTCGATATCTTTTAGACGTTGACCAGTTATACTGTTTGCTTTAGTGGGGCCCATAGTGAGTAGGTGTTGTGGGGATAGGCCACAAGAGTGAAGTTTTTGATAGACGGTTTTAAGCCAGGCACTTTTATGGGAGTCTTGAAGTACTAGGGATAGTAAACCGGGGGGATTTGAGTTTAGGCAGAGCCAGAAGTTAAGAGTTCTTTGCCAAGTCTGTACTTCTACTGAAGTGAGACTTGCCTCCAGTCTCAATGATGCGTTTGGGATGCATGGCGGTACAGAAAAAATCTTTCAGTAACAAGGATTTGGATGCCACCCAATGACTTCAGATTCCCACCTACCCCCATCTACGTTAACTATAAGAGAGAGAGAAATAGTTAGCAGTTTTGACTCCAAAGTTCATGCTTTCAGGAAAAGAGTGACTTTTGTTCAGGGGAGGACAGATTTGCCGTTGCAGAGAGAAACTCTGTGGCCCACCCACGTGGCCCCAAACGAACAGTACAGCTTCCAAAGGAGACCTGCACTCGGAGACCCCGGTCTTGCCAAAGTACACAGGACTCTTGAGTTTTGAAGGGGCCTTGGCTATTTCAGCAAAAAAATTAAAAAGTCTGCAGCTTTCCTGAGC